AGTACTTTTAGTTATTAGTAAGGAACTTAGCCTATAAGTTAGTAAAGATTTAGTGTTAAATTAGTCCTAAGAGGTAACTTAGCTCTAAAACAAGCCTTTTTATAGGCTCTTACTGCTATAGCTATAGCTACATTAAGAGTAGTAAGAGAGATTAGAGCTTAACTATAAGTTAAAGCTCTTATAAAAATAAAATTAAAATAGTAAGAATTTTTAATAAGTGCTAGCAGCGCTACTTATGTAGACTTAAAAAAGAGGAATAAAGTAGTTTTAAAAAATATAACTATACTTATTATACTTAAAGCATTAACTTTTTTTTTTATAATTTTTACACTTTTTAGAACTAACTAAAGCATAATTTAAATTAATTTTTATTATGTTAAAGGTCTTATTTGTAACTGCGCTAGTTTAGGGGCGTATTAAGGCTTATATAGAGAGGAACCTTATGTTATTATTGTAGGTAGTAATTAAGTTTACATACGCATTAAGGTTGTTTAGAAGGGGTTCTTCTACTATAGCATATTACAGTTTAGTTAAGAGGAAGTTATATAAGGCTATAATTAGACTTATCTTATTTAGGCCTATATTAAATGCAAGTTAGTAAAACTTAGTAAAGTGTAAAGTAAAGCTTTTTTTTTATTATAAAGTGTTTAGGTAACTTAGGGCTGTTAACTTTTTATTTAAGTCTTTATAAGTTACTTATAAAAACACTATAAATTAATTTAAGTTAATAATATTTTTATTTATTAGTAAGTTAATTAAAGCTGTTACATTATAGTTAAGTTAAAAGTAAGTATATAGTAACTAAAAGTGTTTAAAAGAGAATTAGTCTATGTTTCCTTTAAGTTTATATTAAAGCTTATATAGAAAAAAAGGTAGGTCTTTTTATTTTTTATTAAATAGTAGAGGATTAAGAAGTTAGTTAGATTTTATTACTAAGTTAGAAAAGTTATAGGTTATAAGTAGTGTTAGGTAAAAAAGAGTTAAGCTATCTCTAGACTTCTAAGTAAGCTTTAAGGCTAGTAAGTTCTTAGTTCCTACTACTATAACAAAAGTTAAGGCAGAAATAGACTACTTAATAACATAAAGCTATTTTTTAAAGTCTTTTTAAAAAGCTTTAAAGCTTATAATGTAGCAGCTTTCTTATAAAGTAAGTGCTTTTTAAAAAGCTTTTTAGCTTACTTTAATAGCTTAGAGTTATGTAAGTACTAAGCTTATTAGATTAGATTTAGAGGCTATTTTTAGCTAAGTTTTTAACACAACATAATGTTATAATTATGCATAAGTAAGGTTATAAAGCTTTATAAAGGTCTAGTTTAATTACTATATAAAGTATTATAGTAAGTATAAAACATTGTGTAAAGAACAAAAAGGTTTAAAAAAATTAGTAATTAAATACTTAGCTTAAAAGTCTAAGCGCTTTAGGTATAAATTAAGCCTATTCTAGGTTTAGTTAGTGTTAAGGCAGTTTATGCTTAAGTTTATGTCTATGTTGTGTTATGTTTGTGTTAGACATGCACTAATAATACTCTAGTACACGTCTAATATATTTATGTCTAGGATCTGGGGAGGATACTGTGACAACATCTTATGTTTATTATATAGAGCTTAATCTGCTTCTTATAGTATTAGTAGGTAATTATAATAGTTATAGTATAAAAGATAAAACCTTTTTTAAGTTATTTTTTATTAAATTTAGTTAAGTAAATTATTTAAGTAAGTAGTGTTAATTAAAAATTTAGTTTACACACTAGTTTTTTATTAATGTAACTTATGCTATTTACTTCTAAGTTAATAAAAGCTTATATTAAAGCTAATATAGTTTCTTATTATAAATATATAAAAATATTAACTTAGTACTTTTAGTTATTAGTAGAAGACTTAGCTTATAAGTTAGTAAAAATCTAGTGTTAAATTAGTTTTAAGAGGCAACTTAGCTCTAGGACAAGCCTTTTTATAGGCTTCTACTACTATAGCTGCAGCTATGTTAAGAGTAGTAAAAAGAATTAAAGCTTAAATATAAGTTAAAGCCTTTATAAAAATAAAATTAAAATAGTAAAGATCTTTAATAAGTGCTAGCTACGCTACTTGCGCAGACTTAAAAAAAAAATAAAGTAGTTTTAAAAAATATAACTATGCTTACTACACTTAAAGTATTAACTTTTTTTTTATAATTTTTACACTTTTTAAAACTAACTAAAGCATAATTTAAATTAATTTTTATTATGTTAAGGTTTTTATTTATAACTGCGCTAGTTTAGAGGCGTATTAGGGCTTATATAGGAAGAAACCTTATGTTATTATTATAGGTAGTAATTAGGTTTATATATGTGTTAAAGTTGTTTAGAAGGGGTTCTTCTACTATAGCGTGTTATAGTTTAGTTAAAAAGGAGTTATATAAGGCTATAATTAGACCTATCTTATTTAGGCCTATATTAGATGTAAGTTAGTAAAACTTAGTAAAGTGTAAAGTAAAGCTTTTTTTATTTATTATAAAGTGTTTAGGTAACTTAAGGCTATTAACTTTTTATTTAGGTTTTTATAAGTTACTTATAAAAACACTATAAATTAATTTAAGTTAATAATATTTTTATTTATTAGTAAGTTAATTAAAGCTGTTATATTATAGTTAAGTTAAAAGTAAGTATATAGTAACTAGAAGTGTTTAAAAAAGAATTAGTTTATATTTTTTTTAAGTTTATATTAAAGCTTGTATAGAAAAAAAAGTAAGTCTTTCTATTTTTTATTAAACAGTAGGGGATTAAAGAGTTAGTTAGATTTTATTACTAAGTTAAAAAAGTTACAGGTTATAAGTAGTGTTAGGTAGAAAAAAGTTAAGCTATCTCTAGACTTCTAAGTAAGCTTTAAGGCTAGTAAGTTCTTAGTTTCTACTACTATAATAAAAGTTAAGGCAGAAATAGACTACTTAATAATATAAAGCTATTTTTTAAAGTCTTTTTAAAAAGCTTTAAAGTTTATAACATAGTAGCTTTTTTATAAAGTAAGCGCTTTTTAGAAAGCTTTTTAGCTTACTTTAATAGCTTAGAGTTATGTAAGTACTAAGCTTATTAAATTAAATTTAGAGGCTATTTTTAGCTAAAGTTTTAACATAATATAATGTTATAATTATACATAAGTAAGGTTATAGAGCTTTACAAAGGTCTAGTTTAATTACTATGTAAAGTATTATAGTAAGTATAAGATGTTATATAAGAAATAAAAAGGTTTAAAAAAAATTAGTAATTAAATACTTAGCTTAAAAGTCTAAGCGCTTTAAGTATAAATTAAGCCTGTTCTAGGTTTAGTTAGTGTTAAGGCAGTTTATGCTTAAGTTTATGTCTGTGTTATGTTGTGTTTATGTTAGACATGCACTAATAATACTCTAGTACACATCTAATACGGTTATGTCTGGGATCCGAGGAGGATACCGTGACATGGCTAGAGAGGTGGAGCAGACGCAACTAACCATAATTTAAATATGTTTTACACAACGCATGCTAGAGCAAACTGCATGCAAATTAGCATAAAGGTGCACTTACCTTAGGTATACATTTTTTTTTAAAAAAGAATATAAGAAACACATAAGCTAACAGAGAAACAGCGTTACTAGGGTTTATCTAAAGAAATTCTAACTAACTAGCGCGTCTAAAAGAGGAGATTCCGCTAAACTTTTCGTTCTGCAAACCCGAATATAATAAGCAGAGCAAGCTCTGCTAATAATAGTATAATAATTTTTTATGTAATATAGTATAGTATAGTATTACCTAGAACTGTTACTATTTTCTATATTCTTAATTTCCACCTTATAGGTATAAAAATTATGCCTAACTTTTCTATTCTACTTATAGTAGCTTTTTAAACATACTCTTTTTACAAGTGTTTTACTTGTTGTAGTAATTAAATTAAATACTTTGCTAACTATTTAATGTGTTTATATACTACTATTTATAGTTCTTACAAGTGTAAAGATAATAAAAGATAGTGTCTACTTCTTTATTACTGTAATACTTTGTACTAAAGTAACGTACTTATTATTAATAAGCTATATTTTTTATGCTTTTATTTTTTAAGCTTCTAACTACTACCTAAGATAATATCTTATGTATTAAAGGCTAGACATATTAAAATTAAATATATTTTTATCTACATACTCTACTTAACTTTTATATCTTAAACTAGTGTAAACTAGAGGCAGATAATTACTAACTTTTAAATGCATTTTACTAGTAATTATATAAATAGTTTTAGTGTCTTTTTAGCTTAAGTGTACGTTTAATAAAGTTATTAACTTAATTCTTACTAATAAGCTTTTTATTCTGCTTTTATTACATTTTATTAGCTATATATTATTCTAAAGCCTTTAACAAGAGCACACTATGTAAAGCAAAGTTAAAAGTTTAGCGTATTGTTACATTAATGCCATCTTCTATTATATTAATATTATATTATATGTTAGAGATCTAATCAATTAGCTTAGCGCATTAGAGGCTCTAAACTTATTATTTTTTAGTTTAGTCTGTTTAAGCCTTGCGTTGTTGTGGTATTTTATGTTATTGTTGCACGGGCGTTTTAGTGGGGATGCTGCGGCGCTCGCTTCGGTGCGGCGCTGGCATATGAAACACGCTCCGTTTAGCAATGGTTTTTTATTTTTTTTAATAGTATATAGTATATGAAAGAGATAGGTAGGAAACTACGCTTAGTACCTTAATTAAATTTTTTAAGCGTTTAAACCTACCCTCTTAGGCCTAGCCTCCACTTAATTAGGCTCGTGTTGAAGCCTCGGACAACACCTACAGGTGCTCGACCTGTCTATTCCGAACACTGTGAGTACATAAATAACAATGAGTTTCACTTTTTTTTTAAGAACAGGTATACGTATGGAGAGATTAATCCCTATGGGGATCCAATGTGGTATTTTGATAATGGATTCGTGAAAGCCCATAACACCCAAGGGTTCAGTTTAGTAATTGAAATATTTAAGAATAATACAAATCGTTCTAGGTAAAGCAACGCCCTCGCCTATTAACTACCCGTGCTTAGGTGTCTGCGGCTGGTCGGTATCTCTAAGAGCGGCCCTATTTGCAGGTAGGTATAATGAAGCCTTGAGCAAGGCCGACTCATGGGTGATTGGAATCTCTTCAGGATTATCGTGCCATGTGCCCTCACTGGCACCAGCATAGGCCATTCGCTGTAGCTGCAAGCTATCATCGAGCAGCCACTGAAGTCGCCGGTCTTCGCCCTTGTGAATCCAGCGTTGAACCCATCCTGTAGCTGTGCCAATCATGAAGCTGAGCCAGATGAAGAAGGAAGAGAATGCGACGATGATGGCAATACCGAGCACGCTGAAGTTTTGGTACTTGCCTGTACTTCGAAGTATCTGCGTCCTACAAAGATTCTCTTCAAATGAATTTTGGGGGTCCGAACCAGGCCTCGTATAGTTGATACCGGGATTCTGCGAGGATGGGCCCATCGCGATTTCGACCATGGCTTGCTGCAATCTGGCTAGCGAAGCATCGAACCACCCTTGGACTTCCGTGATCCATTGCGTATTGGAAAGCTCATGTTGGAGGTACTGGTATACCGACTCACTGGCACGGAGAGAGGCTGCACCTCGCGGACCGATAGTCCAATATATGTTATTGTAGTATATGGCGTTCCAGATATAGCGGACCGCGGCATTCTGCTTGGAATTGAGATTCAATCCCTGTGTCGATTCCCGTAGTGTCCTGACTCGCGAAAGGCTTGAGCACTGTGATGTAGAGGGACGACAGAACTGATGCTGGTCCACACAGCCGAGTACCGTTACAAAGTTGTCTGGCAAGTAGAAGGTTTGGTCCTTGCCCCTTTGCCTACGAACTGTGGACTTCGTGGCACCGAAGATGAGGTCCGTATTGGAGACATCGAAAACTACGGAGTTGGCACTGATGAAAGCTATGGTAATGTCTGCCTGCTCGGCTGGTATAGTCTGAATTTCCGAAGTCCAGTTGGCACTAACATCGGGAGAGAAAGCTCTATGACTAAATTTTAGCTGTACACAGTTCAAGTTTGGTTGGAGGATCTTACGTCAACTGATAGCTAATCCTGTCTGACACACTATGGTCGTTATAGATGAAGCTCAAATTGCCTGGGTAAAGATCTTGAATGTTCCCGAGAGAGTAATTATAATACGTATTCCCTGAACCGTCGGGGCCCGTACTCAAGAACTTCGTGGCGTTGATTGGTGCACAAGTGGTGAGTCGACGATATGCAACCCTGTCCTCCTCCTGCGCATTCAGGCCAAGGTCGAAGTGCGAATTGAGTTGTCCTGTATCCATTTGATAAACTGCCGACAGTGAGGGGAAACATAGACTGGGTGAAAAGGGGCAGTGCACCCCAGATGTGCCATTCCAGCCGAGTTTTCGTGCCATATAGGCTCCACATTGTGTCGAAGCCGTAGAGTTGGTACTATAACAAGCCCGGCTATAGCTCGCTGCAGCAAGAGCATCTGCCGCAACCTTAGTCCGGAAACCACCCTGGTTGAGAGGGTCCTCGGAAGATGGAGCCCAGTAACTGCAGCCAGGACTGTCGATGAGCGTCTCGTTGCCAGCGGCTTTTGTGACTTCAGCCGTCAAAATACTAGCTGCGCGAAAGGCACCAAGACTAGACAAAGCAAGAAGGAGAAGTGGCAGAGAACGGAGGAGTGGTCTTTTTGCAACCCCTCTCCAGCGGAAGGCTATCCTAGCCAGTGATACGGCAGCGCTCATGGGAGCTTCAGAATTCCGGAGGATGGCCTGTTGTTGTATGTGCATACCATCATACTCTTTACTGTTCGTGATTTCCTGATGGACGATGAAGGCCATTATGACCCAGAAGCGGGACCCAGCGATGGTAACATAAAGTGTCAGGAACGCAACAAGGAAGTATCCACTCCGAGAAGAAATCGTAATTGTGTTGCCGAAAGCGGCATTGTGGGACCAGTTGAACCATCCTCCAGTGTGTATGTGGTCGGAGGACATTTTGAAGACGACTCTTGAAGTACGAGACGCGGTTGTGACTTAGAATAATCTAGAAACGGAAGTTCTGGATGGATCAAACACTAAGACGGTGTTTTGTGCACACGACTTTGTCTGTGGTGTCTCTATATAATTGACAGGCAGCAAAGACTCAGCTCCATCTCTAATCGGCGAACTCGGAAGAAAATGCTCCGACTTCGTAAGATTAGTAGGCCAAATGAGCGCATCTCAGCTACCAATTGGCATCCCATATGCAGCCGTGGCCGCAAGTCATGGTGGCTTCCATGGTATTGATAGGCTCTCCCTTGCTTACATCTCCTTCTCCGATGTTGTTATGGCAGAACATCGCCGATCTCGCCTGGGGTATAATAATGAGGAGGAGCTGTTGTTGTCTCGACCAATGTCATGGTTAACATTGACATACTCCCAACATGCCTGCTAGCCTTCTCGGGCAAATTTTGACGAACACACGTTAGGTCGCACCGCATCTAATATTACGTGAAATGGCGCTTCTGATTTGGCCTTTTCCGGTCTACAGCTCTCATCGGTGGTCCTTCAGCTTTAGCCTTACAATCCATACAAGCATTAAGTGGGCAAAGCTTGCCTGCCATAGCTGGGGCGGATAATCGTTTCCGGCAGCCTGCATGCGCCGCATCGGAGGGGTCTGTTTCCTGGCTCCATGCACCAATACCACCCGGGGCGTTCGTCGCAATGCGTAAGCATGAGGTTCCCACGGGTGACCTTCAGGGTTTAGAGCGGATGAACACACCGACTCTGTCGGCATCGTATTCCTTACAAGAGGGAATACGAAGATTGAGCCTTCGGAGGCATTATTGGTTTCAGCCGCATTAACATCGTTCAGAACTGCCAAGAAGCAGACCAAAGAGCGAGGCAACGGCATAGAGACAACATACAGATCTAATAGTAATTCATGTATGATATTAAATATTACAGATGGGACTATAATCCTTAGGAAACCCTTCAGTAACTTGTGCGAACAATTCAGTCATCTCACGGTAGGGCTCATAACAGGGCCGAGCAAGATATAGCAATAGCTACAACAATCGAAAGCCTCGAAGAGGTGAGTCCAGGCGCAGATCCCCTGGCCAAACCAGTATACACCTAGTAAAATTAGCAATCCGAGCTCTTGTTGATTATCAGCAATGGACACATGAAGAACTTACATTATCAATGTAATGAACAACGCCATTCTTGATCATCACATCTGACTTTACAATAGTTGCATTATTGACTGAAAAAGATCCGTCGCTATTGACAGTAATATTAACTGAATCACCGGCGCTAGTTTTGTACATGCCAGCACTTAGGCTTGGGCTTGTAGCCAGGGTATTCGGCAAGACATAGCGCTGTAAAGAGATAGCATCTAAGACTTGCCCAGTCAAGACAGCGTCGGTGGGAACAAAGACGGTAATGCGCGGCGTCTTTGAGACCGAGTCGAGCATGCCTGCTTGGGCAAGGGAATTTGCGAATGCTGTACCATTGGTTTGCTGAAGAGTTGATGCAAGATCACCAAAGAGGGTAAAGAAGCTAGAGGGCGTGTAAGTCGCGATCAACAAGTCATTAATTGCGGACATACCTATCGACTTTCCGTATAGCTCCATTGTTGTATATCGTCTCACTCAATGATGCCTCAGCCACACTGCCAAAACCGGAGGAGACTAGTAAGGACGACTCGTTCAGCTGCCGTCGATACTGCTTGGAGTATGGTTCGAAGGATCTCTTCTTCTTTGGCTTTGGTGGTATAGATGGACACCCTGCGGGTTCGGGCTCTGGAGTTGGCTGGGGCGCTGCTGGACTTGAAGTCGACGGTTGTGAGTGCAAGGTGGGTACCAGAGTGCTCTCCAGCACCGAAAGCGAGGTCGAAGATACCGGTGCTGAGATAGACGTAGTAAACGTGGGGCTGGAGCTTAATGAAGATGAAGACGTCGCAGACGGCACTGAGCTTGAGGCTGACAATGCTGATCCGAGGCTCGACTGGATGAGGCTGAAGCTAGAGGTGGTTTGTGAGGCTGAAGCCGAAGCTGGCCCAAGGTTGACAAATTCCGCGTCTGTCAAATTAGTGATGAGATTTGTCGGCTGAAGGTTTAGGTTGCCTTGGTTTGACCTGTCTGTGAAGAGCAGCGCAATTGCGGCGGCGTAGTCGGGAATGCTTCGGCGGTGGAGACCATACGCGCGGCGGGAAAGTGATCCGTTGAAAGATTGCTGGAATGTGGCGACCGCTGCATTTGAAGGAGCAAATACCGTGTAATTCTTAGCAGAGTTCAGATTCATAAGAAGGTCAGGATGCTCTTCTAGCAGTTGAGCAAACGCTTGCGTGTCAGGATCACTTCGGAGAACAGCGAGAAGATCGGATCCTCCAGGAGGAACAGTTTGACATACAGCCAAAGATGAGGCGAGAATGCAAACGGATATGTTGAGTTTCATAATGAGTGAAGAAAGACAGTTTACTGAGAGGAAGCAACAAAATAGTATTGTGACAACTCTAACGAGACACAATGCAATGAGTTCGAGATTGGGGTTCAGATCATGATGGAAGGAGGTCGCATTTCCCAGTTAAAGACGTTCTGTAAATTCAGCTATGAGACATTTGTGATTTCCCTTGTCAGCCTCCAAGGCCAGACGAGCACATATTGAGCCATTCATTCGAGCCTAAAAATGGGCTCTTCTATTGAATGCGGAGATTAGACGGGAAGCCACTAGCCCACGCAGCCGGAAACAGGAAATAAGTGGGCTTTCATCGGTTTTCTGGCTGAGGTGGTCCCAAGGCTGAACTTTCAGGACGAAATTGCTGCCGTCGACATCCCGAGTGGGGTCCATACGATGGATTGTGGACATCCAAGACAACGAGGCTGGGGCCCGGACTCAGCCAGCCCCAGTCTGCAAGGAATCCTGCATTGGTGCAGCATGCTTATTACTCCTCCAACCAAGACTGTCAGGCGGATTTCGATGACGCACCTGGAATCCGATGTCCATATATCACGCCATCCTATGCGGGTGCGTGTACGGGATTGTAGTGTTTTTGTCGGCGAAAAATGGCTGCCTCATTAGCTAGCACATCCCTGAGTCGGCCATTTCCGGAACTCCACATCAGCTCTGTTAGCATGTCCTTACGGTAGGTACGCTAGACGGCGGGTTTCTCGTGCGGAAGGTGTTCTCGCGCAAACGCACTATAGCGAGTCCTTATTAAAATATCGCATTGTGATCCACCGCTATATGATTTGCTATAGTGACGCGTGAACAGTCAATCCAGCGAGCTATTACCAGCTTTCTCAATAGTCCTTTTAAGTAAATAGGCTATTGTAAAAGTGTACAGAGTATCTAAATTAGCAATATATAACTATTTTAATAGCGAGATAAATTCAATGAATTTCTACGCGTTTTCATAGTAATAAGAGTTACTAAGAGATTTAAGTTACTTAATAGTAGAGCATAGTATTTATAATGTTAAGAAAAAGATACTAGCTTAGTAGTAAAATACATTATATATGTTAGAAACCTACTAGTATATCTCTACTTAACACTAATTAGGTATTTAAAATTATTTCAACTTTACTACTTACTCTCTCTACTATTTTACTATATAACGTACCTAACAGGTTGGCCGGCCACACAGGTTGGCCGGCCACTTTTGCTAAGCCCCTACTAAAACCACCCTATTCTAGCGCAAAACAGCCTACTTTAGCCCTATATAAAGCAATACAACATAAGATATTATTTAAAGTCTACTTCTACTACTTTTTTATATATACATAAGTTATGCTTAGTCTAATTACACTGCCTATATTACTTTTAACTTAGCTTACTTTTTTTAGCATGCACTTATGTTTTTAGCTTTTTCTTATTACTACGCGCTTTAAACTTTTTTAAAGTAGTTAGATAAGCCTTATTCTTAACTATTAAAGTCTTTTTTACTTAAATTTACTTTTTTTTATGTAATTTATATTATATAGTAGCCTTATTTACTGCTTAAAGCTTTATAATCTTCTTTTACACTAACACTAGCTTATGCGTAATAATTACTACCTTTTTTAAAACTTTTTTAAAAGCTTTTACTATAAACATTAGTAAGCTATTTATATGCTTTTAAATTCTTACTTTTATAAACATTAATTATAACCTAAATTTAAAAGTATTACTTAAAGTTTATAACTGCTAGAGCTTATTATTAATAAGTAGTAGTAGTAATAAAGTATATAACTAGACATTAAAGGCAATTTTAACTTATTTTAGGTTAAATAAAACTAAACTAGCACTTTAAAACTTTTTTTAGATATTACTAAAAGTAATTACTATATTATAAGTATATATAAAGCATAGTAGAAACTTAAGTTTTATAATATAAGTAATCTAGTTATATATAAGATCTTTAGCTTAGCACTTATATATTTTTTTTTAAAAAAGTAAAATAACCTACATTAAAAGGCTATAAAAAGTGTAATAAGTGTAAAAGTATATAAATAGTAATAATTTTATTTTTTTTATAGTACTACTAAAAATTAAGTAAGTTATAGCTTTTATAGCTATTAATAATAAAAAGCTAATAAGTGCTTATAACTTTTTTTTATATACTTATTAAAGTGCTTTAACTACTATAGCTTAAGCTTATTTATTATCTAGCTATTTTTAGAAACTATAATAACCTAGTTTTAAAGTAGATTTTTTTTATACTAAGTAAAAAAGTAATAGCAGCCTTTAAAAATAATAAAAAGTAAAATAGCTTACTTTATTATATTAATACTTTAAATAACTATTATCTACTTTCTATTACCTTACTATATTACTTTTAGCTATTTTTATTTCTTTAAAGCTATAATAACTGCTTTAGTTAATATCTAGCTTATTATAAAGCTTAACTTATTAAAGTTATACATGTCTTTATTCTAGATACTATACTTAGCTTTTATATTAGCTACTAAGTAAAACTAGCCTTAAATAACCTTTAGATTTTTATAAAGCACTTTTTTATAATTATACTTATAATTAAACTTTATTATAAACTTAAAGCAGTGCTTAACCTATATACTAGGCTAGTTTAAGCTAACCTAGCCTAGATTACACTCTACGCGCAAAGAATTAGCTATATTAGCTATAGCTATAAGCTTAAAAAGAAATCTGTGTGTAATAAGCTTAAGTATGTACTTAATAACTACTTTTTTTTTAAGCTTAGTTAAATTTTTTAATTTAAGCTAGCATTTTACTTATAAAGGCTATCTAGCGTGTTAATTACTTAGTGTTATATAAAAACTATTATAAATAGCTATAGTGTGTTATAAAAAAAGTTTTAAGTTTTATTTAAAAGCCTAAAAAGTAAGCTGTATTTAACATTTTTTAGAAAATTTAATCTAGTGTTGTTGTTAAGGCATTATGTAGATAAGTAGAATGTGGTAGGGGCTTAGCAAAAGTGGCTAGCTAACCTGTGTGGCCAGCTAACCTGTTAGGTACGTTATAAAGATATATTTTACTTTTTATAAAACTTTAGAGTATAACTTAATTAGTATATTAAAAAGTGTATAAAGTGTTTTTATAGTAAATATAAAAGAAGCAAATCTATACTATTTTTATATAATATATTCTACTACTAAGCTAGCTAAATTACAACTTATATAAAATTATACTTACTATTAGCTTTATTTCTATAACTACTAAATAGAATTAGCTAAGACTTTAGCTATAAAAATGTACCTATAAACATATTATAATTTTAAAATATTTAGATTCTATCTTATGTAAGCAGCTAGCTATTTAAGAAAACTGTTTTTTTAGCCTCTACTTTATACTATCTTTAGAAATACGAATTTTAGAACTTTAGTATTTTAATATAATTTAAGTACTATATATATACTTTTATAATAAAATGTTAGCTAATACTTTTTAGTAGTTACAGAGAGAGAGTTGCCTAGTAAGTAGGATTTTGTATAGGTTTCAAGTTAGCTAGCTTAGTAGTAGAATACTTGAAGCTAAAAGATGTTTATAAGTTAATCTAATTCGTGTTTTATAAGTGTAGATATAGTAGTTAATAGATACATAAGTCCGCCTTTAGTTAATAAAGGAAATAGAAAGAATAATATCAACTTTCTTATTAAGTAATTTAGTAGTAGTTAGTAAATCCGTAGTAGTTTAGGGTTTTCAGGGAATGTTAGTTGCAGTAGCAGCTCGCTTATTGTGACAGCTCGCTTGGAAGGTAATCGAGACGCAATCCTCTCTTTCCAGTCACCCCTACGTTTCAGCTTGTTTTTGTCAGCGCGCCACGCTCGCTTACCCCGGAATGTGGTACCCTCCAGTCTGTCGTCCCCCAGTTGTCATGTCACGTTTCTTGGCCTTTTAAGCCCGGTTTAGGCAAACGCCATCGATTTTGCCTGCGCCTAACCCATGCGTGCGAAGTCTCTGCACGGTCTGAATACGGTTTGCCTTGGGCTAATTGTTGTGAGCAGGGGTTTGGCTTCACACATTTGAGATGCATTGGACTGCAGGTGGACCTTTGCCCTGGGAGAGGGAGGGCGGCTGACGAGGCGCCATCAAATTGCCCAGGCCAGTGTTATCGGGGTTGGAGAATGGGATAGCAATTCCAAAGCCTTATAAGACTCCAGCATTTATAGCTATTTGCTCTTGCTTAGGAAATAAAGGTTAGGATGTGATCTGAGAGTCCAGATAATAGAAACGGAAAAGGTGGAAAGGTGAGTGAAAAACATCGTTCTACGGAAGGGATCTTTGATTAAGTTAGATAGATACGCCTCGCCCAAATGTCTCCAGCATCGACATCCACAATTCTGCTTTGGCTCGTCCAACGGAGCCTTGCGATACCGACGGCTACTTTGCATGCGCGAAACTCCACCATCAACAAAGCTCAAAGGGACTATGAGCCCGCATGGGTAGCAGGCCCAGGAAGCCGGGGAACGCTGAGCCTAGTCTTCTCTTGTGGTATCACTTTATTCCTCTGCGTCTGGACAACAGTTCAAGTGAACATCGAGCCACAGGAGAACCTCAATCCAACCTTGGCACGTTTTATTCCAATCAGGGCATTGAAGAAGAACAAGGCCCTGCTGAAACTTCTCGCGAAAAGGTGGGTCCGCAAGCTGGGTTGGAGCTTAATCGCCCTAATCATGCCCGAGGGGGTCATGGCCATCGCAGCCTACGAAAGGAAGATTGCCAACTTGCTCCTTTCCCAGGTTGACAAGATTATCCCCAAGGGACCAGAACGATGGGATATGTTCCTTGCCTACTACGCCATCATGGGAGGCTTCGTAATCCGTAAAGAGGACTATGACTCTGTGAGCGCCCAGTTCAAAAGTCCGATCGATGGCGATACAGAGCTCGAAGTGAGGCGGGACCAGAACCTGACGGTGACGGCAATGCCGTCAGAAGCACCTAAAGTACCCTCGGAAACAGCTTCTAATCAAGGCATCGATACGATCGACACTGTCAGCCGTGACGAAGAAAAGGCAGTCGGCAACAGAGGTGAAGAAAACGATGACTTGCAAGATATCAACCGCCTTCTGACGCTGACTCCCTACGGTGTCCTTCAACTACTCAAATGGCAGTGGGGATCATCCACGCAAAAGCACGGCGGCAAATTGATTAACATAACATCCGACGAGGTCCGGGATAAGAGTAATGCGGACTTGTTAAACAAATTGATCGTGGCCTGGCAGGCGTTATGGATGATCGCCCAGGTCATCGGACGGAGAGCGGAATATCCGGATATACCTGTCACTCTTCTCGAGCTCCACACCTGCCTTCACGCGTTCGCCGCATTTGCGATGTACCTTACGTGGTGGAATAAACCAGTCGATATTAATCTGCCCACAACAGTCCACCTCACTCCAGAACAAATACTCTTCCTTAGAAAAGGTGAATCAGAGCCCGACCCCACTAACCCTTGGGGACAAGAAACGGTTTCATCTCATAAAACGCCTGACCGCGATACCTCCCGTGTCTTTCTGACCTCCCGGTCGGGGATCGGGAAGCTCATGTACCAACGGCTTATCGGACATAGAGATATTCGGACCGAGTTCTTCTCTGCCATGAGTGACGCGTACATTCGTCTATGGCGGGGCAAACGGGCATTCTGGAAGGAGTCTCTGTCCATCTCGTTCGTTGGCTTAGTATTTGGAGGCGTTCATCTTGCCGCCTGGAACAGCAGCTTTCCCAGCTATGCCGAGAGAGTTCTCTGGCAGATCTCTTCGGTGATCACAGCAACCACTTGGGGCGGGTTTGTTTTGTCGCTTTGGCTCAGCGTCTTCGTCGAGAAGAAAAAGGAAAGCAAAATAGTAAGCAAAGTGTGCGGAGTTTTCCTTGGCCTTGGACTCTTCCCTGTCCTTATAGTCCGACTGTTTCTATTGGTTGAGTCCTTTGCCTCTATTCGCAGGCTTCCGATAGGGTCCTACAGACTGAACACTTGGTCGAACATATGGCCACATGCTGGGTAATAAGAGGAGGGACATCGTGTGGCTGGTTGGAGGCGAGGTAACTCGCCGTGTCTTTTCCCTCTCTTTTGTTTACACAATCCTGTTACTTACCAGGCGGTTCTTACAATGCGTTTATTCGGCGAAGTGTAATAGTGATCATTTTTAACTCTCAACGTGTTTGCCAAGCGAGTTAGCCTCTCTAAGTTAGCCATCCAGCTAAGTTTCAACTAATACCAGCCCGGCCCCGCCGCGCTACCACCATATACTCTCGGTTTCAGGATGATACAGTATTATTTAGACTTATTACTATCCTCTGCATCTACTATTCATACCTTACAAGTGCGCGTATTGTAGCTAGTCCTGCTGTAACTGCGTACAGTCTCTTTATCAACTTTTTACCTTCCTCCTGCCTACTAGCACTATTAGAAGTAACTAAGTGAACTATACTAGTAACAAATAGTTTTGTTAATATAAAACTATGTCTTTTTTTAACAGTTTAACGTTTAGTTGTATAAAGAAGTATAACGTAGTCTACTAGTAAGGTAGCTACGCTACCCTTCTAACTTGTTACAGTATAATATAGAAAGTATACTATGCTTACATAGTGTCCTTGAATAATATTCAACAACAAGAACTAACAATAGCTACCAACAACTAATAACAACTTAAGTATGTTATGTATAGTATATAAGTTAGACTTTAAGTTTTTAATATAATATTTATTTAAAGCTAGCTTATATAAGAACTTAGCTAGATGTTAATTAAGTAGTAGGTAAACTTAAAGTAAGCTAATTATATAAAAATTAGCTAAAGTTTGTATTAAACTATTAAGACTTTTAGTTAACTTAAGCCTCTAATATAATTATTTATATAATATATTAAATTTCTAGTTATTATAGCTAAATAAAGCCTTTGTAATAACGTACACTACATGCAAGTTGCTTACACACTTAAGTTACTTACTTTTACTAAGGCTACACTAAACTACTTTTTCTACACTATAATATTTCTAATAACATTACTTAAATATGTTAAAAATATGTTAGATATAGTCTACACTTTAGGCTTTAAAATAAAATATAACACTTTTAAAGTAATATACTACAGCTATATATAAAGTCTTTTAAAAATAATAAATAACAAACACACTAAATAACTTTTATAAGCTAATTCTATAGCTAACGTACAAAGGCTAGATAATAATAAAAAGTAAGTAATTATTAAGCACATACTTAAGCTAGATGTATAAGGATTTTCCTCTTCTTACACATTTGCGTGTTATGCCTAGTCTAATTACACTATTTATAGCACCTTTAGAATAGCTTACTTACTTTAGCTTATACTTACTTCTTTGCTTTTTTTATTACTACGCGCTCTAAACTTTTTTAAAGTTATTAAGTATAAGCTTTTTTAAACTATTACAGCTTTTTTACTTTTTAATATAATCTATTTTTTGTAGCTACTTTATTAGCTGCTTAAAGCTTAGTAATTTTTATTATACTAATACTAGCTTATGTGTAATTATTACTATCTTTTTAAAAACTCTTTTAAATACTTTAACTTTAAAAGTTAGTGAACTATTTATATGCTATTAAATTTTTATCTTTATAAGCATTAATTATAACTTAAGTTTTAAAGTATTACTTAAAGTTTATAACTACCAAGGCTTATTATTAATAAAAAGTAGTAGTAATAAAGTGTATAACTCTATATTAAAGTTTATTATAACTTATTATAAGTTAAAATAAACTAATTTAGCGTCTTAGAACTTTTCTTAGATATTACTAAAAGTAATTACAAGATTATAAGCTACTGTAAAGCATAGTAAAAACTTTATTTTTATAATATAAGTAATCTAATTATGTATAAGGCTTTTAGCTTAGCACCTATACACTTTTTTAAAAAAAAAAAGGTAAAAAAGAATATAAATAGTAATAATCTTATTATATTTATAGTATTACTAAAACTAAAGTAAGTTACAGCGTTTATAGCTACTAATAACTAGCAGATAGTAGTTACTAATAGTACACTTTTTTATATGCATGTTAAGATGCTTTAACTAGTCTAGACTAAGCTTATTAGTAGTCTAGCTATGCTTAAAGATAATAATAACTTAATTTTAAAGTAGATTTTCCTTATTATACTAGTTTAAAAAGTAATTACTACTTTAAAAAATAATAAAAAGTAAAACAGTCTACTTTTTAGCACTAATGCTTTAAATAGCTGTTGTCTACTTCTAGTTACCTAGTTAAACTACCTTTAGCTATTTTTATCTTTTTAAAGCTATAATAGCTTCCCTAGTAAATATCTAGCTTATTATAAACTTTATTTTATTAAAGTTATATATGTTGTTATTCTAACTGCTATACTTAGCTTTATATTCTTTATAAAGCTAAACTAGCTTTAACTTACTATAGAATTTTTATAAAAAGCTTTTTATAGTTATTATTACACTTAAACTTTACTTTTAGCTTTAAATAATACTTAATAAACATACTAAGCTAGTTTATGCTAATATAACCTAGATTACACTTTATGTGTAAAGAATTAGCTATATTAGCTATAGCTACTATCTAAGAGAGAAATTCTTATACATTAAGCTTAATTATATAACATGGTCCACAAGCGAATGTTCAACACAAGCGAGTGTTCTGCCCTACCACTAAATTTAACTTTAAAGACTATTAATTTAACAACACAAAAATATACTATATAAAATAAACTACTATAGAATTATTTAATATTCTTGCATGTATAAAAGTTATGCCTAGGCTTGTTGCAGCGCTTACAGCGCTGTGCGCGCGCTGCGCTGCTTTTAGCAGTTAACTTCTTCTAAGGCATTTTACTACCTCCTGCTATACTAGTAAGCTTCTAAGTACTTAACTTAAAGCCTTAATAACTTATTAAAGTTTTTTTTTTCTAAATTTACTTTTTTTTACACTGCTTACGCTTTATAGCTGCCTTATAGGCCCTCTCTAGAGTAGCTGCTTAATTATGCTATATAACAGTAATATAAGCTATCTTAGTAGCGCCTTTACTTAGCTGCTTTACTAGATTAAGCATAGTAAAAAAAGATAAATTCTAATGCCTTTAAATCTAATTATATAGTAAAGTTAACTAAGCCTTAACCTTATAAAGATTACTAAGTGTTTAAGCCTCCTAAGCAGTATTTAGTAGTAGAGTAGCTAGCTAATTAGGTAGCTGTATATTAAGCTTTAAAAGCACTAGCTTTAGGTTAAATAGGACTAGTTCTATAGCTTTAAAGCCTACATAGATATTATCTATTATAATTAAGCAACTAAATGCTGCTTTAAAGGCTAGTAGAAAGGTTAGCTTATTAATATAGTTAATCTAGTAGTAGATTAACTAGCTAATTTTAGTACTGTACACACGCTTTAACAGCAAAAAGCAGCTAACATTAAGCAGCTGTAAAATATGTGACGCGTGTGCTAGTATACAGAGCGCTATAATACACCTCTACTTATAGAGCTTTAGGAATTTAACAAAGTAATAGCTTTTATAGCTATTAAAAATAAGTAGCTACTATAAGCTTACTAAGTAATTTTTTATGTGCAGATTAAAGTGCTCTAGCTATGTAATTTTATGTTTATTAGTTATCTAGCTGTTATTACTAACACTAATAGCCTAGTCCTTTAGTATATTCTTATTTTTATACTAGGTAGATAGGTGATGCTTGCCTTTAAAAATTGCGTACAGAGGTATTGCCTACTTATCTGTGTTAATGCCTGCAATAACTGTTACCTATTTATAGTTGCCTAGCTATATAGCCTTTAGCTAATTATGTTTATCTGTGCCTATAATAACTATTTAGCTTAATATAACCTTTATCTAAAAGCCTATCTTGTTAAAATTATACATGTCTTAATCTATAATGCTGTACTTTAATTATGTAGCCTTTATAAGCTTAAACTACTTACTTATAATTACTAGATTTTTGCATTTTACTTATTAATAATTATATAGTTAGCTAAGGTAAGTTTTAACTGCTAGCGTACGCGCAACAAAGTTAGATGGCTAGTTAATACCTGCTAGTAGAGCGCTGCGCTTAGTAAGAAGCTTGTTAGCCATCTCTTATACAGCACCTAGAGTAGGCGCAAATCCTTAGAAATCTAGATTAAGTATATGCTTAATAATTACTTTCTCTTCTAGCTTTGTAAGCTTCTTATTATTAGCTGTACAGTTGCGTTACATAGTTATCCCTACGCGTTGTTAGCAGAGAGCTATTTAATTAACATTGTAAAGTGCTGCAGCGCACCTCTTAGTTAAAAACATGTTTTTATTAAAAGCTTAAATAGCTAGGTTAATTCTAGCCTCTTTTAAAGATAATTAATTATATAGTTGTTAATGCATCGCAGTTAGTAGTAGGTTAGCTGCGTTTTAGTAGTGGGGCAGAACACTCGCTTGTGTTGAACATTTGCTTGTGGACCATGTTACTTAATAATTACTTAGTCTTTATTATTATCTAGCTTTTATAAGTTAGCTATAAAATTAGCTTATAAAGGTTATTTAGTATATTTGTTATTTATTATTTTTTAAGAAACTTTAGACATAGCTACAGCATGTTACTTTAAAAGTATTATGTCTTATTTAAAAGCTTAAAGTATAAGCTATATTTAACATTCTTTTATTACATTTAAATAGTGTTGTTAGAAATGTATTAGTGTAAATAAAGTAGTTTAGCAGAGTTTTAGTAAAAGTAAATAACTTAGGTGTGTAAGCAACTTGCCTATAGTGTATGTTATAAGCTACAGAAGTTAAAAGCTTTTTACACTATATCTTTTACTTTATTCTATAATAGTCTACTATCTGTAGCTAAAGATTAATTAGAGTAATGTATAGCTATTAAACTTAAAACAGGTATTACTCTTAGTATAATTAAGTTGCTAAGTAAAGAATAAGACTGTGTTATAAAGTAATTGTATACAATTAAATATATAAGCTTATAGTGCAAATATAACGCTTTTAAAGAAGTAAAGTAAGGTAATCTACCTCTAGCTCTACTATTAATGTTAGAAGTAAACTTCTTTACTTTATTAATAAAAAAAAATTTGTTATTTTATAGCTAATTAGACTTTAATTTTGCGTTTTTAGAGACTTTTAGTCTTAGCTGTTTTAACAAGAGTACAGTGTAATTTAATTAAATTGTACTACTTAGATAGATCACGTGAGCTGTAACACCTACCTCTCCTCCTCCCTGTCGTACGAACGTACACAAAATCTCACCTGTACAGGCCTGAAATTCGCCCAATCGTACAGTACTACGCCTCGTTGGAAGCCCTGTAAACAGCTGTGCTACGCAAGACTAGCAATGGGCTCTACCACGACAAGGTGTCTTCTCCGCGCACTCCAACGCATTCAAGAAACATGCGCAGTATCATCCGAGGAGAAAACACGCGGTGAGTTTGCAACGATTGCTCAAACAGTCATTAAAACCATCCAAACAGAGCGGAGCAATGCTAGCATTTGGCTCGGAACGCAGTTCACGGACTGGTTCAAGGGCTTCTACATCACCGTGAGTTTTCACGAACAACCACAATCCGTCAGGATAGCATCGCTAACACGGCCCTCCGCACTAGAAACACGGTCGCGGCCTATCCAATATCCGCATCCTTTCCCTTAGCAACAGCAGCTCAATCTGCACCGCCATCCTCGCCCTCCTCGAACACGTCCCCACCGTCACCATCGAAATTACTATCCTAGAATCCGACCCCGTTTCGAAGGCGCGACTATGGCAGTCCAAATCCTCCATCCAATCCGCACCGCACCCGCACGTCGAGCGCCTCGAGATAATCATGGCACGCGATTGCGCAGTCGCGACGGTCGCTTGGGAAATCGACCTGGTTCTGCTCGGCGCGGATCGGATTGAACATGATGGCGCTGTGTCAAACAAAATCAGTTTCTTGGCTGTGGCTATATGTGCGCGGACTTTGAATAAGAATGCTCAAGTTGTTGTCGTGAGTAATTCGGATAAGATTGCGGCGGGAGATGACAAGCTTCATCCTGCGGAGAACACGATGCAAGGGAGATCACAAAGTCGTAGTACGAAGCCAGGGTTCCGGATTTGGAGGTCCAGGTCAGCGTTTTTGGTGAATGGTTTGAGTGGGTTGATCAGAAGTTTGTTGATGCGTATGTACAGTGTATGTTAAGGAGGGGGTGGGATGAGAACAAAGGATGTCAAGAGGGTGGCAGGAGAGATGGAACATCTCGAGAAGAACATTTTTGGGGTGTGAGGATGGGCTGCAGAATTTCCCCACTGCTGACAGTGTATGTACTGAGGAATCCTCGTCGGCGCGGTTATCGTATCTCCAGCAATTGTTCCAATGGCTCCATTGGAGGAAACATTCACTTCCAATAGTTTTCTTTTAGAATTCTAAGAAATCATTCGGCGAGCCTAGGTTGATGTATGTAATTACTATTGATATCAATTTGTAGGAACCAAGATAGTATTTGCGACACGATTGTCGGCTCGAGTGAAGTGCGCCAGCCCAACAACTAAGTACCCATGTCTGCTCCTCAGAATTCTAACTCCTCAGAAAAAACTAACTCTAACCTAATTTTCAACATTATACTTATCACGAAGTTGTTAGACCATGCACACATATATAATGTGGAAAGGGAAAAATTATCTAGAGGTCGGGATTGTTAGATTTGGACAGCATCTCTAGAAGGAGTCATCGAGCCTCCTGAGGAGAACGGCCGGATTGCGATCGTAGTAGCCAGAGCGTTCGACTTCCCCTGCACTGGGGGTCGGTGGCGTCCATTGTGGCGCTAAGCCCAATACAGCCCGATGCACTGCATTGGGCCATCTTGGCGGTAATCCAGCCTGACGGATTCGAGAACTTCGCCATCAGCCAGCCATGGTGTGAAACGAAGTCTATCATTTTGATCAAAGAGGCTGGAATACGGGCAAGCCAACAGCATAACAGCAAAGGTTATTGCTTTCGATCTTGGCAATATGTGAGCGAACACTCCACCCATTCTATTTGGTTGAATTATCCCATTTATGGGAAGAAGGCGCAGTGGTTCTGCCGTGGTGTGGGCCAGTGCAGTGTCAGTGTAGAGCCGCTTTGTGAGAAGGTTATAAGTCTCCCACCGCGCCCGACCGCGAAGGGCAAGTACCGCAGAATTCAGTATCGCGTTGTTTAAAGTGCTTTATTTCCAACCTCGCTACAATGTTTCCCTCCTCGTTCTTCCCCGTGGTTCTTGCCTTGGGAGCAGCATACGCGTCCCCGGTGACCACGGTACCTTCAGCGCCCCTGATAACTCCCGCTCCTCTTATTCCTCGGTCGCTTGGCAGCTTCTTTGTCGGATATGCAATGTTTGACGACGGCTCTAGTACGCGCTGCGCCTTCTCAAACCGCGTCGTGGAAACTAACCTGCGTTTCCAGTTGACACTTATTCATGTCCTACTACCGACACTTCTAGAACATTTACGATCTCATCCAGTGCCTATGCAGGATGCGCTTACTATGCTTCTGACATTTTCACCAATTGCTACTTTAACACGGCGATAGCCCCCGGTGGAGCACGAACTTGGTAAGGCTCGTGAATTAATCCCTCTTGGCGTACCATCAGCTAATCACCATATAGTAACGACTACTGTGTCACGAACCTGATCTTCGCGTCCGCGAGCGATCGATCTCCCGCCTGGATGGTGGGCTGTGCCACACAATCATACGGGCTGAAGTTACTTCACGTGTCAAAGGAAGACCTACCCACAGGAGGCGCCTCGTTGAACTCATTAACACCCACGCAAGCTTCAACATCTATGCCAAGATCTCCCGTGTCAAGTGCATTTCTATCTTTTACCACGGCAGCTTCAACTACAGCTCCATCGCTTGCCACGCTATCGCACAGTACGTCCCAAGATCCCCGGTTCATTCAATGGCAGTGTATCTGACACCATGACAGCAAGCTCCCCCGACCCACCGAAAAAGAACAACGCCCCCGTAATCGGCGGCGCCGTCGCCGGATCCCTCATATTGCTTGGACTGATCGGTGCTGGTGCATTCTTCTTCTTCAGTAACCGTCGCGTCACTGCACCCAACACGCCATATCAAGGTCCAGATCAGGCAGTTGCAATGCCTCCGGCTCCAGCTCCGCCCCAAGCAACGTTCTCTCCACCGCCAGCATACGGTCAACCCCTTTCAGCACCCATACCAGGGTATGGAGACGGGAAGCGGGATCATGTGGCGGAATATAGGGTGCCGGAGATGACACATCACGAGGTTCATGGGCAATCGACCCCCCTGTCTGCGGCGCCGATGCCGGTGTATAACCAGAGTTTGCTGGGGGCAGTGGACCCAAATACGAATCGGAGGAGTGAGCTTTCTTGAGGGCGTCGGACTTGGATTTTGAATTTTACTGTGCGCCTCTTGTATTAGGAGCGCGGGGATAGCGTTCACTTCAGAAAGTCAGTAATGTGGCGCTCTTGATGCATTTCATTTGGCACGATACTAAGTGATCTGGATTTCTTAACCTTTTTTCTACTCTTCTCTTGTTACGCCGTTATTTCCGGCTTGTAATATGTAATATGAGGTGACTGCCTCTTTCCCTAGGTCAAATATTAGAGGTTGGTCGTGTACCATTCAGTCCAAGGATTAAGATGAGTTCGCTGAGACGATGTTGGAATGTAGCACATGAATAAATACGATTGAGTGTAACCGACTAGCCGAACTTGGAGTCCAGGATAAAGTTTCCCATAATTTTGTTCATGTGGACCTATAGTTCCTTTAGGAATAGCACCGGATCAGCTTGCTTTTCGTCTTCCTTCGGGACATGCACAGTTTCCTGGGTTGGCTAGGCTTTTTCCCCGTGCCCGTGTGCTGGCCCCAGGGACCCGTCATGCCCTTTGGTCTTCGATGCGTGGTCCTTCTCGATATCATCTGCTTCCATTTGTGTATCATCCTTTCCGACGTCAAGACATGCCAGGTATGTGTCCCACCTGACCTGGATGCAGAAAGCTGTTTCAGCTCCTCTGCGTACATCCAAGCACACTAGGTGTTCCCCCTTTTCATTGGCGACTTTGAGGACCACAAACCCGCTATGAAGCATGGTAGAGAGCGAGGTGGGCTTGTCGATGGCAGTGCCAGCATGGGCAGGTCGTGGGTGGCTACCTACCCGCGCTACCCGCTACCCGTGGGTGATGGGCGCTCATGGGTAGGAGCCTCAGACACCAATCTAAGCCTAATCAGGTGGGGCTTAACCCAATGGGGTAGTTTCGGTGCCAAGACAGTGTATTAAGGCAGTGAACACTAGTCGCCCGCCCATCCCTTTTATATGCCAGGTAACGTTGGCAAAAAGAGCTAAAATCTCTGCTGCACCTACTTTAAACGCTTCTTACTAAGACAGTGCTAATTCTATTGTCGCAGCACCTAAATCCTTATAAGCTACTAGGGATGTAGATCTATTTAACAGCAGAGGTGGCTAAGACTCTTCAGAATAGCCCTTTATATCTTCTTAATCCCCTCTATAAGCTCTAAACCCAAGAGGATCTTCTCTCTAGCAGGTATTCTTATAACATATTAATAAAACTATTGTCGCATACAACTATCCGCCTATATATATCCTTCTGCTGTGCTAGCTAGAAGGTTAACCTTTTAGCAAACGCAACAACTATCTTTAGAGTAACATTATTAAAGATTATAAATGTATAGACTTATAGAATAGAGCAGGCGTTATTAAAATTAGCTAGCATGCAGGGGGCTTATTAGAGGATTGTGAGTATAAGATTACTAAAAGCGCAACGTTAAGTTTTAAGATGAACAACGCTCTAAAGGCCTTGTTTAGAGATTAATTTAGTACTAAGATAGTTAAGTAAAATTTTAGAGTAAACCCACTACTTTTAAACAACTTTGTAATAACTTTTAGACAACTCTTTTTACTATACAGCGCTAAGCTGTGTTTAGAGTAGATTGTTTCTAATTTAGCTAGGCAGATTTAATAGAGAACTCTAGATAAGCTTACCTGTTGCCTGTCAACTAGGCTCTAGTAGCCCATACTTTTATGCCATAAGTTACCCATGGGCGCCCATAACCTATAGTTATTCTACCCATAGGTAACATTCCCGCCCATGCTGGACACTGGTCAATGGAGAACCCGCTATTGTCACCTCTGAGTAAAAACATCCCGTTGTAAGGTCCTCAGGTAATCAGGATATATCTTCGCGCTTCTTGTATCAGCCCTGCTATAATGATCTGGGGCTTGATGCTCGTTACATAACTGAGGTCCTTTACGCTTCGGCATACAACTCTGTGACCAACGAAGTCGTGCCATGGCCGTTCTGAAACCTTCCCACTCTTGCAAAGGACCACAATAAAGCAGATAATGACTCATATAAAAGAGGTGGTTTAGAACAGATTGACTCCCTTGATGGATTCCCGCACAACAAACGGAATAGCCATGCCTCCAAGGATCATAAAGGCGGAGATGATGAAGATCGTCCAAACGAAGAAGGTGCAGTCCGCTGATATGCTGTCCTCTGATAAGGCCGCATTTATTTCAATTTAAGATAGGATAGTAGCTTGTTGTACATACTTGAACTATTTTACGTAGTAGACTTTAAGTGCAAGAACAACTCTGTTTTTTATCAAGTTAGCCTAGTGTTATATTAATTAGAGATTTTATCTAGTTTAGTAGTAGTGTACGTTGCCTAGGACTTGTATGAAATTTTTATATATATTTATACTAATATTAGTGTAGGTATAACTATAGCTTTTAAATATTTTAATAACTTTTTTATTAAAGTAATGTAACGATTCTCATGAATCGTTCCATCTCGGGTCGCCCGGAACCTATCCGAAGGGTCTCCGTATCGGCTCTGACCCTGGTTCAACCCTGACTTGACTCTGCCCAGCCCCCTGCTGTTACCCTTATTCCCTTATGTATTTAGTCGCACCTTGCCCTGTAGCTAGCTTAGTAGTTTTCTAATATCCTTTTGTACTAGGCCTATAGGTGTTAATGGCATTCCTAGGTTCAGAGTCCCCACGCACTCCTATATGCCTCTGAGTGGATTCCCTCCGCATTTAGACCTATTGTCTTGCCTGCGCTGTTACATTATATTAAAAAACTTACTTTTGCTAGTAACAGCCTTGTACAATATTGCACTAATTGTTTGTTTAACTACGTCTAAGCCTAAGACGCGTCTAATTTAGTTTAGGTTGCAATACTTACACACTGTTATATTAAACTATTTAGTTTATAGACTAGATCCTATTAACCTCTAGTTAACTAAAGCCTTTAGGTTTAGAACTTCCTATCCCTATGTAATTAGAATTGCCTTTAGAAAAGTTGTAAAGAATGCGCTAAGGTAGAAACTTAGAGACTACTAATAACCTATTAGGATTAGAGACAACTGCTAATGCCTAACTTTTAACCCCTAACTACTAACCACCACCCTGTTAACAGCTAAACCTGCGTCTGCGGGACCTAAAGCTAGACCCACCTGATTTAGAGTTGACCCCTAGCAGTATATCTATGCTTAATTATAAGCACAGCTTAAGCAGCTGATCTACTAAAACACTGCTAGGCAACCTTAACCCCTAACTACTAAATCACCCTTAATAATGCCTTAAATCACCCTTGCTACTCTAATAGCAAGAGACCTTTAAGGCACCCCTAACAACGCCTAAATGCTACTATACTAAACGCACGCCTAAGATTAATAACTGCACAGATAGCAATAAACAAAGGTCTTAATAATTAACAGGCTAGACATCTATACAGATCACTATTAGAACAGGCGCGCATGGCGTTGGGTATGGAGGACTAGAGTTGGCAACAATCAAGTCGACTTGATAACTTGACTTGATTAACTTAATTAATAGCTGTTAATTAAGTTAATCAGCTAGGCAAAATTTACTAAGTTAATTAAGCAAATTGTGCCTGCTTAATTAACTTAATTAACAGACTTAAATCCCTAGGATCTTAGGTTTAGTGGGGGATACAGGATCCTTTAGTGTGCGGGAGTAGTAAATATAGTATGAGGCAGCTCAGCTTTAAGGGACTTTAGAGTCGTGATAGTTGCCTAACTAGGCTTAGCGCCATATATCTGAAATTCCTCAACCCGCCCACCAACTTACCTGCCTCTACTACGTATACAAAGGCTGGCTAGACAACTGCCACCTTAGCTTTCAACGCTTGTGGGCAGAGTTTAAAGACGCCGCCTCTCCCGTCAGTACTCTAGAGCCTCCGCCGAAGAAGGCAGGTACAGGGCCAGCTGGGAGCCAGTCAGATTTTATGAGAGCTGCCCTACAAGGTGATGACGCCTGCCTAATTGCGCGCAAACAGGGACTCCTCTAGTACAGGTAACTTAATTATCCAGCGCTTAAACTTATCGCAGCGATAGGTTTAGAAGCGCCTTAGCTTAAAGCCTACAAAGTTAGCAAAAAGTCCACGTAGTGACGCCATCTCTCCTAAAGACCTGGAGACCATCTATAAGATATACAGCAGTTAATTTACTATGTAATCTATTAATTAAGTTAATTAAGTTAATTAAGTTAAGCCTTATTTATGCTATTAAGTTAATTAAGTTAATTAAAACGTGCTAGATCCGTTAATTAATCAAGCAATTCACCCCGACTTGATTGACTTGATTGTTGCCAACTCTGTGGAGGACACTGCTAGCAGTGCGAAGGAATACTTAGTAAGGACACCTAGCTAAATTAGACTAGTTTTGTTTTAAGAATGCAGAGAACATAACAGCAATACTTTATACTATAACTACTACTAATAGGGACTATTAGTCTACAGAGGGGGGGGTAGTGTAACAATTCTTATGAATTGTTCTATCTTAGGTCGCCCGGAACCTATCCGAAGGGTCTCTGTATCGGCTCTGACCCTGGTTTAACCCTAACTTAACTCTGCCTAGCCCCCTGCTGTTACCCCTATTCTCTTATGTATTTAGTTGCACCTTGCCCTGTAGCTAGCTTAGTAGTTTTCTGATATCCTTTTGTACTAGGCCTATAGGTGTCAATGGCATTCCCAGGTTCAGAGTCCCCACGCACTCCCATATGCCTCTGAGTGGATTCCCTCCGCATTCGGACCCATTGTCTTGCCTGCGCCGTTACAAGTAAGTTATAACACATTAAAAGGTAAATAAAGTTATTTTATGCTATAAAGTATAAAAGAAATATTACATTTAACATAAAAAAAGCTTTTATAGTTATAAAAAAGGCAAATTTAAGTTAGCTATTAAACAATAAGTTAAATATAAATAAAATAGGCTAGAATAGCATAAGATTAGCTACTACATAATAAATTTAACAACACTATAGCTACTACTACTAGTAGAGTTACTAAGTTAAAACTTATACTATTTATAAAGTAGATATTATAGATTATATTTTTTAAATTAATTAATGTAGATGTTGTAGAGTAAAATATAATTTAAATGTAAAATGTTGTTAAAGTAGACTTGTTACTTGTGTAGCCTACTTGCTTGTAAAATACATTCAGGTACACTATAAGCAAGTTGCTTACACACCTAAGTTGCTAACTTTTACTAAAACTCTACTAAACTACTCTTTCTATACTAATGCATTTCTAATAACACTACTTAAACATGCTAGAAAAATGTTAGATATAGCTTATACTCTAAGCTTTTATATAGAATGTAACACTTTTAAAGTAATATACTATAGCTATGTATAAAGCTTTTTAAAACATAATAAATAACTAATATATTAAATTACTTTTATAAGCTAATTTTATAGCTAATTTATAAAAGCTTAATAATAATAAAAAGTAGGTAATTATTAAGCATATACTTAAGCTTTATATGTAAGAATTTTCTTTTTAGCTAGTAGCTATAGCTAATATAGCTAATTGTTTACACGCTAAGTATAATCTAAGCTATATTAGCATAAACTAGCTTAGTATATTTATAAAGTGTTATCTAAAGCTTAAAGTAAAGTTAAGTATAACTATAACTATAAAAAAGCTTTTTATAAAGATCTTAAAGTAATTTAAAGCTAGTTTAGCCTTATAAAAAATATTAAAGCTAAGTATAGCATTAAGAATGATAATATATATAATTACTTACTTTTTATTATTACTTAGCCTTTATAAGTTAGCTATAAAATTAGCTTATAAAAGTTATTTAGTATATTAGTTATTTATTATTTTTAAAAAACTTTATACATAGCTATAGAATGTTATTTTAAAAGTATTATATTTTATTCAAAAGCTTAAAGTATAAGCTATATTTAATATTCTTTTAGCACATCTAAGCAGTGTTAATGTACTTTACAGGCAAGTTACTTACACACCTAAGTTGCTTACTTTTACTAAGACTTTACTAAACTACTTTTTCTACACTAATATATTCTTAATAACACTACTTAGACATACTAAAAGAATGTTAGATATAGCTTACACTTTAAGCTTTTAAATAAAATATAAAACTTTTAAAGAAACATGCTGCAGCTATATATAAAGTTTTTTAAAAAATAATAAATAACTATAGCACTAAATAACTATAGCACTAAATAACTATAGCACTAAATAACTATAGCACTAAATAACTATAGCACTAAATAACTTTTATAAGCTAATTTTATAGCTAACTTATAAAGGCTAAGTAATAATAAAAAGAAAGTAATTATTAAGACTATACTTAAGCTATATACATAAATTTTTTTTAAATAGCATTTATAGCTAATATAGCTAATTCTTTATATGCTAAGTGTAATCTAGGCTATATTAGCATAAACTAGCTTAGTACATTTAAAAAGCATTATTTAATGCTTAAAGTAACATTTAAGCATAGTATAACTATAAAAGAGCTTTTTATAAAAGTCTTAAAGTAATTTAAAGTAAGTTTAGCCTTATAAAAAAATATTAAAGCTAAGTATAGCATTTAAAATAATAACATGTATAACTTTAGTAAAATAAGCTTTATTATAAGCTAAATATTTATTAACTATACTTACACTTAAAACTTTACTTTAAGCTTTAAATAACACTTTATAAACATACTAAGCTAGTTTATGCTAATATAGCCTAGATTACACTTAGCATGTAAAGAATTAGCTATATTAGCTATAAATGCTATCTAAAAGAAAAATCCTTATATATATAGCTTAAGTATAGTCTTAATAATTACTTTCTTTTTATTATTACTTAGCCTTTATAAGTTAGCTATAGAATTAGCTTATAAAAGTTATCTAGTGCTATAGCTATTTATTATTTTTTAAAAGACTTTATACATAGCTGCAGCATGTTTCTTTAAAAGTTTTATATTTTATTTAAAAGCTTAAAGTGTAAGCTATATCTAATGTTCTTCTAGCACATCTAAGTAGTGCTATTAGGAATGCATTAGTGTAAAAAAAGGTAGTTTAGTAGGGTCTTAGCAAAAGTAAGCAGCTTAGGTGTGTAAGCAACTTGCCTATAAAGTACGTTATTAAAGATGTATTAGTATAGAAAAGTAGTTTAGTAAGGTCTTAGTAAAAGTAAGCAACTTACCTATACAGTATGTTAAGTTATAAAGTAGATATTTTTAATTAGATTTTTGTTATTCTTTAATTAATAAATATAGGTATTAAAGAGTAAACTGTTTGCTTGTGTAGACTAATTACTAATATAGTACATATAGCTATGTACTAAAGCTAATATACTATTACCATAGAAGTGTTTAAGGAGTAAGAAGTAGGCGGCATTAAGTAGCTAAAGTAGGTGTAATAAATAAAGAAGTATTACACATTCTAGCAAGCCACAATTAGGAGGTCGCAACAGGACAAGAATAAGATAGACGCTGTTAGCTAGAGTGGTGTGAAGTATTAAAGAGGAGATTGCTAAGCTATTTTTAGCAAGGTTTTGTTATTCGTGCATGCTCGAAGTGACTGTAAGCTAACAAACCCAGAGAAAGCCAAATAGTCGCGCCACAACACCAATTGCCGGGCCTAGCGGAGCCAGAATAGCTTGAGTTGAGCGCGAAAATGCAATATAGGGGGCTATACCCCAAACACCCTGTTCCACATACTTTTGTGTCGCTAGCATCTAGTGCAGCGTATCTTCCGCGAAGAGCTCTAAGTAGATGCATGCTCAAGTACCTCGTAAGTTTGTGAACTTTCAGGTAATACAAAACCTCTTTGGTTAGAAGGACATACCTTATGCCACCCCCAAGGCATGGCCCAGAATTACCTCTCAACACGACATCACGAAAGCTCCCGTTGTCCACTCAGGAAGCCGCTCTACAACCTCAGCATCAAGAGAACTCAAAAGCATCGCACTCTACGTGCAATCATGATCCTGTCAAAATTCCCGTCTACACCTCCAGCTGTAGCGTCATTCACAACGGCTATACCAACCTTGTCAACGTCACCAAAGACATCCCGCTGCTTCAAGCCTGATAGTCGCAAGGTAGTGCCAAGGAGAGGAGGGGGGGTTTAGCAGAGAATAGCATAGCAAGTAGATGGTGAATTGTGGGAAAGGAAGGATTCATTGTAGGAAGGATTGTAGCTGCTGGAAGGATGGGGAAGTGACCCGGGACTGTGAAGGCCGCGCGGGATAGTACCTAAGTAAATGGAGAAGGAGGCAAATGTACATCTAGAGAAGGCTGCAAACGAATGGTGAGGGAGAATATCATTCTATGAAAGACGCTGGGGTGGCACAGAAAGGGAATGTGATGTTCGCAAAACAGAAAGGTAGGAACAGAGACGATAGTACGGAGTAGCAAATCGACGGGGAGCGGGGACAGAATAGCAAGGGGTGCAGGGTAATCCACAACCGAGAAATTCAGTGCGTGCGAAAAACATGGGCAATTTCTAGTCGATAGATTGCGTTAGAGAATGTCACTACACAAGGCACAGCCGTGGGCAGTGTTGGGCCAATGCCATCCACCCTAGTACGGAACGTTGGCCCCGTGTGGCCGCCATTTCGCTTCACAGCCCTACGTGCCTTCACTCTACTGCCCCTCATTCACGAGCTGCATCCTTCACCTTCATCTCTAATTCCCTCTCTTCCGTTCTTGAACGTCCTTGTAAATCGACGACATGACACAATTGGGCATAACGACCATCGTGGCTGCCGCTGTGGCCGCCTTCATCCTCTTTGTCGTGGCGTTAATTTCCAATCGACGAGAAGTGTGGAAGCTGCAAACAGCTAAGGCAGTGAGTTGAGCCCGCCACTCGAATACTCTCACGATTAATATGTTTCGCTGATGATATTGAGCCCATGCCAAAATTTCACCCGCTATTTGGTCATTTCGTCGCGCTCAAAGAATGCATCCAGGCTCTGCCACGAAATACGACTATGCACGTCGTAGTGCGGCGTATGGCGAAACAGTTCCCGAATGGCGTCTTCTATCTCAACTTGTGGCCGTTCAGCAGGACCCTTATGGTTGTTACCAATCCATTCATGGCGTCCCAGGTCGAGGTTGCTTTCCTCGACAAACCTGCCGCTATGTGTGGTACCTTGGAGATCATCAATGGAGGGCCATCGTTAATGACGATGCACGGGAGTGCATGGAAGAAGTGGCGGGGCCTCTTTAATCCCGGCTTTGCTGCTGGCTACATGATAGGGCTTGCCCCAGCCATTGCAGACGAAGTGGCCGTCTTTTGCAAGCTGCTGCGCCGGCGCGCTAGCGAAGAGAAGATGTTTCAACTAGAAGAATATGCATTGCGACTCACATTCGACATCATTGGTCGCGTGACCCTGTGAGCTCTCACGCAGCAGCGCTCCGAGTACGAAGCGTTTACTAACATCTGCCTCAGCGATGCTCGTCTCCATTATCAGACACAGGGGAGTGCTCTTGCAGACTGCCTCCGGAGACAAGTCTACTGGACTCCGTTTGGAACTACCTTCAATCCATTTCGCCGCTACCTCAGCCCTCGACCCCTGGTCCAGAAGTACAACAGCTACCGTATGAATCAATATCTTGGCCTAGAGATCGACAAGCGATTTAAAGAACTAACACTGTCCCGTTCAAGCTCTCCGAAAGGATCGCCGTCTCGGTCTAGATCTATCATCTCGTTGGCCATGGACAAGTACTTGGAGGACGTGGGGGATACTGGAGAGCTGTCAGGGAACACCTTCAAGGAACTTGCCAAGCCTCAACTCCGTATGTTCCTCTATGCTGGCCACGACACGACAAGCAGCACGCTCCTGTACTGCCTCTTCTTGCTTTCTGGCCATCCTGAAGTCTTGTCCAAGGTTCGCGCTGAACATGACCGGGTGTTCGGTTCTGACTTCTCCATCAATCACATTAATGAGGTAATCCACACCGATCCCACGCTTCTAAACCAAATACCATACACATTGGCAGTTATCAAGGAGGTCCTCCGCATCTTCCCTCCCGCAGCAAGTCTACGTGAAGGGTGTCCAGATCTCAGCCTTGTGGACGAACAAGGCCATCAGTATCCTACTCAGGGATGTCATATCTGGGTGCTCAGTCTGGTTATGCATAACAGCCCTGATGTCTTCGTAAGGCCAGAGGAATTCATCCCAGAACGATGGCTAGTCGGCCCTGAAGACCCTCTCCACCCCAAGAAAGCCTCTTGGAGGGCATTCGAATGGGGCCCGCGCAACTGCATCGGTCAGACACTTGCGCAACTTGAACTCAAAGTTGCACTCGTCATGACTTCTAGAACGTTTGATATCACTCCCGCATACGACGAGTGGGACAGACTGCATCCAAGGAAGGGCATCAAATCTGTTGACGGAAACAGAGTATATCAGGCTGAAATGGGTGGCGGTGGGGCCCACCCAGTGGATGGGTTTCCAGTCAGGGTTACCATGAGAGACTAAGAATATTCTTTTCCTTTCTATTACCAGGGTACACGTTGAAGTGTCTGTTCTGGGACAATAACCCGGCAGGACGCAACGTGCAATAACGGTAGTGGACTCTTAGTTGAGTAAGAATATCCCAATCTAAGGGGAAAGGGAATCAATCGGCCAAGGAACGACCAATTTTGTGCATAGTGAGGTACCTCCTCTCATCATTTGTCACGTCGACCGCCTTTTCTCCCACCCGCGCCCGAGCTTCCTGCGAAGTTTCATACTACCATAAGCAGCTTACGGCCCAAGATTTCTAAGGTGCTAGTCGGGCGTTATAAATTCAACCGATGCGTGCGGCAGCGAATCTCCATAGCCGAGCAACACCAGTAGGCTAGCCATCAGCCTTATGTGCATTCGGGCGCAGATGCATAGTCAGTAAATGCCCGTTCTTACGGGTAAATCCTTTGTAAATCCTTTCCTTACCGCTCAGCACTTAGATTTCAGTATTTCATCAACCTACTCCGACACCACTACCAATAATAATTCCACCTTTCACAACGGCGAAGATTGTGCGATAGGCGGTGATCTCGCGGATGAAGCAGCTAAGTTGTCGGACTGGGTTTGTGATTGTAAGGGGTAGATCGTTCGGTGCCGCTTCTGCCTCGCAGTTCACCCTGAGACAACGCCCAAGACCCCATTCCAGCCTTCTTGATGACCAAGACTGGATAACTGGTGATAACTCCGGGACCGGTGACTATATGAAAGAAGTGAGGTCAGTCTCAACACGTCTCTCGGGTAACTATATATTGAAGGAGCGAAAAGACACTGATCTCAACAAGAAAACGCGCTAGTACTACAAGAGTGATTACTGCCGCGCTGACTCAAATTGAGGTGAAACACTACGTCATGTGACGTAGCTTCACCTGCTCCAATCGTCACGTGCGACATCTTAGAGCATCATCGCCTGATCCCAAAATTTAAATATACGGCGCTAGGCAACCGCCGGTTATGAATATATCAGTTAGCTCAATTTGCTAATTCGTACATACGGATATAGTGGATTGAGTTAGTAGTTACGGCTACGGAGCGTAACTGTAACGTTCAGATTAATCTGCATAAGGGCGTTTGGTGAAAAGCTACGCTTCAACTTGGGGAGTAATGGAGGCAATAGCCTCAAGGGAGGCTTTATTTTGCTCCTGATGACGTGAGCAAGCTCATTCAGCCCACAGCGAACAGATTTCCATCCTTGCCAGTTCTTTTGTAACTGAAGGTTCTTAATGATGGTCTCACTAAGCCAATTGCTCTCAAACGTAACAGCCCTCCGTCGTCTGCGGCAAATGGAGAGGTGGTGTAAGCATCAGGGCTTCCAACGGGCCGTACTACGGTCCGTACGAAGTGAACCGTAACGGTCACGTGTTCAGTACGAACGTGCCCAGTTCGTGAGCCGTACCGTACGTTTAATGATGCCCTAGGTACAGTACGTAGTACGGATTTTATTACCCTTTTAGGAAGTTTGTATAGGGGTTCTGGAGGGGTAGGAGGGCTCTAGCGAGCAGGAGGCCTGCAGGGAGCGTTTAGGGGGGCTTCTAGGGCTCTAATTGTAAGGCCAGGATGGCGCTTACGTGTAAGGCCGAGATGGCGCTTACGTGCGACAGGTATATATACTATTCTGCACCCGAAAATCAACGTTGGTTGATTATTCGCACCTTTTTGGTTGTATTGGCGTAGTGGTACAGAGCTCCGTCCTTACACTAATTAGCTAAAAGTTTTGTAAGGACGCTTAAATCTCTTTCTAAGGGTTTTAATCTATCTATCTGCAGTCTGTTGTCTTAAAAACGCCTATTATAGACTATTTTCTATTACAGAGTTATCTATCTACGCCTCTTGCCGCCTTACAGGCCTTATCTAGTCCTATCTGCTCTTGTTACTAAGGAGAACTAGTTATTTTAGTTATTTTATAGTTAATTAGACCTTAATCTTACGTCTTTAGAGACCTATAGTCTTAGCTGTTTTAACTAGAGTACAGTGTACTTTAATTAAATTGTACTACTTGTACAGATCACGTGAGCTGTAACAGTTACAATACGTACACCTACCTCTCCTCCTCCCTGTTGTACGAACGTACACAAAATCTCACCCGTACAGGCCTCAAAATCGCCCAATCGTACAGTACTGCGCCTCGTCGGAAGCCCCGGTAAGCACGCAGCTATGTAAGAAGCTGATGAAGTGAAGTGTATTGTGTTAAGTCTAAGTGCTCTGTTGAAGAGTATTTATTTACATCTACGATGGCAGGGGCAGTGCCATAGCAATGGCTAAGGGGCTATGTCGAAGGTAGTAGGAGCTATAGCGAAGGTAGAGGGGTCGTCGAGGCACAGGGAAGGAAGGTTTCTGCACCAGGAATGCGACATGCTCCACTGAAAGCTCTCCCGCAATCGCAGCTGGTACGAAATATGAATAGGAAATCGAGGGGTATCTTGATGGGGGTTAAATAGCTATAACAACCCACTTAAAGCTACTAAATGAGAGGAGATTAAGCAGCGGGTTATTCTCCTTAGCTTAGCTGAAGTCTTCTAGACCCCACTCAATTGGAAACACTACGCCGGTGTTAAGCTGAGAGTTCTCTAGATAAATCTTTGGTGAGGCCTCAGTACTAGCTCCGGGAGTGCCTTCTCAAGGGAGGTTCCTGCAGGAATGGGCCATGTCTGGCTTATCGATATCGTAGTTGGCCTCAGGCCTTCTTCATGAGCAGACAGTGTCTCGAAACAACAAGTCAGTGTTTCAGAGGTCGGCATCTAGTAACTCTCATACCCACGACGATGAACTCCGAGTGTCCTTCATATCTTTAATCAGAAAATGAAAGGCCCTTGCGGCAACAAGCCGCGTTATGGTGCCCAAGAACAACAAATCAGCCTTCACCATCCAGAATCCAGCATTTTCTCATACGCACAACAACGGACTCAGAAAGTCTTTGCATTCTAGTCATTGGCGAAGACATTGACTCGGGGGACTTGGGACAAGAATAGGGACATTATGGAATGAGCGGGAAGGCTTACCTCAGGCCAAAGCCGTTGATCATATTGAAGTATGAAGTTTTAAAGTAATGGTATTGGTTGATAGAGAAGAGCTAAAGGAGCAAACTATATACTGAGGGCGCTAGTGGCGCGCTGGCGGCACTTGTCGTCTATTAATAGTAAACAAAACAATAAGGGGATTGTATCTTCCAATAGATCACGCTTAGAGCATCAGCCTAGTGCCCCTATCAGGAACCGCTCGTCATGGGAAGGGCTCAGTGAAGTCGTGAAAATATTAATCGCGAACAGACGTTTGTGCTCTCACACGAGGAGATAGCTATTTAAGATCCACATCACTATTGCTCTGCTTGTCGAATTGATTCTTGCGAAAGATAAGTCTGGCCGAACCCTCCCGCAAAAGCAACCAAACACCATCTTCCCTTGCGCCAGCCTGAAGATGCGCGGCGAGGCACGAGCGTGTACATTGTACTTCTCCCCTCTCCGGACTGGTCTGTGCTCGCTGCGCACGGCACTTCGATCCTAAGTCAGAGCCACCAACGAAGCGCTGGGTTTCGTTTCATGGCGTAGGACCGGTGATGAAGTTTTAATTTGGAAGGAGAAAGATGGCAAAGGAGGCCGTATAAGGCCCAGTTAATCTGTCGCAAAAATACAGCATAATGCTAGGAATCATGCTCCACAACAAGTAAGCTATAAAATCCATCGAAGAGAGCGTGAAAGATATGCGAGCCATAGAAATATCCAAGTCCACTTCTGACAGGACATCAGGCCGGTCGCAGACCTTGAATTCAAGCGGGAATACGACATGGTCACAGGCAGAGCCACAGGCAAATCAAAAATTGCGGATACACCGGATTTACTAGACAAGGATACTGTTTGCCTCGACCCCAGATTTTAGTGGCGAATTATGCGATACGTTCTTGAAGGGGAGCCTCAAGCCCCCACTTGTGTTTGAAGACCGTGCCTTGGTAGCTCGGAGAGTCCGGATGCCTACGGACCAGGGTTTGTTGTTTCGAGATTTGCGAAGACATGTCCTTAAATCGGCCTGGCTTGCCTTGATGTTCCATGGTGTGGGTGTGGGTGCCACAAGGACCGCATTGATTCCTCGAAAGAACGGGGTCCGATTGTGAGGGCGGGGGGGCCACCTTACCCCGCCTCCGCATCCGCATGTCGTCCGAGATCGCGCATCTGTCTTACAATAGGCTTCACAGCTTCCTTTGAGCCGCTCGACACAATCAGGAACCTCCTCGGCCTTGGCTCCCATAACCCCAAGGTCCGGAACTCGAACCGCGTGCGCATGGCGCAAGTCGGTTAGCCTGATGTTCCCCGCGAGAGCTCTCACCAACAACTTCCTAAGCTCCACCTTTTAGACCGTCGTATCAACTCGGTCTCCCGTGTCAGTGTGATGTTATCCACTGGCCTAACACCTAACAGCGGCATTGCAACCCGGGAGACACCATCCGATGATGAAGGATTCCTGGGTGCCTCGTAGAAGGTGGCCTTTTGAGCCCCAACCCCGCAGTCGCCACGCCAGACCCTCAGCGATACAAGGACCCCTGGGTTGCCCTCCTGTACAGAATTCACCGGAATCCAAACCGATCATAATATCGAAATCGAAGACAACGACCACGAATCATGGCCATCGCCACGACCCAAAAAGCTGCCGTCAAAACTGGTGAGGGCGATACTGCAAAGGTCGAGGTCAAGTCCATTGAAGTCCCACAGCCAGCGCCCGATCAAATTCTCGTCAAAATTAACTACAGCGGCCTCTGTGCCTCTGATAAGTCCCTCCTGCATGACGAATGGGCTTTCTCAGGTGTGTCAATGCAGCCTCAAACGAAGGGCATCGCAGGCCACGAAGGTGCCGGTGTAGTCGTGGCCGTTGGATCTGACGTCAGGGATCTCTGGAAAGAAGGCGACCGAGCGGGCATCAAGTGGATTGCTAGTGTGTGCCGTAAGTGCGAGTTTTGCACCAACGGGGTCGACGAGTGCCATTGTCCGAAGCAGCTGAACAGTGGGTTCAGCATTGCGGGCACGTTTCAAGAATATGCGCTTACGGATGGGCGGTATGCGACTCGTTTGCCAGATGGCGTCAAGGACGAGGAAGCTGGACCGATTATGTGCGGCGGTGTGACGGCGTATGTAGCGTGCAAACGGAGCGCCGTGAAGCCCGGACAGTGGATTGTGTTGCCGGGTGCCGGTGGTGGTAAGTCATAAGCCCCCCGCGCAGGTGAAGCTGTGGAAAAGTACTGACCGGTTTTTGGACAGGACTCGGTCATCTAGCGGTGCAATATGCCAAAGCCATGGGCATGCGTGTCATAGCCGTGGACGGTGGTGACGCGAAACGAGACCTTTGCTTAAAGCTTGGAGCAGAGAAATTCATTGATTTCACCACCACCAAAGACATTCCTGCCGAAGTGACGAAAATCACAACATACGGTGCTCATGGTGTCGTTGTGACCGCAGCCACCAAGGCTGGCTATGAGATAGCGCCTAGCTTCCTTCGACCTGGAGGAACTATGGTCTGCGTAGGTTTACCGAAAGATGGCTCGATCATCGCGGGTGCGCCGCCGATCGTAATGTGTTTGAGAAAGTTGAACGTGGTGGGCAGTGTTGTTGGAACATTGAAGGACGTCGAAGAGGTCAGTTTAGAGTTGAGATCCCTGATGGAAGCAAGGTGACTAATCATACACACGTTTAGGCTCTCGACTTCACCGCTCGCGGTCTCGTGCGTCCGATATTAACGCATGGTGGACTGGAAGACATCAACAGGTTGTGCGAAGAAATGAATGCTGGAAAGCTTGCAGGGCGGGCTGTAATTAAGATTGCGGCGTAAAGAGCCCTGGTGTGATCTTGAACTATAAGAACTTTCCATGCTTTCGCTTCCAGTTGACTTTTTTACGGCGTGACCTCGAACAATCTACCCCGGGTGAGTTTGAACGACGGAATTCCAGGCGCTAGAACCGGCCGTCGCAGTCCATCTCCGCGCGCCCGAACCAGCTATCCGATGTCCTCTCGTTCAATTAGCCCTCGGGTCGCTCTCCTCTTGGCCCAGAAAGCAACGATGCTAACTTGGCACCCGACGATTGAAAGAATTGCGACGAACTGTGATAGGTTATTTGAATCAAGAGCAAGCGACTATTACTCTCTTACCCGTGGAACTACCTCGAACGGCGCTAAATAAACGTCTGAACTTGTTCCCCATGACGACGGCATGGAGACATTGTGCGCTGGCAATAAATGGGTTATATGATAACTTCTCGTCATGATAATGCGAAACCTGCCAGGTAGCGTCTGAACATCCCTCGATGTCCTGCCTTTATGATCAAGGAGTCAGAACGACTTTCGCGGCAATATGACCTTTTCGCTGTCGCTCCGGCCAGGCTAGCCTCGAGGCTTTTTTTATGTCTTTTCTCGAACTAGGATCCTGTGTGGACTCGAGATGACTATAGCACGACCTCAGCACTGATTGCAGTGATGACGCCGCCCTACATAGATGGCACAACAGCAGGCCTGAATTTGCAAATGCCACAGATGGGACCCTCCACCTATCCCACTCAGTCCACTACGTTCCCAAGACACTCTCGGGCCTTCAGCAACTCTCGTTAACTTTGAACTAATTACCTTCTACACCTGCTTTCGCAATATCATGGGCAAGGTGAGATACATGGATCCCCCTTACTTATTCTCATGGAAGTCGCATCTAACGGCGGTTGCAGGATCGATAGTGTGCCCTTACTCGAGCGAAAAGCATTTTGTTTCAGTGATCAGACACAAGAGAAGAAGATCTAGAGTAGCAGAAGAAGAGTAAAGGAGCAAGCGACTCAAAGGATTACCCCTAACGATAGTGAGAATAGTTTCGCTCACGGCAGTCCGGGAATACGGTTCCTTCTCATGAAAACTTCCAAGCCTCGTCGTGGACAAGTCAGCGTGGAGATACTTCTCAAGTTTCGGGCAATGGAGTATATACACATCAACCCTGCTTGTCACCAAAACGTCGCCAATCATGCCCAAACATGACATGACATGTTCGTTGACCCGTACTTTGATATTATTCCTCAACAACATATTGGCCACCAGACCATCTCCACCAATATACACGATGGTAGGACGACGATATACGCTGACGTCGAGCGTGCGACGGAAATCCGGGGAAAGATCCTAGCCAACCCTGCGCACATGCGCTCGGCTACGAGTATCCCGTGTGAAATATTCCGAACACCCACTATATTTATATTAATCCGAATGTCCAACCCGGTACTGAGTGAACCACCAATGTGAAAGGATTTTCCGTCCACAACGGCTATATCTTAAGTCAAACTAGGCAAAATAATATCGAAATAATAACAAAACATCAGCTTCACCAACCACCTGCCAACCAGATGCCATCTTGTACGGTAAGGAAACTCAATTGAAGCCTCGGCGAACTGGATTACATTCCGCAAAATACCTAGTGGCACCTTCGCACTCAAAAGAAACCAAGATATTCCGTGACATGGGAGATTAATCGCACCGTATGACCTGATATTTGGGAGGTTAGCTCACCATGTTCCGTGTCTCATGAGGCTAGCAGTCTCCTTTTACTATGATGCGTCCAAGAGGCTCTCTAACTCGGCGGATTTATGCAAGGACGGTAAGTAGCATTCTCGGATTCGTAACTGGAAGATTTGGTAGCGAAAATGCAAGTGATATAAGAACCGCTCTTCTCGACCCCGAGTCTCCCCATTTCTGCGCGAAGAACACCTCACACAATTTACCCTTTCGTGTTTTTACTTTTGCCTATTCACACCATGCACTCTCTCATCTCCGCTGTGGCTCTAGCAGGGTGTGTTTCTCTGCTCCCATTCGCTACCGCACACGGCTTTGTCCGAGGAGTCACGGACAAAGGAGTATGGACCGCTGGTGCTGATCCTGTCTGGTATTACTACCCAGCTGGGACTGCACCTGTAACAGCGGGGTGGGATGCGCTTAACCAGGACAACGGTTTCGTAGCCCCAGATTCGTATGGAACCTCCAATATCGCCTGCCACAGGAGCGCCACTGCCGGGAAAGCATATGTCAACGTCAATGCTGGCGATACTATTACATTTTACTGGAACACGTGGCCGGATAGCCACAAGGGCCCAATAATCAATTACATCGCGCCTTGTAATGGTATGGTAGTAACTCTGGTCTTGTTTCTTGATCATGGCCATCGAGAGCTGATTTTCCAGGTGAATGTACAACCGCATCCGCAGGAGACCTGAAATGGACCAAGATATCCCAAGGCGGTTTCATCTCCGGGAGTGCTCCAGGCACGTGGGTTACTGATGTGATGATGCAAAACAACTTCACCTCCACCACTGTAATTCCTCCCAAGCTGAAGGCTGGTAACTATGTCATTCGACACGAGATCATCGCCCTGCATGGAGCCCAGAATGCCAACGGTGCGCAAAATTATCCCCAGTGCTTGAATTTGAAGGTCGGTGGCAGTGGCAGCGTGGCACCTCCGACGGGTACTGCGGGGACAGCCTTGTATAGGAGCACGGATGTGGGGATTGTGTTTAATTTGTATACGAGCTTTTCGAGCTATCCCATCCCAGGTCCAGCTCTTTGGACGGGGGCGAATTGATTGGGAATGTCTTAAGGCACACGCCCTACATGGTAGATAACTTGTTGAATCGTGCACTGAAGATATTACTCCTACTTGAATGCTATGGGTAGAGCTGTGGAGCTTTTTGGGAGCGCACAGATTATTACGGACTGAGTTGAAGGAACAGCTCAGCTATATACGGTAGGTACGATACAATAGAGCATTGGAGCGCCAAGGATCAGGTCGTGAAAGTAAAACTAGGGCTGAGACAGGAATAGCGTCAATGTGACTTTCACAGGACGCGGCATCATACGAAAGCGAGCAGGTGAAGGAGGTTAGAGAGTTCCGTAATCACAATCGAAAATGAGATCATTTGGCGCAGGTGATATTGAACATCTTTGGAAAAAAAAAAAAAAGTCTCCTGGAAGTCGTTGGTAATTGGTCCGCCCTGCCTCCGAGAGCCTGGCTCAATGGGCCTGATGTTGCGCCTGGATTATGACAAGCCGCTAGATCGCCTCCCAGCTCTTTACTTTCAAGACTTCCTCCTTTTCGTCTGTAAAGTCTTAGAGGCCTAATTCGCCGAGCCCACGAATTACTAATTGAGCAGGTCTAACTTCGTGGAACAGAGTAGATTCGACGATTATCCAAAAGAAACACCAATAGTACGGTATAAGTCTCTGCCACAAGGCGGAGAACGATAATTGGAGGTATAGAAGCTAAACTAAGTGAAGAACGTGGTAGCCGATAAGGAACTCTTGGGGAACGATGCTGATGTATACAAGCAGATTAACAAAACCACATTCATCGCGGAGGATCTTAGCTGCTACTCCATTTCGTGATGATACCGGAGATGGACCCTCCTTGACGGTGTCGCTATCCCGAACCCCTACTACTAGTGGAGAAAAGTAGACCCTCAGGCGCCAAATTGAGCTATGGCTGAGTCGAGCTTGGACGGCGGTACGGCTTGATTAAGTGGTCTCGGATTGGTGTCGCCTCCTGATGGAAGACTCTAGTACGCTAGCGTCTCGGGAGTCGACATTCGGAACGCTACTTATTCATGAGTTGTCCCCTCACTTAGTGGGTGGGACAGCTGCCGTAGGTGGACAAGACCCATAATACACCTTTTGAGGGGCGGTCCGCGGTGTCATCTCGATCCATGATGGTGGAGGGGAAATGGGTCAAACAGTGTCGTGGTGTGGCATGCCCAGTTCGTCCTCCGAGAGGTTGGGCCCATATCGATCCGTGAAAAGAACAGGAGGATCTATTCTGACGGCGCAATAGTGTAGCATACACAGCTCACTGTTGGGGGGGATATGGGTCCTTGGCTGCAAGTGAACTTTAGTTTTAAGACTGACGACTAGGGAGGGCGGTTCAGAATCCTGCATTCTCCCACTCCGTAATCTCTTCGCCGATTCCTCCACTGCTGGCGGTACCGCTGTCGCTCTTCCGCCACTCAAAATTCTCCCACTTCCACTACCCACACTACCTACTGACTCAGGTACGTAGGCGTTATCTCATATAAGATTACGTTGGCGGGAGAGAACGACTCCAATTAAGTTGTAGTACAGTAGAGGAGAACTTCAGCCAAGCCAGACCGACGACGCAAGCGATGGGAGGGGAAGTCGGATGGGTATGAGCTGTCGTCGAGACCTTCGCTGCGCGACGTCCTAAAAGCTGTGTTTCGGCACTTAGAGGGATCTAGGCCTCCAGGGAGTCGGCCTTGAGCGGTGCGATGGTAAAATAAAGAGATCTTGAGACACACGAGGAGTTGTGGCAGCTGGCTCAGGCGAGCTAAGCTAGCGTTACTCAAGCGCCTCGGCGAGAAGCTTACTTGTACATGGTTCCGTTTCTTCCTTCCTCCGACCGTGAATGGAATGTGGGTTTACCAGACGAGGGAATGAAATTTGTTGGAAGGCTATTGCTGTAGACTTTGGAGATACCGGTCAGTCTGTAGATGTAGCTAGCAAGGAGGCTGGCAAGAATCCACCAAGAGGAGGTCGCATGGCGATGATGTCATGCGGCGGGATAGGCGTTTGGACTATACCAGACCTACCAATGCTGATGAGAGTCTTAAGGACATTACCTTAAGTGCTTTCGACAAGTCAACACACTGATAGATCTCAATCACCATACCCCGGATCTAAGGCAGCCGTACCGAAGAGCCTGGGAGTTAATTTACTCAGGGGTAGGGACTTCGCCATTCTTCGGTCTTTTGAATCGAGACTTCGATGGCGGTGGCCATGGATGAGCCATGTACATGAACTCGGTTTCCATTTCGAACCAACCAAGTCTTCGAGAATACAGCAAGGTCCAATTAGGGTAGTCGCCGCTCCTAATCGTTCACTGTAGTTTGCAGTGTAGGAGATCCCGGTCCGATCATCTTCCCATGGCTCAGGTCGTGAGCTGGAACGATTCAATGTTCCAAACTTCTTGAACCAAATCAGTAGCAGTAATTCTCTTTCGGCGCCTTTCTTCGAGCATTCGCGTTACCAGGGCGTAACGAGGTGGAATCTCGATGGCCTTAATGTGGCGGATCCAAGAGGACATCTCTTCTCGTACCCTCTCATCCTCAGCAAGACGATATATTGCCCATCCCATTTCCTCTGGAAGCGAAATCAAGGCCAAGACAAACAGCATTGTGATCCCAAATGCCCAAATATCGCCGGGGTGCCCACGGATACCTCCGGTGACGTATTCGGGAGCGATGAAACGTGGAGTGCCGCCGCTATGGACAACACCTGTTCTGGTAGCTTGTCCAAAGTCGCACAGAATGGCTTTCTTGCCGTTATCACCTAGAAGAATATTCTGGGGCTTGATGTCACAGTGCGAAATACCCTCCCCATGGATGTATTGAAGGGCACTGCTGATGTCGTGCCAGACTCGATACTGGACCTCCTGCGAGAGTGTTGACATTCCGGCTTCGTCAACGCCCTTGGCTAGATCGGGGCCTACATACTCAAGCTCGAGTCGTAGGTCGCGGGCATCGTAGTAGACGAGGCTGACTACGTGGGGATGCTGGAGCTTACTTAGGATGTCACACTCGTTTCTCCACTCCCTAGCGGTGCTCTCTGCGGATGGTCTTCGAGCAGTCTTCACGGCAGTCACGATGCCATCGCGCTTGCCCCTATGGACTATAGTGCGGACGGTTTCACCAACAGTTTCGTGCAAGACAGGAGCTTTTGGCCTAGATGGCGGATTCCACGTGAGTTCTGGTGGGCTTGGCAGTGTTATGTGTCGAGGAGCAGCAGATTTGCCAGCCGCCTTGCGTGGCGTGAGTTCGGGGGTCTTTGTATTGACTTCCGATTCGGGTCTTGGGTGGTGATAACCCTGGGCTCTTCCCCTTGAACTTGCTTTTCCTTTTGCCGTTAGCTTTTTATCGGCCCGGGAAGTAGATGCACGCGAGGCGCAGGAGGTATTTTCGGTGCTGAGCTTGGTTATTTGTCGTAGCCGCAGCGACCGGCGAGGAGAGGGTGCGGGATCGTGCAGTGAGGGTTCCACCAGAGCATTGAATTGCTCCATGCTTGATGGAAGCCGAACTTCAAATGCGAGTGCTTTGCTGATTTGCAGGCGCCAATTACCGCATGCAAGCCGGAAGTGGTCGCCCGGTAAAATTGTATGCATTATGTCCCGCGATTCTACAGACCAAGCGCGAAAGGAAGTGGAGCCAGAGACATTGTGCACCTCCACGTGATGGTTATCGGGGTCTGGGTAGATGATGGCGTGGTGCAGGTTGATATAGTCCTGGTCTTTCCCAAGCTCTTGAAGCCTCACATGGCTACTTGGATCCGATCCAATGACGAATCTGTGCGTATGTCGGTCCTGGTAGAGCGATATGGAAGACACATCGTGGGTATGTAGAGTTTGTGGAAGGGGTGACGCCAGTTGGGATGAGATTGCATTCCTGCGGTGGTGTTCGCGGACGGTAACAATAGCAGAGGCAGACAAGGGAATAAGGACGGCACGAACAAGGGGTTCCTCATTGTCCATAGTGATGGTACGGTGAAACCACGTGCAGTGAAGACAATCGTGCATCAGAACATGATTGTTCGCCAGGATGTGGGGTGCGGGGCCGTGTGGGGTGGTGTGGCTGTGGCTATGGCCTGCGTCCACATGGGTGCTTCCGCCGCCCGTAGCTAGTCGCTTGTTTGGTCAGGGCAGCAATGCTCGGCATGCAGCGAGACCTCACATTCGAATTCTCAAAGTACCTCAGCGGCCTCACTACCTCACCGTGACTTTCACCAACAACATCACCCCATCCCCCATCCCATCGCGAAACCACATTATCCATCAACCACGTCCGCTGCACTTGTCATGGCCAATGCAATCGCGGCACCTTATCGGCCCCCCAGCCCATCAGCCTCGCCGCCATCCTCGCCCACATCCTCGCCCACAGCCAACCTGAAGCAGTCCGCCGGCACACAACCGGCCACGGCCTTCGCCGACAAATGCGCATTATCTGATCACTACCTCGCCGAGTGGGAGGTGCGCTACAACCGGCGGTCGATTCCCCTCATGCCCAGCTGGGGTTTCGAGCGTCTCGTTGCCAGCGTGGTGGAGCAAATGGCGGCCGTGGGTGGCATTGAGGGCGTCGAGGCCGAAGTTGCGCGTCGCATGCAGCACGAAACTGACCGCCTAGAAGACGAGATGGATGGATCCAAGCTGGATCTCTTCCTTACCCCGCCGTCTGCGCTCCCAAGTGAACTACCGCCGCTGCTCTCCAACATTCGCGAAACCACGGTCCAGGGCCATGCGCAGTTTGTCATTACTGCTCTTTCCCTTCTTCGACGCTGCTTTAGCGACAGGGGACCTGCAACGCCGCCGAAGAAGCCGACCCGACCAAAGGCCGCGGCTAGACAAGCCAATGCTGCCCCGCGCACCACCAGGAAGAGGCGGAGCGACAGTCCTCCTACAATTCCTACCCTGCGGCGCAGCAGTCGAGTCGAAAAAAAGAAGAAACTCTCCAAGTGAGTAACAAGGTCGCAGAAACTTGCGTAACCCTAATGCGTTACCCAGATCGTCGCCTTGACAGAAGAATCAAAATCGAGCACCATCCTGCGCATTCAAGCGATCATCCACGAACCGAACGATCACGAATCACACTAGCAATGCCTTCTGGATTTATATTAGTTCAGAACCGGACACCTCGTGCAATAGTGCCCGTCGATAATTCACGCCGACCGCCGCTCCAGGCTATCATTCCTTCCGCATCTTAGTTCAGCATAGACGATGGAAACTCGTGGAAGATAACCCAGGAGGACACTAGCCTTGTAATGACCGCCCGGGACATATCACGTTTGGGGAAGGGCGACATATCGTTGCATGCTACAAATTGATGGGCGAGGAAAGCGAAAATCCGTTCCGTGGATTTTCTCCACTTGCGACCCTCACCATTCTCACCACATCTCCCACCACATTGCATCCACTACCTCTCCAACCAGCTCACCTGAGAAGGGTTCCCGTTATGTGAACATTTTATTAACGTAGGCATCGAAATGGGGGTCGTCACACCTACGGTCCATTACGAGGAAGTGTAACTCGTGCCATAGATGAATACATATACTGTTCTGCTCCTGTTCACGACCCATCTCACCAATGGTTCGTGCCTCTTCCTGTCTACATTCATTCTCATTCTTGTCTTCTTTTGAGTCGGTCTTCTCTCCGAGGTTGGCGGTTTCTCCGCGTATTGATTGGTCGGCGGCGATTCTGACTAAGCAGCCTACACATCAGAGTTGCTGGTTTTCCGCAAGCGTTTTCCGTTCAGGCGGCCTAGGTAGCGGTACCGTAGTTTCATTAAATATTAAAAAAAATTCCTGAACTAGCAGTGAACACATAAGTTAGCACGGGTACAGCAAGCAAGGTGCGGCCGTCGACTTGACCTTACGACAACCTGGAAATTCTTGTCAAACCAGGGCCGATTGAGATCACGTCAAGGAGAGAAAGCTATGTATTCTTAGTAAATGGTGGCAGTATGTTAGGGTGAGATAACCAAACCAATTCGCTTAAATCGAGTTAGGGCAAGAGCATAGCGTCCTCAGCAGCAGTTGCACAGACTAGTCCGTTCCGCAGCATGCAGTGCAGCAAACCATTGTGTAGCATCTTCCTTAATGCATTAGATGCTTTGCAATGGACCCTAGTTTTCCGGAGAAGGAGCCTACTCCGAACTCTCATTGAAACTCAGTTTGGAAGCCGCTTAGTCATCGCACCTAACCTCTACCTTGCTGTGAACTTCCACTCTTCCACATCATTTCGTTCGGCTGCTTGCACAAAATCGTATTTGGTATCGCTCAGAGAATCAGGAGATAAGGTAACATCACTCTATGAAAAGTGTTACAATACAATACCACCAGGCGCCAATTTCTATTCCTATAACTTATCTCGTGATCTGACGACCTCGTCACGAGGCTTTTGAAGTCCTGCCTTCCAAGATATCTACATGCAAGCTTACCTGGGCACGCGATGCTCATTTTGCCCACATTTCTATCGGGTATGGAGGGGTTGCCTATTTTCTTGCGGTGTTGCCTTACATTTGTGAATATCGAATAGCGAATAGCGGCACCCACCATCCGACTCTCGACATGGGACGCACGAGGCAAGGACACGAGCCAACGGCTGGACGAACATGTGTTCACAAGAATCCACAATCCTAATTATAGAGAATCTTTTTTTGTGCTCAGGGAATGGCCTCGCGAATCTTCATTCACGAGAATGAGATGATGGTCTTCATCGTATCGCCATGGCGCCAAGCACGAGTGGACACCATTTAGTTTGAATTGGTGCTATGCATCCTAATTATAATCACCTTTGAACTCTCGAACTGGGATATTTAATCCCGCTGATTGACCATGGCAACTCACCCCCCCAAAAGCCAGATCAACAACACATCACCTTTTTAACTTTACTTCCTTCAGACCTCAACTTCACTACTTCATCGATTCATATCAACAAAATGGTTTTCGCACCTCTCTTCCTCCTCTCACTTCTAGCTACCGCGTCCCCTCTCGACCGTCGCAGCTGCGCCATCGAGGTCCCATCCTACATCGGCTGGGCAGACTCCGATATGGTTGACTATAACTTTTTTCCCAAAGCTGGCAACACCGACATCCTCGCTAGCAAATACACCGGCCCACAGTGGACCCAATGGAGAGACACTCTCCTTGAATTCAACATCCCCCAAGGATCATGGGGCTGCCAGCTAGAGATGTACTTCGAAAAAGGCTTCGGCCTGGTTTTCAGAGATCATCCGTATGGCCCTGTGAAGACGGATGTATGGAACGTCGATGGAAATGTCCCTCGCAATCCGTTTAATTACACTCTGACCTGGAATACTGCGCCAAGTACGACGAGCTTGTTTGGGACCACAGGCGATATCGAGTTGCCGCCGCAGCCGACGCCTGGCTATTCGCAGGATGTCAAGAAGGTTATCAATTCGGCGCCTTGCAAGGAGAAGATGACGTATAGACTTAGGGTGCCAGCGGAGGTTACTAACGGAGGAGTACGCATGTACCAGACAAACGGACATCCGTTTGGTGGGTGGAGAATCGTGCATAATTGTTAGTTTTTGGAAGAGGTGGGGAGATTTGGTAGACCGGAAGATGGAAGTTTGATTTCGTTTCTTTGGGAGTGAAGGCAGGTGGATTTGATTGTGTTATTTAGCAGTTTCTTAACTATGTATTTGTTGTGTCTCTAGTATTTCTCTTACATTCGATCTCTAAATGCACTTTTCTTTAATTTTGATTCATTTCCCGCTAGTCTTTCCGGGAAATAGGGGACAGTTCCATTGCAGTGGATCAAAATATTCGTTCTCGTAGAAGATGCTTACACTATCCGTCTAAAATATCCTAACTCGCTAATTGCCATGCACGACATTTTGAAGCAATTATTTTCAAGAAAGAACAGCCAGAGATCTTCTTGATAGCCCATTCAAAAGCCATTTGGAGTTCTCACTGATACTGCAGCCTTAACTTCCGTGAGGCTCGTTCCTCCCTCCAGACATTGCCTGGTTGGCTCACCATAATTTTGACGTATGTATAGTTAACATAAGGGCCCTACATTCCCGATACATATCGTGATGCTAGTATTGCTATCCACGCCACCATTTAAGGCTCCATAGCGGAGGTCGTTTTAGTGGATGACACTTCAGTATGAGGAATTACGTCGCCACTACCTTCGGGTCGACTAGGTTCAATATAGGTTTCCGTCCAGTAGGCATCACTTCTTAAGATAGTGGCTGCAATGGAAAGCTTTCTCATTCCTCTTCTTCTAGGGCTCATTTGCTACAGAGTGATCTGCTATAGAGAAGGCGAGAGTCTGGAGTATTGTGCATGAGGCAAAGGCGTATTCATAAAGACACATCGCACAGTGGCATCTGCCTTTCCTCACTCATAAATTTATTCATTTTGGGTGCTAAACTGAATAAAAAGACGATCTAACAGGTGTATAAGATTGTATTGGAGAAGTTTTCATTTCTTTCCGTTCCGCTCCAGCTTACCATTCTTCAAGCTTGAAAGATACTCTTGTCGTTTTAAATATCCCTTACCTTTCCTATCTCATCCTCAGTCAAAGTTTGATTGAAAGCACTCATGTTACAATAAATAGGAGGAGGTGCAGGGCTTCGATTGGGGAGAAGGAAAGAAACAACAAACTTTTCAAAATAGTTTCGACGATGCCAAGGACAAGAAAATAAAAGATTCTGCATCCATGGCACAGAATTCTCACTCACTAGTACAAGCGTGACTAAATTTCCACCTGGTCATCCACCGAATCTACTATTCAATAAGGAGAGTGGTAGGTGTTACAATGGTCGGGAAGACAATTGCTTCACGGCAAATTGGAAGGAGATAAAAGTCGGTTTGTGAGAGCGCAATCCATGTCAGGGCGGGTACATCGAATGAATGCTCTGGATTTTGGCCGATGTAGGGGTTCCCTAGCATACATTACTGACCAACTGACTACTAGAGAGTTAAAACCACGACCTTCCTATAATCACAGCCCTAGATTCCTAAAAGTATTTTTTCAATAGCAGACAATACAGTTACTCGACTTTAAGAAGATTGCTGGTGACATCTTGTGCTGATTCAGTCAATGACTTCAAGGCACTCATGCACACCTGTCTTATGCCAGAAAAGTTACCGTCGCCCTCTGATTTGCATTTGGCCCCTGCCATTATCATACCCCTTCCTACTATCCTCACACCCTTAGCTACTATTCTTACAACCCCCATGATTGCAACTAGCGCCTTGCTAAGACTGCGTTCATGCAGTAATAGTTAAACTGTTAAAGTTTCTCTAGACCTTTAAAACTTTCCTACTCTTTACGTTTTAGTGTTACAAAGATACTTCTAACAACAATAAGTACTTTACTATAATATAAAATAATTAGTCTAAATTACGTTAGCTACTTAAAATTATCTATCTTAAGTAGCTTCTAAAGTTTATAGTTCTTAGTAAGATGTTATAGCAGTAGAAACGCAACTAACTTTAATAGTAACTATTATTATTAATCTTTAAGTTTTAACATTTAATAATTACAATAACGTACTTTACAGGCAAGTTGCTTACACCTCTAAGTTACTTACTTTTACTAAGACTCTACTAAACTACTCTTTCTACACTAATATATTTCTAATAACACTACTTAAATGTGCTAGAAAAACATTAGATATAGCTTATACTTTAAGTTTTTAAATAAAACATAACACTTTTAAAGTAATATACTATAGCTATATATAAAGTTCTTTTAAAATATAATAAATAACTAATATACTAAATAACTTTTATAAGCTAATTTTATAGCTAACTTATAAAAGCTAGGTAATAATAAAAAGTAAGTAATTATTAAGTATATACTTAAGCTATATATATAAAAAAATTCTTTTAGGTAGTAACTATAGCTAACATAGCTAATTTTTTATACACTAAGTAAAATCTAGGCTATATTAGCATAAACTAGCTTAGTATGTTTATAAAGCATTATCTAAAGTTTAAAGTAAGGTTTTAAGTATAAGTATAGTTAGTAAATATCTAGCTTATTATAAAACTTATTTTATTAAAGTTATATATATTATTATTTTAAATACTATACTTGGCTTTAATACTTTTTATAAAGCTAAACTAGCTTTAAATTACTTTAAAACTTTTATAAAAAGCTTTTTTATAGTTATATATATACTTAAACTTTACTTTAAGCTTTAAATAACGCGTTATAAATATACTAAGCTAGTTTATGCTAATATAGCCTAAATTTTACTTAGCGTGTAAAGAGTTAGCTATATTAGTTATAACTACTAGCTAAAAGAAAAATTCTTATATATATAGCTTAAGTATATACTTAATAATTACTTACTTTTTATTATTACTTAGCTTTTATAAGTTAGCTATAAAATTATCTTATAAAAGTTATTTAGTATGTTAATGTACTTTACAGGCAAGTTACTTACACACCTAAGTTGCTTACTTTTACTAAAACTTTACTAAACTACTTTTTTTACACTAATGCATTTCTAATAATACTACTTAAACATATTAAAAAAATGTTAAATACAGCTTACACTTTAAGCTTTTAAATAAAATGTAATACTTTTTAAGCAACACGCTATAGATATTTATAAAGTTTTTTAAAAAATAATAAGTAACTAATACACTAGATAACTTTTCTAAGCTAATTATATAGCTAACTTATAAAAGCTAGATAATAATAAAAAGTAGGTAATTATTTAGCATATACTTAAGCTAAATACATAAGAATTTCCCTCTTAGCTAGCAGCTATAGCTAATATAGCTAATTTTTTACACGCTAAGCATAATATAGGCTATATTAGCATAAACTAGCCTAATATGTTTATTAAGCACTACTTAAAGCTTAAACTAAAGTTTAAGTGTAAGTATAACTATAAAAAAGCTTTTTATAAAAATCTTATAGTAATTTAAAGCTAGTTTAACTTTATAAAGAATATTAAAGCTAAGTATAGTATCTAAAATAATAATATATATAACTTTAATAAAATAAAGTTTATAATAGGCTAGATATCTACTAAAGCAGTTATTATAAGTTTAGAGAGATAAAAATAGCTAAAAGTAGTCTAGCTAAGTAACTAAGAGTAAATAACAGCTATCTAAAGCATTAATGCTAAAAAGTAGGCTATTTTACTTTTTATTATTTTTTAGAGTAGTAATTACTTTTTAAACTAGTATAAAAAAAATCTACTTTAAAATTAAGTTATTATAGTCTTTAAGCATAGCTAGACTACTAATTAGCTTAGTTTAGACTAGTTAAAGCACTTTAATGCGTATATAAAAAAGTGTACTATTAGTAGCTACTATTTACTAGTTATTAATAGCTATAAAAGCTATAACTTACTTTATTTTTAGTAATACTATAAAAATAATAAAATTATTACTATTTATATACTTTTTTACTTATTACACTTTTTATAGCTACTTAATATAGGTTATTTTACTTTTTTAAAAAAAGTATATAAGCGCTAAGCTAAAAATTTTATATATAACTAAATTACTTATATTATAAAAATAAGGTTTTTACTATGCTTTAAAGTAGCTAATAATACTATAATTACTTTTAGTAATATCTAGAAAAAGTTTTAAAGCGCTAAATTAGTTTCTTTTAACTTATAATAAGTTATAATAAGCCTTAATATAAAGTTACGCACTTTATTACTACTACTACTTATACATAATAAGCTCTAGTAGTTGTAAACCTTAAGTAATACTTTAAAACTTAAGTTATAATTAATACTTATAAAAATAAAAATTTAAAAGTATATAAATAGTTTACTAACTTTTATTGTTAAAGTGTTTAAAAAAGTTTTAAAAAGAGTAGTAATAATTATATATAAGCTAGTATTAGTATAATAAGAAATTACTAAGCTTTAAAAAGCTAATAAAGCTGCTATATAACATAAATTATATAAAAAAAAGTAAATTAAAGTAGAAAAGACTTTAATAATTTAAAAAAGCTTATACTTAATAGCTTTAAAGAAGTTTAAAGCGCGTAGTAATAAAAAAAAGGTAAAAAAGTAAGTGTACGCTAAAGTAGGTAAGCTATTCTAAAGGCGCTGCAGATAGTATAAATTAGACTAGGCATAACACATAAACATGTAAGTAAGAAGCAGAAGTAGTATCTAAATAATATTCTAGGCTGTACTATACTATATAGTGCTAGAGCAGGTTGTTATAGGCTATAATAGAGTTTGTTAGAGTAGGGTCTTAGCAAAAGTAAGCAACTCAGGTGTGTAAGCAACTCGCCTGTGAAGTACGTTAATTATTTATTATTTTTTAAAAGACTTTATATATAGCTATAGTATATTACTTTAAAAGTGTTACATTTTATTTAAAAGCCTAAAGTGTAAGCTATATCTAATGTTCTTTTAGCATATTTAATGTAACGAGGTCGGCACAGTCAACCACGTGGCCTTCTCTCGCTTATAGAGGTTTAGGCTAGGCTAGAGACAACCGCTAGTGCTAGTGCTTACCCTAGCATTACCTATATATATATTATACTATGTAAGAATACTTAGCTTAAGTATTCTTGTGCGTACCTTTTAGTACAGTAGGGAAAGTTGTATAGTATCAGCTTGGCAGGCGGGGCGCCTACCTCATTACATTTAAGGAGTGTTGTTAAGAATACATTAGTGTAGAAAAAGTAGTTTATGGAATGAGGTAGGCGCCCCGCCTGCTAAGCTAATACTATACAACTTTCCCCACTGTACTAAAAGGAAGAATAATATTTATAATTTTAATAAAATAAATAACATACTTTACAGGCAAGTTGCTTACACACCTAAGTTGCTTACTTTTGCTAAGACCTTACTAAACTACTTTTTTTATACTAATGTATTTCTAATAACACTACTTAGACGCGCTAAAAGAATGTTAGATATAGCTTATAATTTAAGCTTTTAAATAAGATATAAAACTTTTAAAGAAACATGCTATAGCTATATATAAAGTTTTTTAAAACATAATAAATAACTATAGCACTAGATAAATTTTATAAGCTAATTTTATAGCTAACTTATAAAGGCTAGGTAATAATAAGAAGTAGGTAATTATTAAGACTATACTTAAGCTATATACATAAAATCTTTTCTTTTAAATAGCATTTATAGCTAATATAGCTAATTCTTTGCGCACTAAGTATAATATAGGCTATGTTACTATAAACTAGCTTAGTATATTTAAAAAGAGTTATTTAAAGCTTAAAGTAAAGTTTTAAGTGTAAATATAGTTAACAAATATTTAGCTTATAATAAAGCCTATTTTACTAAAGTTATACAGGTTATTATTTTAAATGCTATACTTAGCTTTAATATTCTTTATAAGGCTAAACTTGCTTTAAATTACTCTAGAACTCTTATAAAAAGCTTTTTTATAGTTATACTACACTTAAATGTTACTTTAAGCTTTAAATAACACTTTCTAAATGTACTAGGCTAGTTTATGCTAATATAGCCTAGATTATACTTAGTGTGTAAAAAATTAGCTATATTAGCTATATTAGCTATTTAAAGAGAAAATTTTTATGTATATAGCTTAAGTATAGTCTTAATAAATACCTACTTTTTATTATTACCTAGCCTTTATAAGTTAGCTATAGAATTAGCTTATAAAAGTTATCTAGTGCTATAGTTATTTATTATCTTTTAAAAAACTTTATATATAGCTACAGCATGTTTCTTTAAAAGTTTTATGTCTTATTTAAAAGCTTAAAGTGTAAGCTATATTTAATATTCTTTTAGCATGTCTAAGTAGTGTTATTAGAAATGCATTAGTGTAGAAAAAGTAGTTTAGTAAGGTCTTAGTAAAAGTAAGTAACTTAGGTGTGTAAGCAACTTGCTTGTAAAGTATGTTAATAGCTAGAGCAGCGTAACTTATTTATTATTATTATACTTTCTATACTACCTACTTGTTTTTACTAGGTTATAAGATAATAGCTCTATACAGTTCTTACTGTAAAGAAAAAGTAAAGTTTATAGTTGTTTTATCTTTTTATTTTTCTATATTTATTATAACTAAAAGGAGTTGTAGTATAATTTCCTTGTTTTTAATATAAAGTAGAATTAGCTTAAGAGTAATAAAAAAGCGCTTCTAGTTTATTTTTAAAAAACAAAGCCTAGACTAAGCCTTTTTATACTAAAAAAAAGAAAGTAGCATTAGTAGCTAATAAAGCTTACCTTTTTACTTAGATTATTTTAATAAAGAAGCATTACACTATATATTTAAAAAGTAATAGAAAAGTAATTAAAACACTACAGGCTTTTAAGTAAGAGAAAAAGGTTTAATAAATAACACTTTTTAATAAACTTTCTTTAGCATGTCTTTATCTTCTAACACTATTATTACTATACATGTAACTTTTAGGTCTTACTTAGGCTTCTTTTTCTACTATACTTTAAACTTTTAATTTTAGCTTTTTAAAATTGTTAAGTGTTATTTTAAAAAAAGTACTTTTAGGTTTTAGGTTTGTTTTAACTATAGCCTCTACATTCTACTTCTTGTTCTAGATTACTTAGTTAAAGTCTTTAAGTACTAGCACGTCTTATAGTGCTATATATATACTATAGAGTTAATCTAGAGAGTTTAGAGAAGGTGTAGCTAATAGTCTATAAGTTCTACTTTTTTATATAAGTAGTAGTTTAATTAATTTTTTATACAGTTTTAATTTTAGTATAATTAAGTATCTAAAAGTTTATATACTAAAGCGCACTGTATTTTTAGAGTAGACATATAGTTCTTTTACTTATTTTTAATTAGCCTTATAACGTACCTAACAGGTTGGCCGGCCACACGGGTTAGCCGGCCACTTTTGCTAAGCCCCTACTAAAACTACCCTATTCTAGCGCAAAACAGCCCACTTTAGCTCTGTATAAAGCAATACAACACAAGATATTATTTAAAGTCTACTTCTACTACTTTCTTACACATATGTAAGTTATGCCTAGTTTAATTGCACTACTTATATTGCTTTTAACTTAGCTTACTTTTTTTAGTGTGCACTTATGTCTTTAGCTTCTTTTTATTACTACACGCTTTAAACTTCTTTAGAGTAGTTAGATAAGACTTATTTTTAACTATTAAAGTTTTTTTTACTTAAATTTACTTTCTTTTATGTAATTTATGTTGTGTAGTAGCTTTATTTGCTGCTTAAAGCTTTATAATCTCTTTTTACACTAACACTAGCTTATGCGTAATAATTACTACCCTCTTTAAAACTTTTTTAAAGGCCTTTACTATAGATGTTAGTAAGCTATTTACATACTTTTAAATTTTTACTTTTATAAGTATTAATTATAACTTAAATTTAAAAGTATTACTTAAAGTTTACAACTACTAAGGCTTATTATAAATAAGTAGTAGTAGTAATAAAGTATATAACTAGATGTTAAGGGCTATTTTAACTTATTTTAGGTTAAATAGGACTAAACTAGCGCTTTAAAACTCTTTTTAAATATTACTAAAAGTAATTACTACATTATAAGTGTGTATAAAGCATAGTAAGAACTTAAGTTTTATAATATAAGTAATCTAGTTACACATAAGATTTTTAGCTTAGTGCTTATATACTTTCTTTAAAGGGGTAAAACAACCTATATTAAGAGGCTGTAAAAGGTGTAATAAGTGTAAAAGCATATAAATAGTAATAATTTTATTTTTTTATAGTACTACTAAAAATTAAGTAAGTTATAGCTTTTATAGCTATTAATAATAAAAAGCTAATAAGCGCTTATAACTTTTTTTATATGCTTATTAAAGTGCTTTAACTACTATAGCCTAAGCTTATTTATTATCTAGCTGTTTTTAGAGACTATAATAACCTAGTTTTAAAGCAGATTTTTTTTTATACTAAGTAAAAAAGTAATAGCAGCTTTTAAAAATAATAAAAAGTAAAATAGCTTACTTTATTATATTAATGCTCTAAATAACTATTATCTACTTTTTATTACTTTACTATATTACTTTTAGCTATTTTTATTTTTTTTAAAGCTATAATAACTGCTCTAGTTAATATTTAGCTTATTATAAAGCTTAACTTATTAAAGTTATATGTGTTTTTATTCTAGATACTATACTTAGCTTTTATGTTAACTACTAGGTAAAACTAGCCTTAGATAACCTTTAGATCTTTATAAAGTGCTCTTTTATAATTATATTTATAATTAAACTTTATTATAAACTTAGGGCAGTGCTTAACTTATATACTAGGCTAGTTTAAGCTAACCTAGCCTAGATTACACTTTATGTGTAAGAAATTAGCTATATTAGCTATAGCTATAAGCCTAAAAAAAATCTGCGTGTAGTAAGCTTAAGTATGTACTTACTAACTACTTTTTTTTTAAGCTTAGTTAAATTCCTTAATTTAGGCTAGCATTCTACTTATAAAGGCTGTCTAGCGCGTTAATTACTTAGTATTATGTAAAAAACATTATAAATAGCTATAGTGTATTATAAAAAAAGTTTTAAGTCTTATTTAAAAGCTTAAAAAGTAAGCTATATCTAACATTTTTTAGAAGATTTAATCTAGTGTTGTTGTTAAGGCATTATGTAGATAGGTAGAGTGTAGTAGGGGCTTAGCAAAAGTGGCTAGCTAACCTGTGTAGCCGTCTAACCTGTTAGGTACGTTATGCTATTTTTTTAAATTATTCTACTTAATTTATTTTATAAACTACACTATTAGTAAATTACTTACACGCCTAAGTTGCTTACTTTTACTAAGACCCTACTAAACTACTTTTTTTATACTAATGTATTTCTAACAATACTACTTAAACATGCTAAAAAAAAACATTAGATATAGCTTATACTTTAAGCTTTTAAATAAAATGTAACACTTTTAAAGTAATATACTACAGCTATATATAAAGTTTTTTAAAAAAAATAACTAATGCACTAAAAAATTTTATACACTAATTCTATAGCTAACTTATAAAGTCTAAATAATAAAAAGTAGGTAATTATTAAGCATATACTTAAGCTATATATATAAGAATTTTCTTCTTAGCTAGTAGTTATAGCTAATATAGCTAATTTTGCCACACTAAGTATAATCTAGGCTATATTAGCATAAAATAGCTTAGTATGTTTATAAATTATTATTTAAAGCTTAAAGTAAAGTTTTAAGTATAAGTATAGTTAGTAAATATCTAGCTTATTATAAAGCCTATTTTATTTAAGTTATATATGTTATTATTTTAAATGCTAAACTTAGTTTTAATATTTTTTTTATAAGGCTAAACTAGCTTTAAATTACTTTATAATTCTTATAAAAAGCTTTTTTATAGTTATAGTTATACTTAAACTTTACTTTAAGCTTTAAATAACACTTTATAAACTTACTAGGCTAGTTTATACTAACATAGCCTAGATTATGCTTAGTGTGTAATAAATTAGCTATATTAGCTATAGCTACTAGCTACAAGGAAAACTTTTATATATATAGCTTTAGTATGTGCTTAATAGTTACTTACTTTTTATTATTATTTAGCTTTTATAAGTTAGTTATAAAATTTGCTTATAAAAATTATTTAGTATATTAGTTATTTATTTATTTTTAAAAGACCTTATATATAGCTATTGTTGCGTTTGCTAAAAGGTTAACCTTCTAGCTAGCACAGCAGAAGAATACATATAGACAGATAGCTGTATGTAACAGCTATAGCATATTACTTTAAAAGTGTTATATTTTATATTGCGTTGCTAAAAGGTTAACCTCCTAGCTAGCACAGTAGAAGGATATATATAGGCGGATAATGTATACAACACACCCCCTAGCTTAAACAGTGGAACAAGAGAGGTGAAAGCCTTAACACACTCTCCTAGCCTAAGCAGCAGAACGTAGAGACAGATCTAAATATAAGGTAGCTTCTATAATAGGCACACTTCCTAACTGCTCTTTGCTAAGCGTAGGAATTAAACACACAGCGCTTAGGGATAATGCGTTCTAATTAGTAAGCAGGGGTGCAAAAATTTTTGTGCGCTAACTATCTACACTACGCTGTAAACTAGGCTTATAACTGTTGCGTTGCTAAAAGGTTAACCTTCTAGCTAACACAGTAGAAGGATATATATAGGCGGATAATGTATACAACATTTTATTTAAAAGCTTAAAGTGTAAGCTATATCTAATTTTTTTTTAGCACATCTAAGTAGTGTTGTTAGAAATGTATTAGTATAAAAAAGTAGTTTAGTAGAGTCTTAGTAAAAGTAGGTTTCTTAGGTGTGTAAGCAATTCGCCTAGAGTATACGTTAAAGAAAACACTAAACTAGGCTTTTTACTAAACTTTTAACTATATTATATAAAAAACTATACAATCTTAGTACTTTGTTATATATTAGAAAACTATCACCTTTCTCTATTCTCTCTCTACTCTCTCTCTTCTTTAAGACCCTCTGTTACTTGTAGCAGGTTACTAGCAACAAACAGACAAAGATAAGATATTATAACAATAAACTATACTACAGGTTCTTTAGTTAAGTAGATTTTATCTATAAAATAACGTACTTTACAGGCAAGTTGCTCACACACCTAAGTTGCTTACTTTTGCTAAGACCCTACTAAACTACTTTTTCTACACTAATGCATTCCCCACAACACTACTTAGACGCGCTAAAAGAACATTAGATACAGCTTATACTCTAAGCTTTTAAATAAGACATAAAACTCTTAAAAAAATATGCTATAGCTATATATAAAGTTTTATAAAAAATAATAAATAACTATAGCACTAGATAACCTTTATAAGCTAATTCTACAGCTAAATTATAAAGGCTAGGTAATAAAAAAAAGTAGGTAATTATTAAGACTATACTTAAGTTATATGCGCAAGAAATTTCCTCTTAGATAGCATTTATAGCTAATATAGCTAATTCTTTACACGCTAAGCATAATTTAGGCTATATTTACATAAACTAGCCTAATATGTTTATAAAGTGTTATTTAAAGCTTAAAGTAAAGTTTTAAGTGTAAGTATAGTTAAAAAATATTTAGCTAATTATAAACTCTATTTTGCTAAAGTTATATATGTTATTATTCTAGATGCTATACTTAGCTTTAATATTCTCTATAAGGCTAAACCTACTCTAAGTTACTCTAAAACTTTTATAAAAGGCTTTTTTATAGTTATACTTACACTTAAATGTTACTTTAAGCTTTAAATAACACTTTATAAACATACTAGGCTAGTTTATATAAACATAGCCTAGATTATGCTTAGCGCGCAAAGAATTAGTTATATTAGCTATAAATGCTATCTAAAAGGAAATTCCTTGCGCATATAGCTTAAGTATAGTCTTAATAATTACCTGCTTTTTTTTATTACTTAGCCTTTATAATTTAGCTGTAGAATTAGCTTATAAAGGTTATCTAGCGCTATAGTTATTTATTATTTTTTTATAAAACTTTATACATAGCTATAGCACATTTCTTTAAAAGTTTTATGTCTTATTTAAAAGCTTAGAGTGTAAGCTGTATCTAACATTCTTTTAGCACATCTAAGTAGTGTTGTAGGGAATGCATTAGTGTAGAAAAAGTAGTTTAGTAGGGTCTTAGCAAAAGTAAGCAACTTAGGTGTGTAAGCAACTTGCCTGTGAAGTACGTTATTATGTTATTCTTTATTATGTTATTCTTAACTATAGGATTATATAGCTTTACTATTCTTTAGTTTAGCTTTATTAGCTGTTCTATAAGTTTCTATTCTCTATGTATTACTATACTAAGAGAAAAGAATTTCATACTATGTTTTTTATAGGCTTATTCTAAGATTAATAGCTAAAACTAAGTTATTTTATTACTTAAAAGTTAAGTAGTTATTATTATAATGTCTTACTTAAGTCTGTTCTTTGCAGGTAACCTAGGAAAAGTAACAGAAAGTCTTAGAGAAAAGAGAGAGTAGAGAGAGAAAAAGAGAGAGGTAACACTTCTTTAATATATAATAAAGTATAAAGAGAGTATAGTCTTTAATACAGTCTAGTTAGAAGTCTAGTAAGAGAGAAAATAATAATAAAGTAAAATAAAGGAAAAGTATTATAAGATAACTAGGTAGCATTAGCATTTTACTAAATAAGAAAAGATCTTCTACACACTTTATATTAAAAAGAATATTAGATATATTACTATATCTAAAGCTATGCCTTAAAGATAAGAATAACTATAACGTTTTAAATAGTAGAGGAAGAGCAAGACTATATACCTGTTAGCAATTGTTATAATTGCTAATTCTTGCTGTAATTACTATCTAAGAGAGCAATTATAGAAATCACATTCTAAGAATAGCGACCGTACTATACCCCGTGGGCCGCACCCCCACCGGCATCGGTCCATTCTTCTTCCGTAGGGTTGGAGTCTCGGCATGTCCCTCTGGCCCAACCAGTTGTCGTAACAGTCACATGCGCCACGTTGTGTACGTAGCTGACGTTATGCGATTCCTCCGGCGGTTGGCTTATCTCCTCTGAAGTCTGCATTTAGCCTTAGAGAAGCAGCATTCTTGTAGACTCCTTAGCAATCCTCTCAAACCCTCACAATACTCGTAGATAGCTATCAATTAACTGAATCTGATGCTCGTTCATCTCACATTCACGTCTGATTCATTGTCTCTGTGACATTCTGTAGCTGCAGTCAAAGCTTTAGGTAATATAATAACAATAATATTAAGAATATTAAGACGATACATAGAATAGAAAAGTAATCTTTTAACAAGTGCAGGGAACTACGTAGGTAGATTAAGCTACAATAGATCTGGGCTTATCTAGGCTTATAACTGTAGCCTTACATAGGGCATGAGTTATACAAGACATGATGTATGGCAGACTAAGGGTCTGAGGAGCTATATATTTTATCTTGTATGATGAGACGCTAGGCCCAAGCTGATTACCCATTGTAGAACCCTCCGGCTTACATGTAGGGATAAGCATCCTTTGAATTGAGGTACTAAGCCGCGCCTTGGCTTAGAGACCGAGGAAGGTGCTAGCTGCCCTGTTGCGTTATCAGGAAGAATACGACCAATTAAAGATCTTCTTTCGTATGAGATATGAACGCGCGGATGGTTCAGTTCTTTGCTGTTCGTATGGATCTTACCAGATACAGGACCTTAACTAGTTTTGTCCAGCACAGTTGAAATTAAAGGATTACAACATGAAGTGATCACTCCATATCGACCTGACTGTGATACGAAAAATGCACTCTTCTTAATGGGGCGATTAGTCTGAGAACGAAGACAGTTTGCCCTAATTCGAGAGACGGACACTAATAAACAGCATGCTCTCCTCCTCTGCGTTCACTCCGCCAATGGTGTGCCACTTTCTTGCATCCCTTCTCACTCCAGTTGACGATGGATATGCACGGCTCCCAGCGTTTCGGAGATACAACGTTCTATATCTCGCTCGACGATGTACGCCAGGGCAGCCTCACCACATGGGTCGATCCGTCTCTAGAGGCGGTCTATCTGCATTTCCTTGTACCCATCAGGGAGGACCACTACGTGGGCGTCCAAATCTCCATCGTACCATTCTCTCTACGTGAATTTCCTGGCCAAGTCTTTCACTCCGCCCAGGGGGCTATCGTGCGGTGTTGCGACCAGCTGGACGGAGGCGACCTGCTGCCACATGTCACCGATGCAGCGGATGCAATATATAAAGCTTGTGTCTCGTGGCATAAATGGAATCTTAGGGCCCCTGGGTTCTGGTAGATACGCCCCTCATCATCCCCTCTCCTAACGCCCCCTACTTGCTCCCGTCCTTCCCTTCTCGAGTACCCCTCATTCCACCAATGCTAACTGCGCAGGTCCGAAGTCACACATGGCAGCCAGGTGCATAGCCCACTCGACACGAGCATGGATAATGCCAGTATGCAGTTGAAGCAACAATTGATGGAGACACAAGACCAAGAGATGGCATCACCGAGCGACAGTGCTGTGCACCTGAGCGACGGGTTAATGCAAACGTCACCGTCGAGCTCGATTTCATCTTTACATTCGTGCAAGAGAAGTGGTCCAAGCAACGTCACAACCAATTCGACATTCGAGATGGAGAAGCCCGCAAGAAAGAAGCGAAAAGGGCGACCTAGCAGCCTCGCGGAACCTATCATGGAGACTGCAGATATCCTCCTGGAACGGCTCAGCTCCGCAACCATCTCAGATGCGGAGGTAACGTCGTACATTGCACTCGCCAACATGGAGCACCCGCCAGTGACTCCCAGCGGCGAGAACGTGTCCCGAGCGTGGGAGATGTGTATTAACTTCGCGCGGCGGTCCAGTCAGAAGCTGAAAAATGGCCGGTTCCTGCGCTTCCTATCCCTCTGCTTCTTTCTCATATGGGAGAAGTACTCGGAGAAGCAAGGGAAAAGTGCTGCTCGCTTGGTACGCACTCCCTCCTTCCACCCTCTCTTTCTTAAAACAGTGGGAGTGCTGGCTGCATAAGTCCAAAACTAAGCAATGGCAAAATAATCCCTATACTGCCATCGTACTTAGCTAAGGCAAAAATGCAGGTCAATGCCAAGATGCGTGAGGCGGGCTTCTGTGGGCACTCTCGAGGCTTTAAAACGATTCGTGACGAGACGAAACTGATCAATCGCATTATCGCATCAATCCAAGAATCGTGCGGCTTCCAGGACGCAGGGATTCTCTACCACATCGTCTTCGGTAAGCATCTCACCGTGATTTACTTCCCGTGACCGCCTTTACACATGAAAACAAAAAAACGGGAAATAGGCCCAAAGGCAAAATATGAAGGAAATGGGACTTCTAGCACGCTGAGTAACAATAACAGAGGCCTCTAATTATCAACTCCTCCGCACCATTAATCGCCTAGGCAATGACAAAAAATCCAGCATCCTCGAGTACATGTGCAAAAACATCGACCTCGACACGCTGCGGGACTCATACCCAACAACATCAGCTATCTGCGTGCAGCGCATCATCCAGCAATATCTGCCGAATCTTTCGTAAGTCTCCCCAGTGTGGTCACAACGGAGTGGAGGCAATCCTACAATATCTTGGCATCGCCTGACAATCTCCTGACAACAATGTATACTCCTGTAGGGCAGAGGCGATCAACGCGGCGATCGAATACCAACCAATAGGCAGTAGCAGAGCAGCTGCATATACGGAAGCATTTGGCCTCCCGCCGACTTCCGCGCAAGGTGAGCCGGCCCGCTTTTATCTCACCAGCCCCACGTGTCACACATGGGAGACCGAATCCAATGTTGCCAAATCACTCCCCAACATGGCCAAGCTATAACTCTCCGAACTAACGCGTGGCAGGGCAACTACATCTTGGCGACGCACAGCAATCCACCGGCCTCCTTGCCCCGGACTTGGACGCAAGCATGCCCCCGTACCACGACGGGCTTCACGCGCACATATTTGCCGATGATGGGTCCGGCGGTATCTCCGACGCTCTAGATATGCTGCAGGGTGTTGAGGACTCTTTTATGCCGTTTGCGGTGGATGTGGAGGGGCTGGATATTGGGTTTCCTATTCACGATTTGGATGGTTCGCAACTTTAGACTATATCGGGTTATTAGCGCGCTGGGGGTCATTGGACTTTCACTGATATAGCTGAGACAGATGGACCATTTTGCGCGGCATTTGCCGGGCACGGTGAGCTTTTTGGCCTTGTTTGTTTTATTGGCATATATAACTACATGATGGATCTGTTCTGGTGTGTTCAAAGATATAGCGAAACGAAAGACATATGTATATCCACAATATAAATTGACATAGAGACAGTCTTTGTGGAGGTAGCCTTTTTTTAGACCTAGCTAAATCAGACCGAGCTTTCTTACTAGCTGAAATAAAGAGCTGTATTAGAGAAATGGTGATAGATCTAAGCCATGTAAGAAAAAGTAGATAGATCAAGCAAAATTAAGGCACAAGTCCACAGAACTCGATATAGTGTCGAGTCACGAGCGACGAATATGTCAAACCATCTCCTATGTCCTTGCATAGGCTGTGATGATCAACCTGCTTCGCCCGGCAATTTCGGTGGCCAAGATGGCGAGAGACTCGGCTCCCAATAGCTCGAAGATGGGCACTGTGCTCTCCATCTCCTTTGACAGCCAGTTCCGCAGCTCGACCGCAGCCAGGGAGTCAATGCCGTAGTCTTGGAGGCTCTTGGCTGGGCTCACGTTCTCGGGTGGAATGCCCGTGCGTGAGACGATATGTTCAACGAGCGCACCTAGGATGATGGCAACAGCGGCATCGAGGCTCGGCGCCTGCTTAAGGGCTCGGCGCAGCGTATCATCGGAATTGCCGGCGCCGCCGGCGAACGAGGACATGATGCGGTAGCGCGAGAAAACAGGCCCGCGCAGGGCTGGCAATGAGGTGTCTGGGTGCCAAGCTCCCAAGCCTGTCACGATGTGGGCTTGCCTAGGCTCGCGTTCCGAGTGCCGGATAGCGAATTCTAGAAGGCGCATTAGGCGCGATTCGTCGGTGAAATCGAAGCCCTGCCGCTCCATGGCCAGCCTCAGCGCGTCATTGCGCGCCAGATAGCCGATGCCAGCCACGGCGCCGATGTCAACAGTGGTCGCAGGAAGCCCGCGCTCCCTCCTGTACAAAGCGAAAGCGTCGAGGAACGTGTTTGCGGCAGCGTAGGCTGCCTGCGCCGTGTTGCCCACGATGCCACTGATGCTAGACTCCATGACGAAGAAGTCCAGATCTTCAGGCAGACAGGCGTGCAAATTCCACGTGCCCTGCACCTTGGGCCGCAGGACAGCCGAGTAGTCTTCCAGCTTCATGCCGTCGAGCATGGCGTCGCGCAGGACCATGGCGCCCTGAACAACGCCTCGTATGGGGGGAAATCGTCGGCGGGCGTCGTCCAGGACGGCAGTGAGCTGACCCGCGTCCGCGACATCGCAAGCGAAGACGACAGTGGAACAGCCCGCATCGTGTAACGCGGCCACCGTCTCACGAGCTGCCTCGCTGTCAGGACCGGAACGGTTGAGGAATATAAGGTGACGCGCCCCTCTCGCGGCCATCCACATAGCGGTGGCGCGACCAAGCCCCCCGAGCCCGCCCACTAGCATGTACGCCGCGTCGGGCCGGAGCAGGGGCCGGCCCGCTGCCGCTGCCGCAAACTTAACAACGTCATGCCCCTGGACAACCGCCACGAGCTTGCCCATGTGTCGTCCTGTCTGCATCCTACGGAACGCCTGCTCGAGCTGCGAAAAGGGGTACGTCTCGAGCGGAGACGGCCCTCGCACCCTGCCATCGGTGTACAGCGCCAACACCTTGGCCATGACCTCCCGCACCGCACTGGGGTCGTTTCTCAGCGTGTAGGCCAGGTTGTAGGCCGTAAAGGACGCGTTGCGGGCAAACGGAGCCATGTCCAGCCTGGATTTGATTGTGATGTCTCGCTGACCTAGCTCGACGAAGCGGCCGTACGGGGCTATGCATTCCCAACTCTCCCGCAGCGCCTCGCCCGCTAGGGAATTCATGACGACGTCGACGCCGCGGTGGTGAGTGAGCCGCATGATGTCGGCGGCAAAGCTCGTGTCACGGCTGTACAGGATGCGCTCCTCTAGCAGACCGAATTGCTCCATAACTAGCTTCTTCTTCTCCACGCTGCCCACGGTGACAAAAATGTCGCCGCCGGCCAGCATACTCAGTTGGACCAAGGCCTGTCCGAGCCCGCCCGCAGCCGCGTGAATCAGGATGGTCTCGCCCCTGCGCAGGCGAGCGATGTTGTGAATTGAGTGATATGCCGTTACATAGGTGATTGGAAGTGCCGACGCCGTCTCAAAGGAAAGCGAATCGGGAAGACGCAGGACGAGCCGAGCATCAACCCTGAGCCTCGTACAGAACGAGCCGCCAGAGAGACACATGACTCGGTCTCCTATGCTGGGAGCCTCTGGATCTGACTCGACGGCCGACCCGACTGAAACCACCACGCCTGCGCACTCGCAGCCCAAGTTTTCGACTGGAATCTGGCCCATGGACATCATCACGTCCTTGAAATTGATGCCCGCCGCTCTGACTTCCACCTCGACCTGCCCGACCCCAAGCGGGCCCTCGACACGCTCGTCAGGAGCGAAGTGCAGGCTGTCCAGCAGACCAGGCGTGCCCACTAAGAGCCGCGACGAGCCTGTCTGGTCCAGTCGGTGAGGCGACGGTACACCCTGGGATGGCTGCGGCCTATTCTCGGCCTGCAGCTGCTCGCTCGCGTCGACATCCTCGACGAGGCGAGGCACGTGAAGGACTCCGCCGCGCTCGGCGAACTCGCATTCGGCCGCGTCATTGTTGCCAGCAGATGCAATAGTGCGCGAGAAGAGGTCGGCAATGACGGCGGCGGCGGTCGTACCTATTGCATTACTGCAGCTGTCGAGATCCAAGGTGACAACCGGCCTATCCCCGGTTTCGGCGCGGATGGTTCGTGCAAAGCCATAGATAAGCGAAGCTTCGGGGTCCACACCCCTCCCGCCAGCCACTCCCGCGCCCCTGGTTACCCACAACAGCCCTGCCCCGCCGAGGGCAATCCTCTTAATCGCCTCCCACTCCAACGCCCTCGGTGCAGCAAGCACGTGCTTTGTGAGGTCGCTGAGGACGATGCACGCCTGATCTGGCTTGGGGTCGGCGTGCTCTAGTGGAACAGTGTGCGTCGCAATCCCACGTTTCTCGCACAACCGCTGCAGTTGCCCCAAATCAATACCCGGCTGCTCATCGTCCACCACGATGAGCGCGTCTTTCACCTGGCCCATCACCTCGTGAGTGGCTGCCGTCCGGAGGAACATCGCATCGTATGGCTTTCGGTTTCTGGAAAGCACAGCATGCGTCGTGTAACCAGTCTGCCGAATCACCGCGTCCACCGCCGATGACGACAGGTCTGCCCAATGGTCGCTCTGGCTTGAGAGAAAGCTGGGCATGGGGCCCCATAGAATAGTCGCGACAGCGGAATGCACCGCATTGTTAACCAGCACGAGCCTGCCACCAGGCTTGATCATCTTAAAGGTCGATGTCAGCGTTTTCGATAGCTGTTCACCTGAATTATGCACATTGAAAGCCACTACAACGTCGTAGGCGTCGTTGACCCCTCGCGAATTCACATCCTCAAGTACGCCGCCATCGCCAGCGTTGACTCCCTTGAACGCGACTGACTCAGCCCAGGCGGGAAATTTGGCCTTGACTATTTCATCCAAGTCAAATTCCGTATCGGTGAAATGGAAAGTTGTGAAGGGAGCCGTGTCGTGGCCGAGATTGGTTAACAGAGAGAGCAGGTTCAGTGACGCTGGGCCTGATTGGGGCCCTAATGTTAGGATCGATAGATCTGGCTTCTTGTGGGCGAGAAGATAGAGGTAGCTTGCCGCCGGCTGGTTGTTTTCAAAGAGCCCTGGGGTAGCGCTGACGGCATCTAGGTCGTACTCCTTCCCCAGGTCCGCAGGCGACCTCTCGCCAACTAGTAGATCCGGCAGTATTTGGGCAATCCGTCGTACCGTAGGACCAACCTCTCCGAACACCTCGTCTCCACCAATAGCATTATCTTCCCTAGAGACCTTCGACTGCTCTGCTTGGGAGTGCATCCACTTCCAGAGTCTGTAAGGGTACTCGCCTGCTGACACTGATTTCTGTTCGGGAACCTTGGCGAGAGCAGCCCAGAGTAGACACAGAACAGCTTCATTCAGCTGAATTGGCATCGATGCCTCGGTTGCTGTAGGAGGTGTGCAGATAGCGGTGACCTGCTGCTCTGTCAAAGCGTCTATTTCAGGCGCCCAATTCATATTTAATGCCCTTGATGGCACCGTATTGTCATTTGCGCCCGCTTCATGGCGGTCCAGGGCCGCCAAGGTTATTTCGCCCACGTGAACGACTGGCTTGCTACCAGATGTATAAGAACCTTCAAAGACCGTCATGGTCGCAGAGGTGAAGCGGTAGTCCTTGGGGGTTGTCGCTGTGTACGAGTTCAGTGTCTTGCCTGGCTGTCTCGTCAATCCATGCGCGATGTACATATCTTCGATTGAGACAGGGATCACAGCATCCTGAAGGTTGCCCAGATTTGCTTCTAGCACTGGGAGGAAGGTCTGGAAGATGCTGTCTACCACCGCAGGATGTATGACAAAGTCATGCTCAAATTGCATCGGCATACCGGCGGCCGTGTCTGGAATTTGTATTTCGGCAATGCATTCTCGTCGCCCGGAGCGTATACTGCAGATATTGGCGAAGGTCGGACCATAGTCCATTCCAATCTGGTGAAGGTGCTCATAGAACTCTGCGACGTCTGTCGAGTTCACGCAGATGCCGTCATAGGTTTCAGCCAGCTCCTTGTAAGCAGCCTTTTCCGACTCATCATGTGCCTGGCCGTTGACGGGATTCGATGTCTTAGATGGAGTTCGAACCGCAATCAGTCCACGGCAATGTTCTGTCCATCGATTCTCCCTCGAGACGGACGAAATACAGAACTCATCCCACAGGCTCGACGGCGATCGGACGCTTTCTGAGAAAGGTTTGAGCGTAATTACGACTTCCACCTCTCCAGGTTCATCTGGGATGACAAGAGCGGAGCTGATGTGAACATCTCGGAACTGGTAGCCTACAATCTGTGTGCCCGCCGCCCTCATCATAATCCGTTGTCTCGCTGCCTCAACTGCCATGCTGATATAACCTCCCGCCGGGTACACGATGGAGGACTGGATCATGTGATCTCGCACCCAAGGTATCTCCGACAAGCGAATGTAATTCCGCCAGCGTGGCTCCAGCATACTGGATTGAGTCTCCAGTACACCGAGAAGATCGACTCTGGGAAATGGCCGTTCACGATATGCTCTACTGATCCTTGATTCGGCAGTGTATGATTTGGTGTGGTTCCAGGCATACGAGGGCAGGTCGATCAACGGAGGAATACCGCATTCAGCATGCTGATTGACAGCAGCCATCCTAATAGCTTTTCCTGCCATGAACAGGTTGGATGCAAGCTCCAATGCCGTTGCCACTGCATCCTTTTTTCGGACCAAGACCGACCAGTATTCAATGGCCGATTTGGTGAGTGTCTCATCTGCTTCCAGTACCTGCCTGCTTGGCCCAGCGAGGGCTGCATGCGGGCCCATTTCCACCAGTGTCTGCACCGGGTAATTACTGTCCGAACCACCACGGTTGGCCATTTGGCGCAAAGATTGGGCGAATTTGACCTCGCCTACCATGTTGGAAACCCAGTAGTCCGCGTCCAGCTTGGAGATGACGCTCTGCTTGCCAGTTAAAGAGGAGAAAAACTTGACGCCGTTACCCTCGAGCACCTTAATGTTGTTAATGGCGTTCCGATAGCTGTCCGCAACAAGTGCCATGTGATGAGAGTGATACGCAACTTCAACGATCAATTTCCTGTTGTACACGCCTTTCGTTCGCAAGACTTGGTGTAGCTCGTCAAGAGCAGCCTTGTCTCCAGAAACAGTTATGCTGGAAGGGCTGTTAGAGCAAGCTATCACGGCCTTTCCACTCTGCAAACTCGAGAGGATCGGGATAAGGTCATCCCTCCCCATGCCCACTGCGGCCATGGCGCCTTTCACACCTGCTTTGGCAAGCTCCGTCGACGCGCAGCCTCTAGCGTATGCTACGAGCATTGCATCCTCTAGGCTTAACGCACCGACGGCGTATGCGGCTGCAATCTCTCCACTAGAGTGTCCAGTGACGCAGTCGGGACGTACACCCCAGGACTCGAGCATATCCACTAGGGCGATCTGCACAGCCGTGCAAAGGGTCTGACTATACATCGCTTTGTTTATATGTGAAGTATGAAAGTCTTTCTGAAGCTCATCTACAAGGTTTTGGGTTAGCACCAGCTCAAATTTGGGCGCACACGCCCAAGCACACGTGACATACCTAAGACATCAAACGATGCTCCCACTTGCCGGACCGCCGCTCCGCAGAGTTCCAAGCTTTTTCGGAAGCGTGGTGAGCCACAAATGAGCTCTTTGCCCATGCCACACCACTGGGCACCCTGTCCAGTGAACACAAAGCCAAGATTCTTCGGAGGAGGATTATTGGTGAATTTGACGGCCTTGAGCCGCGAAATCAGATCTTGCCCAGATGAAGCAGCTACAATGGCTTTCCAAGGATGAATGGTTCTCCTGTCGCTGAGCGTGAAAGCGAGGCTTTGGAGGAATCCAGCGTCGTCTCGGTCCGGTCTCTGGCTGACGTAGTCCGCGAGTTTGCCTGCCCACGCATCCCCTGCGACCGAATCGAACGCGGAAAGTACAAAGAGTTGCGGGACAGAATCCGGGTCGTCTGACTCACTCCCATTGTCGAAACCGTTCATGTCGAGGTGTCCTTTAGTGAACACGTTGCCATTGGGAATTCCGTTGCCGCTGACTTGTCCATTCCCGGTGGTAAGATCATTATTAATGAGAGTTCGATACCCGTTCACAGTGCGGTTCCGTGGGGTTGGTAGACCATTAGGTACTTTGTTTCCATTAGGAGATTGGTACCCCATATCAAGAGTATCCTGGATTGCCTTTATCGCTAAGGCAGATCTTCTTGTGTACCTTCCAGCATCGATACCACGCGCCATAAGATAATCTTCAGCGCTTTCCAGAATTGCGTGGACGTTCGCCCCGCCATAGCCAAAGCTGTTTAACGAGGCACGGCGAGGCGTCAAGCACGTCCATGCTTCAACAGTCGTAGGAACCTAGTGGTCAGGAATTAGTATTCAACCACGGGATATCAAGATGTCCAGAAACGCTTACTCTGAGATTCCATTCCTTTAGTGGAATTCGAGGATTGGCCTTCTCGAAATTACGCTGTGGCAATATGACTCCATTCTCCAACATTAGAATGGATTTAATAACTCCTGCGAGCCCACTCGCTGCTTCAAGGTGCCCAATGTTCGTTTTCACCGAGCCAAGGACGAGAGAATCTTTCAACTTGCGCCCGGGGTTGAAGATCTTAGATATAGCAGCGGTCTCAGTTGTGTCACCGGCCTGGGTACCTGTTCCGTGACATTCCACGTAGGAGGTCTCCAGCGGGTCGAGGCCAGTCTTCTGGTATACCGACCTGATCAGTGACTCTTGCGATTGGCCATTGGGCAAAGTAATTCCCGGCGTCTTGCCATCTTGATTGGAGCTAGTACCACGAATGACAGCCCGGACGGTGTCACCGTCTCTCAATGCGTCGCCTAGACGCTTCAGGATAAGAACAGCAATGCCCTCACCTCGAGCATAGCCATTCGCTCGTTCGTCGAAAGTATAACATCTTCCATCGGGTGAGAGAAACCTAAATGCGCGTAAGCCCCAGTACCTTGGCAAGGCTTGAAAGGGAAAGGTTCGCATACTTCATCATACTCATTGTTACCATAGCCTCAGGGCCCAATATCACACTGGCGCCCGAAACGATGGCCTGTGATGCGTCTCCAGATAGTAGACTCTGGCAGCCAAGATGCAGTGCAGATAAACCCCCGGAGCATGCCGTGTCTACTGTTATGCTGGGGCCTTTCAAATCGAAGGAGTATGATACTCGATTCGCCATATTCGCTCGAGAGAAAGCCGAGTTAGTACACTGGTACATAGCCACGCTCTCCGGGTCTCTCCAGAGCATGTCTGTATAGTCCGTGCAAAAGCAAGCTGTGAAAACCGAAGTGTCGGTCCCGACAACCTTGGACATTGGAATTCCAGCATTCTCGAGAGCTTCGTACGAGCATTCTAGAAGCATACGTTGCTGTGGATCGAGAGCTGCTGCCTCCGGCGCAGATATGTTGAAGAATGGCGCATCGAATTCATACACATCTTGCTGGAACCAGTGTCCATATTCGACGTTATGCTGTTATTCGCATCAGCTTATGCTTAAATGTTGCTATGTGGTTGGCTGACCGTTCCGTATCTATTCCCATCTGGATGATAGAATGCATCGTTATTCCATTTTTGCTTGGGGATCCTCGCCCGGCTTTCCCGGCCTTCAGCAACCATTCGCAGCAAACCGTCGGTATTGGTGGCATCCCCAGGACCGCGAAAGCTCATACCCACCACCGCGATGGGTGTCACTAGATCTTCTTTCTGGACGGTTGGCGACATGATGATCCAAGAAGTCCCTGCAACAACGAACGAAAAACCGGGTTCTCGGTTTCTTTATACACAAGAATTTCAACGAGGGCGCCGAGTAGGTGGTACGGTAACGAGAGGATTACCTTGGCTGGTTGACTCGAGGATGATCGGATCGAATGGAAATCGTTATACTATCACTCATCTCGTATATATATAGCTGTTATCTCGCACATACATAATCCTTGCGTCTCGCGATCCCTTTATCTCCTCCCTACCCCCTATCAGCCTCGTGCTGTAGAGATCAGGGACCTGAACTAGTCTGTTCAAGAATCCGGCGCTCTATGAGCCAGTGTGCGCACAGATTTTTCTAGTTCTGATTCAGCAAGAAACTTATTCGGGATTTGTTTTTGGATGGATTTAGTTTGTACGCAGCAAGACGATACCTTTATACTTTGAGTTGGCGTACCGAACTCTCGGGGTACACCGGCTCTTGAGAGCTGATTCCCCACCACAACTTGCCTCGAACTAAAACCTTTTCCATCCTTCTATTAAAGCTACGGAAGGATTCAATAGTTGCAACGTAGCCCATCTACAACTTAGTCCAGCTGGGTCACTTCCTCCAGTCGGTGAAGCATTTACGTCCTCCCGCAAAAATAGTTCGGCTACATATACAAGGCCAGAGTCGGAGCAATACCCCAATGCTTTCAATGCGCACGTATGCTTATACCCTTCAGTCATAGAAGGCACAAAATACGTCCCTAGCTCCTCCCTGAAGCAAGCCAGAATTCACATTACATTGTTTGCAATGGTCCTCACAGGCACCGTCTCGTCCGCAACAACTTACAATGCCATTCCCATCTTCGCCCCGGCGTACCGACCCGCGAGTTTCCCTTCGCGCTTCTCAGACATGACCTGTCTCGTTATCAAGTATCGAACAGATGGTCAACAAATCCGGGCCCTCCTTCCAGACAACCTAGCAATTGAAGAACAACCCATCATCACCACGCGATTTATCTACTACGGATGTTCACCCATTGGCCCCTACCACGAGTTTATCCAGAGCGTGGAGGTCACCTTCAATGGCTCCAAGTACGATTACTCGCTACTCATCATCCTGGACAACGAGGATGCCGCTTACTCGGGACGAGAGCTGTGGGGGGCACCGAAGGTAATGGGATCGTTCGAGTTCCCCGACAAGCCAGATGGGGTGAGCGGATTCTTCCGCGGCAATGTGAGTCGTCCGGTCGGACATCCTATCGCAGAGATCCTGTTCAAACCCACCGTGCTCCTACCTATCGAGCGCTTCATCGAGCCCGAACTGAACAGTCTGTTCCTGCGCATCATCCCCTCTCCCATGCCAGAGAAAACACCGCATATCCGACAGTTCACCGAGGTCGCGTTCAAGCTGGAGCACACGCATATTTGGGAGGGTGTGGCGTCCATCGGGTTCCCCGCGCAGTCCATGTTTGATCCTCTGCACTTAACTCACGTTGAAGAATACATCTCGGCGCACTATGCTAAGGGGAGTTCGGCTACAATCTCGCCAGTCAATATACACGACTTCTAAAAAGTTCAACTCTCGATATTTTTCACGGTTGCAGGCGTTTATGCAGAGCAGTAGTTACGCAATACGATATACAAGCTTCTTCGCCCTGACCTGTCCAGCCTTCATGACTTCCAGCCCCAATGGGATACCTTCAAGTCCCCCGTCTCGTACTTCGATTGGGTGGTGTCGGAGCTTTTGCTCGTCCAGAAGCTGCTGGCAGACCCCGAAGAATGTTTTAGTAGACTCGTAGTCGTTAGTGTTCGCAGGGAAGTCGGCGAACTTGAAAAATGCCTCCCCCATTGCGGTGTAGCCGAGTATGAACTTGGTGAGCGCGTCTTTTCGGGGAAATTCCACAGGGAGGGTGCAGCAGTAGAGCACGGGCTGCGAAGATGTATCGTGTGAGAGTGCGGTACTACAGATGACTGCGGTTGCCTCCTCCGAGATGCAGTCCAAGGCATGGTATAGCTTGTCTTTGGTAAATTTACGTATCTTCTCCCCGCAATCAGGGTCATGGTAGTCGAAAGCTTCGGAAGCACCTAGCGACTTGACGAGGTCGAAGTTTCCGGGGCTACAAGTTGTGATGACCTCGAGACCAGACCTAGACTACCATGTTAGTGCGTCTCGCGACCAGGCTTGTTTGGGGATTCAATCTACATTTTAGCCATCTGTATGGCCACAGTTCCGGTCGCTGTGCTGCCACCATAGATCAAAACGGGAAACTTCTGTGAAACCTGCTCCGTTGGTAAGGGAAGCTTAAGCGTTTGCCACAATCCCATTCCCACGGTCGCGATGGCCACCGGGAGACTTGCCGCCTCTTCATAGCTCAAGGAACCAGGAATGCGGAACAGGATTCCCTCCCTCACGAGCGCATATTCCCCATACGTACCGTCCTCTGGATGCACTGCGTTGGCCCCGTGAACGAATCCCGCCACGCGGTCCCCTTTCTTAAGGGCTGAATCGGGCCCGACTTCTTCGACGGTTCCTGCGACATCGCACCCAAGGGTGCACCCGTTGCAGGGAATGAAGTGGAGGTGTTTGAAGTCCGTGGGGTTTAAGGCTACAGCTATGGTCTTGACGAGGCAGTAGCCCTGGCGCAGCTTTGGAATCTCTACGTCTTGGATGGCGAGCTCGCCGGCTTGCACGACCTTGATGGCTTTCATCTTGCAAACAATGAGCGGTTGGGGCGGGCGGTATAGAATCGAGTGATAACACGCGCGATGTGGTTGGATATGATGCGCGGCGAGTGTTCTGGGGGGAGAGGCACGGCTCTTTGACCAGCTTAATGGATGGTCTTGTGTTGATACACGAACTATTTTATATCTGAGAAAGCAGTATGCGACGCCGGAATGGATGTCAAAATGCATCAAAACTTTGGATCACGCGCGTCTGCTTTCCACCAGCTCGAATCATTATAATCACTCCGAGTATCCCAAGCGAGCAAGGCCAGCATATACAATCTGATCGTCATTCGTGACATGCACCACCAACTGCAACCTATACTCTATTTTATCAGTATATATCCTTGGTTAAACGCCACGCAACCTTTCTGTTCGCCAGAGCCGCCTATGAGTCGGTTTTCCGCGCGATCTCCCTCTTCCGTCCACCTAACATCATGTCCTCGCTACTACGCTGTACGCTGTTCAACCCCTTCGTAATCGCCTTGCCATTTGTGCCAAAGCTATTCCAGAACGCACTTCCTATATCCCCAAACCAATGGCCGTTTTACTCAGCAGGCCTAAAGGTTCTACAACCATTTGCCATCGTTGTCACAGTTGCTAGACTGCTAGGCGCAATCAACCAGTGGCTGTCAAAAAAGGCCACCAACAATTTCGTCGAGGACCCGACATGGGACTGGCCCAACGAGCTTGCTGTCGTGACGGGAGGGTCCAGTGGTATTGGCGCTGAAATTGTACGGGGACTTGTCATGCACAAGGTCAAAACAATCATCCTGGATATCAACCCACCAGCTTCAAAGCCAGGTTCGTATAAGCCACGTCTATTGTCGTATATCCATTCTTTAAACTTTTCCACGGATAACATCCAAAGCAGAAGATGGCGTGGCTTTCTATAAAGTAAACCTAACTTCATCCTCTGAGGCCTGCGACGCCGCAACCATCATCAAAAGCACCCACGGCAACCCCACCATCCTAATTAACAACGCCGGCACCGGCACCGCGCAGACGATCCTCAGCGAATCCGAGTCCGAGCGCCGCCGCGTCTTCGAAGTCAACTCACTCTGCCACTTCACACTCGTGCGCGAATTCCTTCCCGCAATGATTGAGCGGAATCACGGGCACGTTATGACGGTCGCCAGCACGGGGAGCTTCTACTCGCAGTCGCAGAATGTGTCGTATGCGAGTTCCAAGGCGTCGGCTATGGCGTTCCATGAGGGGCTGGGCCAGGAACTCCGGTCCCGGTACAATGCGAGGAGGGTTCGCACATCGTAAGTTTGTCGTCCCTTGTCGACGCCGTTACTGATGGAGGCAGAATCGTTTACCCCGATTTCGTACGCACGCCCCTCGTTGAGGCCCTAACTAGCAAGGTGTCCCAGTTCCCCCTGAAAATTGCTGAGCCCAGTGAGATTGCGGATGAGGCCGTTGCTGCCATTTTATCGACATATGGACATAGCATTGTGCTGCCGAGATCGATGGAGTATCTGGCTCTGCTGAGAGGTCTGCCGCTGTGGATTCAGAGAATCGTTCAGGCTTACGATCCGGATCCGTTGGCGCTTGTAAACCAGTAAAGCTTGTTTGGGTAGATGCATGGAGTGTAAGGCCCCGTGGACTACGATCCGTTTTATGGGCTTTCAGATGTACCAAATTAGTGCTGCACAAGATAGCTTTGACCTTCGGAGAAAATACTGCCTAGGGTACTGGATGCTCTCCAAAAAAGAAAAATTGAAAGACAGAGATAGATGAAATAGACTTCTAGACATATGAGCCTGTTTCACTGAAAAGAGAATGGACGATAATCGGAAAGAAGGCCCCTGGCTTTTCCTTGCTCACTTCAAAGTCTAAGAAAGGTAGATGTCAAGATGCACCTATACGCCAGAAAATCAATGTCGCCCACCACATGAGTATCTATCTCTCCAGATTCTGTAAGCTAGACATAGCAAAATACTTCCCGCGCCTGCGAATCAATTCCGCATGGGTGCCCGACTCAATAACTACGCCATTCTCCAAGTAAAAGATGATATCCGCGTTCTGTATAGCACTCAGGCGATGAGCAATTGAGATTGTCGTACGACCCTTTGCCGCCGCGTCAAGAGCAGCTTGCACCACACGCTGGGATTCGGAGTCCAATGCCGACGTTACCTCGTCCAGTAACAAGACCTTCGGGCGCCTGAGGATCGCTCGGGCAATAGCAAGTCGCTGCTTCTGTCCTCCGGAGAAATTGTTGCCCTTGACACCGCACATTGTGTCGAATCCAGAGCTAGACTTCAATTAGCTATTGCAGATTAAAACATTTCCTGTATGACTTACGGAAGGGAGACAATAAAGTCGAGGATATGTGCGTCTTTGCAGACTTTCTCTAGGTCTTGTTGCGAATACTGGGATGCATCGAGTCCGAGTGTGAGGTTCTTGCGAATAGTGCCTTGGAAAAGAGCAGGTTCCTGGTTGACAAGTGCTACTTGGTTACGGTATGCACGCAAGTCCATGGAGAAGACGCTTTCGCCATCCATGGTAATGCTACCCGCAATTGGGTGATAGAAACGTTCAAGCAGGGAAACAACAGTGCTCTTGCCGCTACCACTAGCTCCGACTAGAGCAATATATTTACCTTTATGGACAGTGAGATTAAGGCCGTTCAGAATACGCTGCTCGAGACGAGTGGGATATGTGAACCTGACATCCTGGAATTGGATTTTGTCTTCTAAGACTGGATGGGTTTCAACAAAACTTGGGATCCTCTGGCGCGCACCATCGAACAGGCTTTTGAGGCGAGCAGCGGAATTCTTAGCCTTGGCCAGATCTGGTGAACTGCTAAAGATCATTCCAGCAGCGTCGCCGCATATGTTTACAGCAGCATGACTTAGAATAAACTGAAACAGAGTGTATTCGCCCTTGATGACGAGCGTGCCGCCATACCATAGACCAAGGGCAGTACACAGCATGGATGCGGACTGCGAAAATGCGAACAGAGTTGAGGAGATCAAGCTCGATCGTATGCTCTGCGAGTCTTGCTGGACGAGTTGCTCATGGAATCGTGCTGTGATCCTAGACTCACGATTCAAAGACATAACTGTGCGAATGGCCGATACTGCTTCGCTGGCCAGGGATGCAGTCTCCTGGTATGCTTTCCGTAAATGCGCATCGAGTTCATACATGACCCGAAATCGAAGGAAACCACAGATCAGAAGAACGGGCACAGTGGCGGCACCCACAAGCCCGAGCTTCCACCCAACGGCAATACTAGTTGCGAGGGCACCGATGAGAGTGGTGAATGCCATGGTGAATAAGCCAAAAGCAGTGCAACCCATGCCTGCCATGCTCGATGGTTCAGTGGAGAGGAACGAAACCAACGCGCCAACTCCATGCTCCTCCATGTCAAAAAATGCCATATCTTTGTGGAGGAGAGCGCGAAAGGTCAAGTCGCTGACATGGTGGATTAGCCTCTCCGTACAGATGCCCACGGTAGCACCTTGGGCGGTGTAGGCAAATAGCTGTACGAGGCCTAGAACTGCATGCATTCCGGCCCATAGATTAGACTCAGATCGGAGCTGCGTGTATTCGCCTAGGGGTTTTGCGAGCGCAAAGAGGCATTTGGCCAAGAATACTGCCTGAATGGGCGCACCTGCACCTGCTTGGATAGACCAAAAGAAACCCTGAATCATCAATGATAATGAGTTCCGGTGGAAGCCCATTATGAACTTGAGGAGCGTCCTAAGAGGATATATTTGGCTGGGCTGGTCTAGCTTTTCAAGGGCAACCGCATCTGCATGGAAGCTTTGAGACAAATGGCTTCTTGGAATGGTATGGCTAGGCTTCTTGATGACCTCAGAGGGGGAATCGGGTCGACAACCAGCTGAATCGGACGAAGTATCTCTTTCAGGGATGTTTCCTTCACTCAGATTGATCGCCTGGGTTGTAGCAAGGTTGCTGTAGGTTCCTTCTGCTTGCAAAAGTGTGTTGTGGGTTCCCTGCTCAACGATTCGGCCATTTACCATCACGACAATTTTATCGGCAGCCTTAATTGTGGACAGGCGATGCGCAACAATGACAGTCGTTCGTCCCTGAGACGCTTTTTCGATAGCAGCCTGGACATGAGCCTCACTCTCCGAATCTAAAGCAGAAGTGGCTTCGTCAAGCAATAGAATCTTAGGATTGCGGACTAGGGCGCGAGCAATGGCGATGCGCTGTTTTTGACCGCCAGATAGCAAGACACCGGCCTCGCCAACAAGAGTCCCATAGCCATCAGGGAGCTCGGTGATGAACTTGTGGGCATTCGCAGTTTCAGCAGCATTGTAAACGAGGGTCTGAACATCTTCGTCGGAGAGATTTTCGTATTGAGTGTCCACTAATCCATTCTTTATGTTCTCGAAGATGGTCGTGGCAAATAAGGTGGGCGATTGCTGGACCAAAGAAATATGTTGCCGTAGCCAGTGCAACTCTAAGTCCCAAAGTCTGTGGCCGTCTAGCAAAATATCCCCGGATAGAGGATCATAAAAGCGCTCGATAAGCTCAATAACGGTGCTCTTGCCAGATCCCGATGGCCCAACAATTGCTGTCGTCTTCCCAGCTTCGATGACCAGATCTAGCTCGTCTAGCACGGTGATTTCTGGCCTGGAAGGATAGATGTGGCGGACATTTCTCAATTCAATCCGCCCGGCCACGCTGTCTAGGCTTTTCTCCCGCGAATGGCCTGGGGATTCTGGAGCCCTGCGTTCGATGGTACTGTAAAGTCTCGATCCAGCAGCCGTGGCAACTGCAAAAGCCTGGAGTGGTGGGATGATGCTGCTGAGAGATGATATCCCTGTCACGATTGCGAGGACGATGGTCAAGATATCGACGTAAGATATGGTGCCTGCAACCAGAAAGCGGGAACCCATCCAGAAGCCTAATCCGATGGACAGATACACGACAGCATAGACAACGCCGAGCAGCGCACCGCCGGCCGCCCTAGCTTTGTTCGCCCAGCGTTCAGATTTGACCAGCATTTCATCATAACGGGCGGCCAACTCGGTTTGCGCGTTAAGCCCGACGAGAGTTCTGATGGATGAAAAGGCCTCTTCTGTGATGGTGCCTGCTTCTGCAATTTCTCCTAACCATTGCTGGCGATATTTTGTCACCATCGCACCTCCAAAGGCAAGAACGAGCGCAATGCATACAGGGCCAGAGGACATGATGAGAGTCAACCGCCAGTCATGGATGAAGCCGATTACAAAGGCCGCAACAACGGAAGAGGTACATTGGACGGCAACGCTGACTTTCTCCGAGATGCCATCCCGAATCAGATTGGCGTCGGCGGTCATATGGGTTGCGATCTCTCCAGCGCCAACACTATCGAAGAATGCAATGTTCTGGCGCAGAAGGGCCGCGAGATACTGTTCCCTGATCCGGCTCGATAGTACAATGCCCGTGCGGATGAATCCAATTGCGGCGATGTAGCAGGTCACGAGCTCGCCAACGAAGAGGTAAACGAAATAGATGGTGTAGCGCGTTAACTCGCTGCTGACTTGCTCTGTCCCTGAGGCTCCGATCCAGATGCGTTGTATGCTGCCAACTAACAAGCCTATCACCACAGCAGGTAACGTTATGATTGCGCCGGCGGCAGCAGCGCACAGGAATGACAAGGCAATGATGGCGACATCCTTTTTGGTGGCATATCGGAACAACTGGAAATATCCAATGTTGTGAACAGGCGTTGCAATTTGCTGTGCCAGTGCTTCGCGCTCCGGAATAGGCTTTTCACTGTGGTACTGCGCCGCGATCTCCGTCTGCAAGGTTTCGGCTGCCATGTCGCAGGTCTGCTGTTCGAGGTTGTATCTGCGAGCCTACGCCTATCGAGAGTGTTGGTGGCGGCGAAGAAGAAAGGCCGCAGTGATCATGAGTGGAGATGTACTGAGTGGCAGATGTCGAAAAGTCGACATTCGCATCCGCTGACGCGTTGTGAACAGAACAAACGAGACGGCCAAGGGAAGATACCCATGAACATCACCTGTTACAGCCAAGGCCTCGATCACGGGGTCGCACACGTGACGGGTTCACTTATCGCGATCGATTGCATGGGGACAAGAAAAACAGCAGGCCAGGGGGCCCTGTCTCGCTTGTGCGACTCACAACTTGAAAATGAAAGACGTATCTTGTCTGAAACAGAAAATATTTCGTTCTGGGTTCGGGGATGAAAGTCGGCTGATAGCGAATGACGCCCGACGAACACGAATCAAGTTGGACGGGCGTATCCAGTCGAGAACACTGATAATTAACGCGCGGAGGGCAAACCTGGTCCCCGTGGAGCAGAATCTATATTAGGCCAGCGAATTTATGCACTCACCCCAACACAACTTCTCTCTGTTCATGACGGGGTGCTAAGACGTAGTATCTTCCCGGCTAGGCCGCTAGTGGGATTTTAGATTGTTGACAATAATTGCTCAACTCTTTCGCAGAGGCGGGTAGTAAAAAAGAAGTTAATAAAACTAAGATCCCTAAGCCGTGACTTGGTCGCTGCGTTTTGATTTGCGCCGCATGTACACCCAAAGGATCATGCACAAAGGATCACGAATACGTCAATTGCAGCAACACAAAGTGGAGTATAAATACCAACGGATCTCCAAGACTGCTAGCCAGTATGGATTCAACCCATCTGCGGCCCTGGTCTCAACCATACGGACCCAGAGCCTAGATTTTGTACTATGTCTGACACCTCCCTCAAACTACCTCGAATACTCTGCCTCCATGGTAAGTTACAACACAACTGTTAACGCCGCACTTTCTCCCCTCAAGCCCTTGAACTGACAACAAGACCAGGCGTAGGCTCAAATGCAGACGTCCTGTTCGTTCAGATACGCACCCTGCGCAGCCAGCTCGATACAACCTTCCGCTTCGTCTTCGCCGACGGTCCCTTCTTCTGCGAACCAGGACCCGGCATGCTCCCTGCTTATCAAGGCGCCGAACCTTTCAGACGGTGGCTCCGCTGGTCGCCGAAGCATCGAGTCCTCAAGCCAAAATTCCACCTCGAAGCTCTCCAAAAATGCATTGAGGATTCCATGAAAGAGGACGACCAAGCCGGCGCGACAGGGGCATGGGTTGGCCTTCTAGGCTTCAGTCAGGGTGCGAGGCTAGGAGCATCTATCCTGTTCGAGTCGCAGAGGCGGGAGACAGTGAAACAGAAGGGCGGCAAGACGGTGGGCTACGAGGGCGAAAACGTTGAAACCAAGCTGTGGAGTCAGAACTGGCAGTTTGCAGTCTTGTTCTCTGGACCTTCGCCGCTCATCGCAATGTCGCCTGGCCTCGAGCATCTCCCGCTTCAAAGTCCTGAAGAATTAGATCTTACAACTGAAGAGTTGGATAAGTTTGATCCTACGGAGAAAATCTGCATCCAGAGGCCTACGCTCCATGTCATTGGTAGAAATGACGAATGGGCGTTGTCACAGCGGAGGCTTTATGAGAAGTATTGCTCGGAGGCTTCGCGGAATTTGATAGAATGGGACGGGGAACACCGGATCCCTATCGAGCCTGCGTTGACAAGCACGATATGCGAAAAGATATTAGCTATAGCTGGCAAGACGATAGGTGGGCAGTGATTCATAAACAGGTTGATGTAGTATGATTATAGTTCACGGAATCCAAGACAGAATGACTTCAGCCATCTAAACCATCAACAAACCCCCCGTAGCACTGACGCACTGCCCAGTAATCCACTGGCTTTGCGGCCCAGCAAGGAACGTTATGACACGCGCGATTTCCTCCGGTGATGCCACCCGTCCCTCCATTGGCGTAGCAGCCGCAACCATCTTGTGGAAATTGGCAGACTCCTCGTCTTCCGTGATCTTCGTCAACATATCTGTGTCTGTCAGCCCAGGCAGAACTGCATTCACACTGTGCCCGTAAGGGCCTACAGCAGCGGCCAAGGACCGAGTAAAACCCTCCAGTCCCGCCTTTGACGCAGCGTAGACCCCGTAGAGAGGTCCTCCAGTCCGAGATACGATGGAACTTATGTTGACAATGCGGCCTGGGCGGCGAAGATGCGGAACCACGGCTTGGGACATGAAGAACGCAGCACGTAGATTGACGTTGATAGCGTCGTCGAAGTCCTCGACTGTAGTTTCGAGGAACGCCTTTCTGACGCTTGTGCCGGCATTGTTGACGAGGACGTCAATGCTAGGACCAAAGGCTTCCAGTGTCTTGCTAACGACTGTCTTGGGCGAGTCGATAGTTGCTGCATCCGATTGGATTTTTATGGCGCGTGCCCCGTTTCCGAGATTGTTGATCTTGCCCACGAGGTCCTCGGCCTTGGATTCACTCGAGGCCGAGACAAATGTGATGGCAACCTGTATCAACTGTCAGCTCCACAATCTACGTGGCTGACTATCCGTCTTGCATTAGCGCCCATCTCGGCGAGATTCAGAGCAACGGCCGCTCCAATACCACGCGCTCCTCCTGTGACAATGGCGACCTTTCCCTCGAGCGAATGCATTATTGAGATGGCAAATAGAATTGAGTAGACTTGAACCGATTCCAGACATTCTCTATCATTATTTTATACATAGTCGATGATGGTAGGGGTGACGGACGACAAGAGGGCAAATCAGCTCTCACGAGCTGATTTGTGCGATGTGGCACTGGTCACAGGCGAGTTGAGGGAACCCCACCGTACGAAAAACGAAATTGTGAGACATCAACCGTTTAGTTACGTGGCTTGTAGACATCAGGATCCAGTGAGTGAATGCGGTACATATACCACGGCGGCAGAGCACGCAGGCGCGCTAGCCATGCGTTGCTAGGTGGCAGAATGACTCTGCCTGCATACCCGGTCAATACCTGGTCCACTACCGCTTCACCCACATACTTCGGGTCCAGGAGGAGTTCCGGGAAATCGTGTAGAGTGGTCAGCTTTTCAACCATGGCGGTCCGGACGAAGTGAGGATAGACAATGCTATGTCGATTATCAGTGTGGGGCAGCATGCATACAAGGATTGTTTCTTGTGCTTACGTTGTCCGAACTCTTCTGGCATTGTATCTCATACGCAGCTCCTGTCCAAGACCCTCGTGGAAGGCCATGACAGATGCTTTGGAACTGGCGTACGTTGTAAGCTGTGTGGTGGATATGAAGCTAGAGGCAGACGCCATTGTCACAATGTGACCATGATTGCGCTTGCTCATAGCCGGAAGGAATTCTTGAACCATGCGCATCTGCGCAAAAACATTGACGTCGAACTGCCGCTTCCGCTGCTCCGTCGTCTCCTCTACTATGGTTTTGGCTATAGCAATACCAGCATTATTGATCAAGATGGAAGGATCGCCCACTTCCGCCCTCATCTGCTTTGCGGTCTCAACGACCATTTTATCCGAAGTGACATCGACGTGATAGTATTTCACACAAGCGTTTTCTATTGGAGAGTCAGACAACACTTCCAGTCCCGCAATTCTAATCCTGGTCCATACTTACCTAGCAGGTTGGGAGCGGGAGCAGCAATATCCCATATAGCGACCTTGATCCCACGCTGTGCAAATCTGCGTGCCATATCGGCGCCAATACCTCCAGACCCCCCGGTGATGAGAATAACTTCCTTAGTCCAGTCCCATGATTGGTCATCGACATAGTTGTTCAGACTCCAGAAGGAGTAGTACGCATTTATACGTTGCAGGACTTTGAATACGGAAATGCCAGCACACAGACTAACGACTGGAATGAGGAACATCTTGGGTGTCAGAATCATCCTTGAAAGGCCAGTTGCGTTGTGGATAATGACCTGAACAGGCCCCATAATGATGATTGACAGATGTGTTGTAAATTGCAAAATAGGCCGGACAAACCGAAGAAATCGCTGGAGAGCAGTGGTCGAAAGATAAAAAAGTGGAGGGTAAAAGCGAAACGAGAAGTAATTGGAGTGTAGTGGTATACGTCGAATGCGGGATGCTTTTGTAGGCAAGCTGGGAAAGTCGATGGTTAGTGAACTGTTACAGTCGTCATCCCGTTCGATAAAGCCTCCCTCGTATTGTTATCTATTCAGGACAAGTTCAATATATTGAGGATGAAGTGGTAGAAGCCTTCTATTGGAGCGGTTGATAGAATTAAAGATCCTGATATACAATATTGACTTCACAAAAGAAATTTGTTAGCCCGCTTTCAATGGCAGTTCAACATGTATAGGTCCTTGTGCAAAACGGAAATCTAGTTAAAATAACTACAGTTACGTTGTTGCTGTACTAGTTTGTTGTTGCTCTGCCGAGTTTCATGTCTCTGATAGGGCCTCTCGATGTCAAAATGTTCACAATGCTGCTGGCTTGAGCAAGGTAGTTGCTAAAGTGATAATATGAAGCAAATTTAAGCAAAGAAATTAAAATCTAGAAAGCACTCGATCATTCTACCTTTAACATGCTTATCAGGTAAGACTTATACCTACTTGACTCAACTTTAAACAGTTATGTGTAAAACACACCGACCAGCTAAAGAAGAGGCGGAAGATTCAATTCAGTCTACAATATAACTCCATCCATTATTCAAAAACTTGGAAACAATACAATACATAACCGACGAGATTAGAAAATCCTAAACTATCTACAGGACATTAAGCAGTAGCGGCAGCTTCCCTCTTCGTCAACACACTATCTACAATTTTCTCCAGCGTGTCCAACTTCGCATACTCCTGCACCTTAAACTTCAAATGAAATACCCTTCCAATCCACGAGTACAGCTCCATTGCAGTCAAGCTATCGAGCCCTAGGTCAACAAGCGTGTTGTTCTCCTTGATATCCGTGACAGGAATGAGCTGCAACTCAGCTACCTTACTCCGAACAGCCGTTAAGAGGAGGCGAGTGGCTTCCGCTCTATTTTCCGCGGAATCGATCGTGTTAGACAGCGAGCTCTTGTTGGCGACGACGGCGGCGTTTGATTGTTGTTCTTTAGCATGGCGCGTCATTAAGGGAGAAAAGCGGGGATCTTTGGCCCACGCCGGCAACCTGCTGGCGCCGCCGAAACCGGCCCCTGTAATTGACAATCCCTCGCAAGAAGATTGCAGCTGTCCGTTCACAGCTGCGGCTAAAAGAGAGAGGACATCCGACGTAGTGAGAATCTCACCCTCGAAATCGTCGACGTACTTCAGTTTTTGCAGTTTCTCGGCGTTTTCTGCCATGTAGCCGGCATCGACGACGGCTGTTAGGGCTAGGGCGGCGGCTGGGAGGTTCTGGCGTGTGCGGTATCTAGCAAAGGAGTCGAGGAAGGTGTTAGCAGCGGCGTAGGCTGAGTGTCCGGGTGTGCCGACTATGCCGGCCACGGATGAGATGAGTACGAAGAAGTCGAGAGGCTTGTTTTGGAGAGCATGGTGCAAGTTCCATGTGCCCATGACCTTTGGCCGGATGACGGCACCGAAATCAGCATGGGAGGTGGAGCTGAAGACGCCGCCCTGGAAGAACGAATCAGTATATAATATGTAGAAATTGAAAGGGATGCAATATCCAAGGGAAACTCACTCTGAATACCATGGCAGCATTGATGATACCCCTGATAGGGCCCTTGTCGGCAGCACATTGATCGAGCACTTCCTGTACTTGGGCCTTGTCAGTAGCATCGCAGGGCAGTAAGAAGACTTCAGCACCCAAGGTAGCTAGTTTTTCCACAAGCGTTTGCACCTCGGGGCTCATTGATGTGCTACGGGAGAGAAGACCAATCTTCCTAGCTCCGTTGTCGACCATCCATCTCGTGATGACTCGCCCGAGTCCACCTCCCCCGCCAATGACCAGGTAGACAGCATTAGGACTGAGTGAAGGTAGAGCTGGAGGGGGTAGTGTTGTCTGTATAAATATCAGCCGGCGATTCTTACCACTGTTTCGTGGTTGTATACATACCCTAATCGTGTCCCCCTTCTCAGGCACAAGCACTCTCCGGACTGTGTCAAGGGGCGAGACTTGTTCTAAAGCCTCATGCAACTGTCCGAGTCGGACTTTGTTCACGGATGAAGGGCCCTTGACGCTGTTCTTCGCAAATAGCTCGGTCACGGCATCGAGCACTGAAGCAGTTTGCGCGGGCAGGACGTCGGCTACAGCGTTCAGAGAAACTGCAGCAGCACTGCAGCCAGCGGGCAAGCGAGGTGCACGACTCCATTCTCCAATCTGGACGAATCGTCCCAGCGCTGCCAAAGCTCGCGAGATTCGGGCATCGTCGCGCTCATCAACCTTGGTCTTGGGGACAGGCTGGAGGATCAATTGCGCCTGAGCCGGCGGGATATCATTGAGACTGCCCACGACATGATTTTTAGGCAGCTCGGCGACAGCAAATACAGCATCCCTTTCCTCACAGGAAGCGACTACGGCGTAAACGTCGGCACCCACCGCTTTGGCAACTTGAATGGCAGCCTGTCCTGCAGCAGAGCCCGCCTCGAGAATGACAACGCGCTCGCCCGTGCGTATCCGACCTACATCAACGAGGGCAAGATGGGCAGCGCCAAACGTGGCGGGGAGCGTGGCGGCCACGTCAAGCGAGAAGGCCTCAGGCACACGAGCGATGCTTGTCTGGCGGGCGACTACAAACGTACCAAAGGCGCCTTGGGTATTTGCGAGGCCAAAGACCCGATCACCAACTTGCACTCGGTCAACATTCGAGCCGCAACGGACGACAGTACCACCGAGCTCGCGGCCTTGCAATGCCTGGACGTCAGCAACAGAAAGGCTCGCTGCAGCGACTGCAATCTCGACCTCATCGGCAGCCAGAGGCAGCGCCGAGGAAGATGACGTATCGGCGCGCTGCAGGAACAGCGATTGCGGCACGCCGGGGCGCTGCAGGGCGAAGGCGCCGCGAATTTCAGGATCGAAGGGCTCGTCCCGTGGCGGAACGACGCCCGTGGCGGCGTGCACATTGGCGTCCAACTCGTCGTCGTGCACAATGCGCGGCACAAAAAGCTGCCCACTGCTCTCGGTGAACTCCATCTCGGCCTGCGAATCCGCTTTCTTTGCAGCGGCGGCGACATGGCTAGCAACCTTGGCCACCAGAGCTACTTGTGCTGCGGCATTGCTGGTAGCAAACGGGTCGAGATCGAGGGTTGCGACCGATGCCTGCATCTCACTACGAACTGTCCGGAGCAAGCCGACTGCCATGCCCGCCGTTGGGTTTGTTGCCTTGAAGAAGGCTCCTCGAGTCACCCAGACCACTCCGTCGCAGGTTGAGAGGGCGTGCTTGACGGCATCGAAGCCCACTTCGTCGATATGGCCCAGCAAGCCCTCACCAACGTCCACCACTACACAGAACTTGGCTTCTGCTGGCAAGCCCTGCAACATGGGCACAACAGCGCAGCCCAGTTTCTTGCTCAGTATGCCAGCCAGACCGTTATCCCCTTCCGGTCCTTGCAAAATGTGCCATTTGGCCGTGGTGTCTGACGAAAGCTTTTCAGGGGCTTGCCACGCCAGCTTGTAGCAACCGTAGTGCGGCTCTGGCCACTGCAGGGGCAGCCTCTCTTCAACAGACAACTGCAGGCCGCGGATCTGGACGCTCGAGTTGGCGTCGTTGGCCATCGTTGCATCGATGGCGAAATAGCCTCCCTCGCGTTTCTGCGTAGATTGCTCGCTGCGGACCACTGCCTGAAGCTTCTGACCCGGCTTGTGTGAGCTACCACACACTATGTTCACTTCTTCAACGGATGTAGGCACCCAGACGTTGCTGTTGGCGCTGCCGGCTGGAGCACTTGTGGGGTCCAGGAAGGGTAGGTAGCTACCACACTGAATCAGTCCGTCGAGCGTAGTAGGATGAATGTAAAAGTCCGTCTCGTAGTGGTTTGGCATGACTGTCTCAGTATCCGACACGACCACTTCAGCAGTCGCCTTACCGCTGTCAAACCAAAGGTTATGCACGTTACGGAACATACCAACTCGGCGCGGCCCTGTCTTCGCAGATCCTTGGTAGAGCAGAGCGCTGCCGACACGGGTCTTGCACTCTCTGCGCACCTTGCTCCACCCTCCAGCTTCTTCGGCGGTTCCCACTGCCACTTTTTCGGGCGCCACATGACACTTGACAAGGGCGCGGCAGTGGTGGATCCATTGCTGTTGGGCCTCGCTCCAGGTCGACATCTCAAATTCCTGATAGTCACTCTCTGGGATTGGGCGGAGCTTGCTGGCCAGCTCGATGCGTACGCCTTCCTCCAGCGTGAGCGGGTGGAGCAAATGTACATCGCGCACCGAGAAGCCCGTAATTTCGATGTCGCTACCAGGGCTATGTGCTATGGTACGCTGCTTGCTCGCCTCTAATGCCGTGCAAACAAAGCCGGCGAGTGGGAAGGTAATAAAGGGTCCGACCTGGAAGTCGCGTAGCCATGGCATGTCGTCAAGCTCGAAGTTGTTAAACCACGACGTTTCACCGTCGCTGAATCGGGTCATGGCGTACCCTAGCAGGTCGTTACGCGGGAACGACCGCTGCAGGTGGTCGTCCCGAATCTTGGATTCAATCCAGTAGCGGCTCCTAGTCCATGGATATGGCCTGATGCCATCGACGAGATGTGGCCGGCCAGGGTGGCCACCCGCAACCAAATTAACTTGCGCCAGGTTTAGCCGTTGACCCAGGCTGTATAGAGAACCGGCCAACTTCAGCATCGATAATCGGGCATTCTCACCTCGCTGCAAGGTGGGTAGTGTCTCCGGTGGCTGCCTCACCTGCGCCCGAAGCCCCTTCATGATACTCTTGATGGCCCAGATGAGCGTGGGATTAGAACCGATCTCCACAATCACCTCAGGTGGTGTCTTGCTCTTCAGCAGCGCCGTAATGGCAGATGTGAACCGGACGCGGAACTTGGCGCTGCTGGCCCAGTACGATGGTTTTTTGACTGCAGCCGGGTCAATCCTGCGTCCCGCCATAGCTGAGAAAAATTCGACTTTATGTTGGGTGTCGGGGAAGAACTCGGCCATATAGATGTCCTCCTCGTAACGATCAACAAAGGGCTCAAGGAAAGGCGAGTGGTACGGGAAGTCAACGGTCAGTCTCTTGTGAGGCACGCCGTCCTCTTCCAGCAGCGTTTCCAGTTCATCCAGAGCAGCATCTTCCCCGGAGACTGTGATCGACTTCTGTGAATTCTCGCACGCGATAACAACTGTGCCGGATGTGACGATATCCAGGAGCGGTACCACATCCTCTACTCCAGCACTAATCACCATCATACCACCCTTAAAGTCTGGTTGCTCTTGCTTCAGCCTCACGCCCATCTGGCCACGCGAATACGCAATACGCATAGCCCCTGGCAGGGTAAGGAAGCCGCCGCCATAAGCTGCCGCCACCTCTCCACTAGAGTGACCTACTACTGCAGTAGGCTCGACTTCCCATGAGCGTAAGAGGTCCACAAGAGCAATCTGGACCGCTGTCGATGCTGCCTGACTCACATCGGCATCGTTAATCCGGGAAGTTTTCTCATCACCATACAGCTCCTCAAGAAGATTGAAAGTTGCACCAAACGACTCTACACATGCGGATGACTTCTTCAACGATTCAGCGAAGGCGGGGTAGCCAAATAGTTCACGACCCATGCCGAAACTCTGGGCACCTTGTCCGGTGAAGGCGAATGCAACCCGGGGATGATGTACAACGCGTCGCTGCTGGACCTGGGGCGAGGCTGTCTTGATCGCAAGATCATCTAGGCCTGAGGCGACGATGGAGGAACGCCAGCTGAGCTGGGAACGACGCTCACACAACGTATAGGCCAGATTCCGCATGGAGACCCGTCCCTCGATTGCGTCGTCCGTCTCCAGGAATTCCACCAGCTGCTCGCGGGTGCGGGCAAGAGCAGTCTCATCGTTGGCAGACAGGACGAATAGGAAGGGATCCTCTTCAGAAGAATCGACATCGTCAGTCGTTTCGTTCACGCCGTTAGTATATACTGGTTCGGGCGCCATTTTAATGATACAGTGCGCATTACTTCCTCCAAAGCCGTAGTTGTTGATGGCGACGTAAGATTTGTCTTTCGGCCAGGGTCGCGTTTCAGTGGGTACCTGGTCCTCAATCAGTTCTGATCATCCTCACCTGAGTCTGGAACTCCATACCGCGAAATTCATCTTCCGCAACTCTACGTTCTTGGCCTCGTCGCTTTTAAAGTTCGCATTGGGCACCACAAATTTCTTCTTCAGCATCATCGCGCCCTTAATCAGTGAGGGAAATCCGCTCGCTGACTCCAAATGGCCTACATTCCCCTTGACTGAACCCATCCATAGCGGTTTCTCTGGCGTTCTGGCGCTGCTTGAGAAAACCTCCCTGATAGCCTTGACCTCGATAGGATCTCCAACGCGCGTACCAGGGGCGTGGGCTTCAATGAAACCGAATTCGTCTGGCAAGATGCCGGTGCTGGCTTGAAGTTCCGTCATCAGCCTTGCCTGCAATCTTGAGTCTGGCATCGTGTAGCCATTGGTGTGCCCGTTGTGGTTCACACCAATGTGCGATAATACGCAGTGAATTCGGTCGTTGTCGCGTTGCGCCAGGTCTAGTGATTTCAATATAATACAAGCTCCACCCTCTCCGCGGGCGTAGCCCGAGTCGGTGTTGGGATCCAGAGCAGCTGTCTTCCCCTCAGCATTCAGCATGGTTAGGTTTGACAGCATATTCCACCGCCAGGGCGAGATGTTGAGCGCGCATCCCGACACAATACACATGTCCGTCTCGCCGGACCGAATGCTTTGCGCTGCCATCTGCAGGGCATAGAATGCGGATGAGCATGCCGTGTCAACGGTAACACTGGGGCCGGTCAGGTCGAACACATTCGACACGACGTTTGAAAGCATGCAGGAATGACCGAGTACGCCTACCTGCGCTGGCATGGAGCATAGGCTGTCTTTTACTTCGATCGTATAGTCGGAGCTATTGGCCGTTGAGAACACTCCGACTTTTGTGCCTGCCACGCTTTCTCTCGGCATCCCGGCGTCTTCAAGTGCCTCATAAACACATTCAAGCACGATCCGTCCCTGCGGGTCCTGCATGCAATCAGTCAACTACAAGTCAATTCTTTGGCCATGGTGGAAGACGTACAAACGAGGTTGCATCTGTCGCATTCATTTTGAAGAATTGGGCGTCGAAGCTGGTAATGTCCCCATCCAGGAAGTACCCATGATTCACATGAATCGAGTCCTTGCGCGCTTGGTTTGGATGGTAGAAAGCTTTCCAGTTGAACCGATCGCTAGGAAACTCTTTGTACCCGTCTTTAGAGTTGGTCAGCATCTCCCAGAAGTCCTCCAGCGAAGCCACGGCTCCAGGCATTCGGCAGGACATGCCGACGATGGCCAGAGGCTTGGGCACCGACGAATTCGCTGGCGCTTCCATTGTTGTGTGTGCGGTGAGATGAGGGAAACTAAAGGAAGACCAAAGGGGGACACAAAGAAATGGGGGTGTGAGCCAGCAATAAGTTGCCCTGGCGAGTAAGAGGCTCTTGGATGGTTTTTATACGATGACGGTCATGTCTCTTATACGAAAGATAATATCTGCACCTGTAGGCAGAGTCGCAGGATCGTAATCTTAGTTTCCCGAGCCTGAGGCCATTTTTCTAGGATCCCTTTAGTACATCGCTCCCAATCTCCGAACTGTATATGATCACAAAAACTAAAAATACCACGCCTCGAAGTTATTTCTCCATGAAGTGCCTATTGAAATATTGCGATTCTCTTAGAGTCTTTTCATACAAGAGCATACTATCCTCTACCTCTGTTCTCTTCATTTGTCAACAATGTTGTTGCTCGGTAGATTCCAACAACAGCCTTTTGACGTACATCAGCTCTTTGGAGCTGGTTGTCACCAACACATTTCGAAGTTTTAACCTTCTGCAACCCCATCACAGTAACAAGGAGTCAAAGCCGACACGCGCAAAAGAACACTTCAACGGCATTAATGTACAAGCCGCACGTCGTCATCGTCGTCCATCAACCGCTTGTCACACCAATATCCATATCATGCACGAGGTTAGGCGCAAGATAATTTATCCATCCTCGAAACCAGCTAATATCAGATAACCTAGGTTAAACTGATTCCAGTGAACCCTCTGCTTTCATCAAAGCATAACCGCGTCTTCTCGCTGCCGTCGAGATTGCATCTGTACAACGTACCGCCGAGGTCCGCTACGTATACATGCTTATTCACCGCATCGATCGTGAGCCCAATGGCCTCATGAAAATTCCTTACCAGTATCTGATACTTTAACAAAGGTGTGCTGTTCAAGCCTAGTGGCGATCCGGTGCCATTAAGCTGGAGTCTATTGAGCGTATTCCCAAACGGCATCTCGCCTCTATCCGTCCAGTAAAGGCTCAATCCTTCCTCGTAGAAATCCAAATCAACCGGCTCGGCAAGCCCTTCCAAAAGACAGACTTTGTCGGTCCTGTTATTGGCGCTCTCACCTTGAGGCACGTCGATGCCCGCGCTGAAGATGCGCCCTTGCCACCCTTTGGCCAGGCCCTTCTGCGTCCAGAATATTTTTCCCAGTCGATGAGATAGCGCGATCCCGACGCACCATCTTGTAGCATCTTTCCGATCGTTCTCATTGCTCTTGTCGCCGGTGCAAATGATTTGTTCTAGGTTGCCGCCTCCAAGGTCACAGCGCCAGATACCTAGACCTTCCCGATCAGCAACGTACAGTTTTTCGGTGCGGGGGTCAAGGGTGATTTGCTTTGGGGTGTTCAATATCCCTGCTTCAATGAGCTGCTTGTGATCGCTTCCATCAATTTTCGCCGACCATATGGTGCCATCCATCGTACCTGGATAGCCCATGCAGGTCCAGAAGAACCGCCCTTGAGATCTTGATACCGCGATGCCATCTGGTAGGTACTGCTCTTTGAACAACGTCCGGATATACTGGCCGGTGGTGGAGTATTCTAATACCTTTCCTGTCTTCAGAGAGTTGACTTCGCCGGATAAGCCGTTATCTAACACAAGTATCCTTGGTTCTACAGGCGTATTCGGCTCCATAACTGTACTTGTTTCTCCAAGTATATTTGGTTCCACTAACGTGCTTGGTTCCGCTCCCGTACCCTTGGCCTTTGCCTCTGGAGGGAAAAAGCCACCCTTATCACTCTTCGATCCTAACCTGCCTTTATCGACATACTCCCTCTTCAGGAAGTCCACGGTGTTCTTGGTCTCCAGACCTCGCTCTTTAGCAAAATTCTCTTCGATAATAGCAACGGTGTCGAGGCCCACAACTTGACAGCTCTATTAGTATCTCTGCACCCTCAAATTCGCGATCAGACTCACCATCCATGGCCCGAAACGGCCTCAGCCCGGGCACCACAACTGTTTCAAAAAAAATATCATCCACAGTCGCCGGGTCCGAAACACCCTCCGCAACCACCATGAGCAACTCTCTCTTCATCGCAGCCCAGACCCGATTATGGATGAAACCAGTCGATTCCTTCTTCGCAACGAACACCTTCGCACCCACCTCTTCCAACCTCTTAGCCAGGAACGGGAAGATGTCCAGCGCCGTACTCCCGTTCGTCATGAGTTCAACCGCCCGGACATACGGTGGCATGAAGTAATGCGTATTCAGCACACGCTGCCTTGCTTCACCCATCTTCTCCGAGACAGCCTTCGACCTGAACGACGACGAATTCGTTGCCAAAATGCTATCTCTTGCCGCGAGCCGCTCCAACTGGCCAAAAATCTTCTGCTTCACCTCTAACACCTCAGGCACACATTCAACGACGTGCCACGCCTCTGCCACCGCATCTTCCAGCTCACTGAAGAGCAGCTCCCCAGCTACAATCGCCCGCCCTTGCTGGTAGATCGCCACATTCTCGGTAAAGTATTTCAGCGCTTCGCGCTGCGCTTGCGCGTCCGGGTCGTGCATATGCACAGCGTAGCCCGCAGCCGCCCAGGCCGTCGCTAAGAATATTAGTGTTGGATTGAGAGGGTGTGAGTGTCGTACCGATTCGGCGGCCCAACACGCCGGCGCCGATGATTGCTACGGGCCGGGTCTTGTAGTTTTGTGGCTCGTGCCAAGGGTTGCTTGACATTTTCTTAGGGCGGGGAGCAGGATGTGATAGGGATTGAATAACGATTCGGAAGTGGGATATAAAGTGTTGTTGCTTATATAGAAGAACACTGTGGGTCGAGGATTGAGGAGTATTGCAGGGCGAGCTTGTGAGATCTAAGGAGATGAGGGAGTAGTTCTAGTCTTGCTTTAGGTTTTATGGCGTTGGGTAGGGCGCGGCTCTTAGGAGCTGATTCTTTATGGATGGGGCGAATCGGTTGGACTGATATCTGACTTTTTCTCGGCAAGCTTAGCCGACTACGGATAAGCTTTTCAAAAGACTTTGCCCACGCCAACGCACTAACGTATTGAAATAGTCAGATTAGCTAAAGCTTCCTCTATTTACAAGCAGAGCTTCCTCCGCTTATATTTTTAGTTTCTGAGAACGCCGGCTTTTCCTCAAGCCTAATGTAGTTAGTAGAATCTCCTCTTTAGATAATTTAGGCTTAATTATTCTAGAATTTAAAAGATCTTTAGCAATGTAGCATATGTAATACCTTAACAAGCAAGTTTTTAATTAACTTTCTAAAAAGTACAATACGTAGTATCTAGTATACTGCGGCTTCTAATTACGTGCAACCTGAATTAAAGCCCTAGTTGTAGAGCTGCAGCTGTGCAGCTTGTTGTGTCTACAGAAATTTCTCAGGCTGTTAAGTGTGACGGTGCTGCTTGTCAAGCTCCGCTCCTAGTCACATGACCGCGCTAAGAGCTATGCTAGCGCCTTGGCGCTGCGCAAGCTTTCTCTCGAGAAAAGCCTTCACCTCTTTCTCGCTTCCTAAAACGAAGCACAGGTCATATGACCTCCAAACAGGTCAGGTGAGGCCATACTGGCCTGTTCTGGGACATCCGGCCTTACAACAGCTTCTAATTACGTGCAGCCTGAACTAAACCCCTAGTTGTAAAGCTGCAGCTGTGTAGCTTATTATGTCTGCAGAAATTTCTTAGGATGTTTTGAAGCTCGAGGGCTGACTTACTGTGTTTTAGCGTGTAATGCACGGCCTCGCGTAATGCACGGTTCTGCGCGAAGCTGTCAAAACTTCAACCACCTCTCTCTCAACCAATATGGGCAGTATTAAGGCCGCTTTAGAGTCGCTGAAATTGCTAAAACCTAGAGAATCACTAAATTATGCTGCAGTAGCTAGGCAGTATAGCGTTGATTAATCTACGCTCTTAAGGCGTCACTAACGCGTTACCCGCCTGCGTGCAGAGAAACTTAAAAATCAGCAACTACTTAGCCTAGTGCAGGAGAAAGAGCTAGTAGAGTACATTAATAGGCTTTGCGCAAGAGGTCTATCCCCTTTAAGACAGATAATTTAAAATTTTGCAACAGAAATAGGTAGTAGGCAAGTGTTACAATCCTTACTCCAGAGAAATGGTTCTTTCGGGAGTACGTCGGCCTATAAGGGTGTGTTAACGAGGGGGTAGGACTTAGCTAGATCAGGTGTACAGTCTGTTAAGCAGAGTGCAGGGTAAGGCAGGGTTAAGAATAGGCAGGCTTGTGGTTTAACCTAGCAGCTGTATAGGGAGCTAGTAAACCTAATCTATAGGGATAGAAATAGAGGTATATGTAGTGCAAGATATATAAGACAGCAGAGTTCCCTTTGTAAAGGTTTTAATGCCTCTTAGTTTGTTAGATAGTAAAGACTAAATAATAAACTTAATAGTAATTACAACCTTCTAACTATAGTTATAATTAGGACTATATACATAGGGTCTACATGCGTTTGCATGCGTTGCATGTGTTGCATGCATTGCCTACAACAGCCTATAATGCCTACATTACCTGCAATGTTTTAGTCCCTATTAGACAGTGCATTCTGCAAGGCTTTTATCTAAAAGCTAAAGCTATTTCTTATCTGTCCTATCACGTAATTTGCTTAGTTTAGGGCTAAGCGCCTTCTATCTAACATTGTTTAGGCTGTGTAGGACAGCTAGTTAGGTTATTATAGTCTAACTGTTAGCTGTAACACGCAGGCTTCTCTTCTAGTTAGCGTTCTTACTGTTATGTTCTTTCTGTTGCGCATATTAGATTTTCTTTTTAGCTAGTGTATTTCTATCTTTAAAGGCTAGTTTAATATTTATCTTTTTTAACTATGCCTTATTAGGTTTCTTGTACTTCTGCTATTACCTATTACCTTTGTACTATTGCTTGTCTTAATCCTTATTGTTATATAAAAATGCGTCTCTATAGTCCTTACTAGTCTTATAGTTCTTCTTATGTAATGTCCTTATTATTAAATAAGTGCGTAGAGTGTGTGCAAAAAGGTAGTTATTATAATGCTTTTATTTCTAATGCAGCTTAGGATTACCTAGAGCGTAAGAAGAAGAAACTACGCAGGGAACTAGAGGCAGCTAAAGAGAAGAAAATAAGAGAAAAGAAGAAAGAGATATAGAAGTAGGCTAAGTCCCTAAGGCGTTTTTAATTCTTTATAGCTTAGTAAGAACAGGTTTAAAAACAGTTAAAAGTTCTAGCAAATTAAAGAGTAAAGTATCTAAAAAGAGACTTTTCCTTGCTAGATAAGCTTAAAGCGCTTAAAGCAAAAGCAGCTAGTCTTCCTCCTTCTTAGCCTGTGTTAAAGGGTTGTAGACTTTCTACATCATAGCTAGCTAGTGCTGCTGCAGTTTTAACTAATAATAGTGTTTTCTAGTCTAGAAAGCTTTCTCTAAGGTAGTTTTACTTAAAAGAGACTCCTAATATTTATAAAAGGCCTAAGGAGTGTTTATTAGGCTTTTAGCAGGTTCCTAAGTGTTTTTACTAGTAGGCTATCTTTTCTATTTTACTAAGTACCTATCTTCTTTATGTTCTAAAATTCTTTTTACTTTATATTCTTTTTCTTCTTCTTTCTATTCTGTAGTTGTAAGTAGAATATTTTAAAGTGTAAGTTTAAGTTTTAAGACATAGAACTAGGGGTGTATCTACATTTCTTTTAGTAGCTTAAGTTTACAAGTGCTAGGGCATGTTTATATAACTTAGTATAGTTTTATGTGTTTTTCTACTAACTTCCTAGAAAGTCTAGGTGTCTTAAAGTTCTTTATGTCTAAATATACATAATTATTTAGGTGTATTTCTAGTGCTAGTTTTTTTTCTAGTTTACTACCTTTTCTATAGCTTCTTTAGCTAATTAGGCTTCTCTAGTTAGTTTCTAGTGCAATTCTAGAAGTTTAGTTGTGCAGTCTATAGCTTCTAGAGGATTAGTTAGTTATAAGTTATAAAGCTTATATTACAGAGTGTATCTAAAATTAGCCTTATACAAGGTTTCCTTAGTTATAGCTAACTTTAAAGTATTAATAGTAAATTATGCTATTAGTAGCTATTTTGCCTAATTTATTTATTTATATAAGATGTATTTTTATAAGTACTTTTCTACTTCTATGTTTACTTTTTCTGTTTATCTATTTATCTATAAGTAGTAAGCAGTAAAAAGCTTATAATTAATTCTAAAGTGCTTAACTAAAGCTGTTTAGAATTTACTAGTAAATATTTTATTATAATTAAAAATAATAATCTTAGGGCAGCTGTAAGTAGCAAAGACATTTTTCTTTAATTTAAACATAAATTTCTTAGCTGTAATAGTTTTTTCTAATAGCTATAAGTAAATAAACTTAGTAGTTTTGTCTATAACTTATGTAATTATGTTATAGGGTCTTTTAGTGCTAAGCTTACATAAGGGCAGTAGTCTAGTTATAAAGTCTATAGTTATTATTATTTATAGTTAGCTAGGTGCTATAATTAGCTAAATTAGTCTATATAGTTTATGCCTTTATAAGTTGTTTTTGTTATAGGTATTGCATTTCTGTAGGACTTTAGTGCACAAATGCTTTAATTAGGGTATCTTTTAGAGTATAGCTGTCTTAATTTTCTTTTTTAGTAACCTAATTCCTAGGTGTCTAAACATAGAGGCCTTATAGCATTCTTATATAAGATTTTTTTATTCTTATTTAACTATTATAAGGAAGCATAGTAACTTTTTATAATCTAGTTCTTTATAAACTATTCCTTTAAGAGTTTCTTTAAAGATTATAAATTCTTCTAAGTTCTGTTTATTTGCCTTAAAGTAGTCTACGCGCCTACTTAAGGCGTTAGCTTGTTAGTTGCTGCTCCCTACTACATGTTTAATAATAAAGTTAAACTAGGTAAGTTCTATAGCCTATTATACATGCATTAGTAAAAGTTTCTTAGTAGTAAGAAAAGTAATAAGGTTTACATAGTTAGTGTAAATTATAAATTATTAACTAAGGCTTTAAAGTTCTACTTCCTAGCTTCTGCATGCATTTACTATAGCTTTTAGTTTCTTATTAGAGATAGTATATTTTTACTTTAGCAGTGTAAACTTTGCTAAGTAATAGGCTACTAGATGCTATTAGCTGTTTTTTTGTTTTTAAGATAGCGCTGCTTCTTTTACTTTTAGAGAAGCGTCTGTGTGCACTTTTGTTTCTAGTGTAAAATTATACATTTTAAAGATAGGGTAGCTTATTACTATTTATTTTAGTTCTTAAAAGGCTTCCTTTATCTCTGTTATTTATTAAAACTTCTAGGTTACTTTTTTCTTTAAAGTAGTGTCTATAAGAGGAAGGGCTATTTTTAAATAATTCTTAATTATTCTTTGTATATAGCTAGTAAGGCCTAGAAATCCTTTAATTTCTGTTACAGTAGTTAGTGTTAGCTAGTCTAATACCTTGCTTACTTTAGTAGGGTCTATTTTTATTTTCTTTTTATTAATAATAAATCTTAAGTATTTAGTTTTTTATACATTAAATTTACATTTTTCTAGTTATAGGTAAAGTCTGTACTGTTAGAGTTAGTTAAGTACAAGTTTTACTTTAGATATGTAGTCTGTCCTGTCTTTTTTAGTATATATTAGGACGTTGTCTAGATACATAAGTATAAATATATCTAGGTAAGAGTTAAGCGCTGTGTTAATAACTTGTTAAAAGGTTACTAAGGCGTTAGTTCGTCTAAATAGCATAATAAAAAGTTTATAT